CAGGTCTACTTATCTATCTATATCTATATCTATATCTATATCTATATCTATATCTATATCTATATCTATATCTATATCTATATCTATATCTATATCTATATCTATATCTATATCTATATCTATATCTATATCTATATCTATATCTATATCTATATCTATATCTATATAAAGGAGCCTGAGTGACCGGCTGAGCAGCCCACCGGAGGGTAGCTAGGATGCACCATGACCACGGGGGAGCAGACGCTCAGCCCAAAGCCATGGGAACATGGAACAGACTGATACATCTCAGAGGGAAGGGGGAGGAAGGAGGATGGGAAGAAATTAACCCGAATATCTTATATGCATTCTAGTCCCTCACCCTGGCCTGCGGGGAATCGGGCTCTCCAACATCCCCCCAAGGGGTCCTGGATTGCGAGAGGGCGCAGGCCAGGCTGAGGGACGCCACGCCTGCACGAATCCATGCACTGAGCCTCTAGTTGATAAACAGATGAAGGAATGGATAGTTCTCTAAGAATTAACCCAGCTCTGAGAGTCTACAGGGGACACTCCTTTCTTCAAACACCTCCTGCACACCCCCCACTGGGCTTATTTATGAAATTCTTACTCATGAAATTATATGATGCGTGGGTAGTAGGTTATAAGAGGCAATGGGTAGCACAGGTTTAATCTAGTGCTCCTAATTGCTAAGCTGGAGATAAAGGCAGGGTTCTCCTGTTCCTAGAAGGCACTCGGGCGTTGCTGCCCCAGGGCCTTTGCACATCCACTTCTCAGTCAGTGAAACACTCTGCCCGATTTCTCCACGTCCGCTCCTCCCACTCCAGGACCAGCTCAAATCTCGCCTTTTGCCTTTTCCTTCGCCCAGGTTTCATTTGCCCAATATGCCAGGGCCTCAGAGATCTCAAACGGAGGCCCAAGCCAGTTTAGCTCAGTGGTTAGAGTGTCAGCCCACAAACTGAAGGGTCTTAGGTTCGATTCCAATTAAGGGCACATACCTCAGTTGCAGGCTCAATCCTCAGCCTCAGGTCGGTGGGGCAGGTGTGGGAGGCAACCCACCGATGTGTCTCTCTCACATGGATGTGTCTCTCTCTCTCTGTCTCACCCCTTCCCTTTGACTCTCTCAAAAAAAAAAAAAAAATCAATGGGAAAAATATCCTCGAGTGAAGGTTAACAAAACAAAACAACTGAGGGAGGTAGATTAGCCAGCAGAAGCAGAATGGGGCAAGGTTCATGATGAGCAGTAATAACTTGCAGGCAGCATGCTCTGTGCCAGGCACGTCCTGCAGGCTCAGTGGGTGTTTCATTGCATCTCTCCGTTCCCAGAAGAGCCTGGGAGTGAGGTCCCGTGATCCGCCCTGCTTTACAGGTAACAGAGGTGACGCCCGGAGAGATGAATGTGCCCACGGCTGCCAGTGGGACATGGCAGAGAACGCAGGAGGGCGGCCCCCATCTAGACCCTCACAGGGAACAGGCAGCCAGCCAATCAGGGAGCAGGGACTGGGTCACCACAGCCAGGCCACGCTGAGCACAATGTCACCTGCCCCATGGTCCGGCTTATCAACTTTTCAGGAGAAACCAGAAATCCAGGCGCTATCTAAAGTCTAAAATCAGCCGAAGCCAGTTTGGCTCAGTGGATAGAGCGTCAGTCTGTGGACTGAAAGGTCCCAGGTTCGATTCTGGTCAAGGGCATGTACGTTGGTTGCGAGCACATCCCCCGTAGGGGGGGGTGCAAGAGGCAGCTGGTCGATATTTCTCTCTCATCGATGTTTCTAGCTCTCTATCTCTCTCCCTTTCTCTCTGTTAAAAATCAATAAAATATATTTTTTTAAAAAATAAAATAAAATCTAAAATCACTCTCTTTTTAAATATTTGGCTCAGTGGATAGAATGTCAGCCAATGGACTGAAGTCCCAGGTTTGATTCCTGTCAAGGTCACAAGCCCAGGTTGCAGTCTCAATGCCCATTGGGGGAGGAGGGTGTATGCAGGAGGCAGCTTATCAATGATTCTCTCTCATCATTGATGTTTCTATCTCTCTCCCTTTCCTTTCCTCTCTGAAAGCAATGAAAACATATATTTAAAAAAAATTTTTTTTAAATAAATTGATGGGGTTTGGAGGTGAGAGCTTTGGAAGGTGATTTGGCCACGAGGGTGGAGCCTTCGTGAGGGGACACAGCCAGCAGCTGGCCCTCCGCACCTTGATCTGGGACATGCCAGCTTCTAGAACTCTGAGAGAGAAATGCTTGCCCCGTGAGTCATCCAGACTGTGGTATTTCCGTTTTAGCGGCCAGAACAGGCTAAAACGACACCTATACACGTATGTGTGTAGTACACATATTGAGATACGTGGATATCTAACATAGATCGTTATCTTTTTTAATGTATTTATTCTTTTATTTTTATTTTTTAAATATATTTTATTGATTTTTTACAGAGAGGAAGGGAGAGGGATAGAGAGCTAGAAACGTCGATGAGAGAGAAACATCGGCCAGCTGCCTCCTGCACACCCCCAACCGGGGATGTGCCCACAACCAACGTACATGCCCCTGACTGGAATAGAACCTGGGACCTTTCAATCCTCAGACCGACGCTCTACCATTGAGCCAAACCGGTTTCGGCATTTTTTTTTTTTTTTAATGATTTTTTACAGAGAGGAAGGGAGAGAGATAGAGAGAAACATGGATGAGAGAGAATCATCGATCAGCTGCCTCTTGCACGCCCCCTCCTGGGGATGTGCCCACAACCAAGGTACACACCCTTGATCGGAATCGAACCCGGACCCTTTAGTCCACTGAGCCAAACCGGTTTCTGCTGGATTGTTATCTTACATCCTAGAACCAACTTCTTCTGGTAAACTCTTATTTGGTTGATTTTGCAAATAAATAAATTGCCTGAGGCTGCCCTCCCACCCACCCCCAGGCGCCCGCCTGGAGACTCCAACCCCCTTCCAGGGCCCCAGAGCCTGAGCCTGTCCTCCGGGCATCGCTCTGCCCGGACCTGAAACCGGGGCAAAGCATCCTCTTGTGCAACCTCCGCTGGGAGCAGGGGCTACAGACAGCTCCCAGTCCTGCCGCTCTGCGCATGTCCGCGGAATGAACTGCACAGTGTGCGCCACTGACTCTGGGCTTTGGCTCAGTGGATAGAGCTTGGGCCTGCGGACTGAAGGGTCCTGGGTTCGATTCCGGTCAAGGGCATGTACCTTGGTTGTGGGCACATCCCCAGTGGGGGGTGTGCAGGAGGCAACTGGTCGATGTTTCTCTTTCATCGATGTTTCTAACTCTCCCTTCCTCACTGTAAAAAATCAATAAAATATATATTTTTAAAAAGAATCTCTCATTGATGTTTCTAACTCTATCTCTCTCCCTTCCTCACTGTAAAAAATCAATAAAATATATTTTTAAAAATCTTGAAGTGGGAACCCACCCAGGAGACACTTGGACCCGCCAGCAGAATCCGGGGGGACAGGACGAACACGGAGCTGAGACCTTCAGTCCGGGGCAATTTCGCCAAGAGAGGGAACGGTAGAGGGAACAGCATGTGCAAAAGCCTAGAAGAGAATGAAGCTAGAGAGAGATTGGGTATAGGGGGTTGGGGACAGAAAACACGCTCATCCTCACATCTTCCTCCTGAGTCACCTCACAGAGAGGGACAATTCCAGGGCCTGTCTCCAGGGCCCGGCCCCCCAACTCTGCAGGGGGGGAGGGGCTGGGGCCTGGGGCTGAGGGAGGAGGGGCTGGGGCTGAAGCCGGAGAGAGACCCTCACTCACTGTCTGTGCCACACGTGGGCCCCGCTTTCCCCTGAGGGCGGGAAGAGAAAGGTTACCCCAGCGCAGACCTCGGCGAGGCCTCTGCTGCCCCTTTGTGGCCACCTGTAATGGGCCTATCACCCAACTCGGTTCCCCTGGTGACCGGTCTCACGGTGACCCCCAGGACAAAAGGCAGAGAGGCCTTGGCCCACATTCTCCTTCGCTGTTCCAAGTACGCGCTGGGGTTCCTGAGACCACCACCCCCGCCCCCACTCCCCATCTCTGGCTTCCGGAGGAAACCCTAAATCTGCAAGAGACATATCCCCTAAATCACCCATTTTGCTCCAATAACCGAGACCCAGAGAAAGGGAGTGAGGATTTGGGGCCTGCCCCTCCCACGCATTCATCCCTTGGTTTTGCAAATGGGATTTTATAAGAAAAGAATCAGGACTCCTTCTTCCCACCTGGTCGCTCCTCTCCCAGAGAAGCCCCCCCCTCCCCGAAGGCTAGCGGGATCCGGGCTCCAATGCCGCCCCCCCCTCCCCGCCCTCAACCGGGACCACCTTCCCGGCATAGCGCCTTCCCGTGGCGGTCAGTCTGTCTGTCTCTTTCTCGGTTACACTCTGAGCCTCTCCCCACCTCCAGAGTCCGGGCTGGCTGTGGGCTGGACGCTGGAAGTTCGGCCCCAGCCCCATGGACCCTCAAACCCCGTCATCCAGACCCCCAAACCCCGTCATCCAGACCCCCAAACCCCGCCATCCAGACCCCCAAACCCCGTCATCCAGACCCCAAGCCCCATCATCCAAACCCTCAAACCCCGCCATCCAGACCCCCAAACCCCGCCATCCAGACCCCCAAACCCCGTCATCCAGATCCCCGTTCCCTCCTCGCGTAGCCCTGCCAGTCCCAGGTCCCTGCCCCTTGCTCCCCGGGGACCCAGGATTCCCCGCCCTTCAGAGTCCCCCGGAGGGTCACAACCCCAAACAGACAGACAGACAGACAGACAGAGAGAACGCTATTAACCAACAGTTCCAAACGTTTTAATCCGGATTCGGACCAGAGCCGGGAAACCCCCAGAGACCCCTCCCTGCAGGCCCCCCGGGAGGACCAGACCGCGCCCGGGAGCCCGGGGTGGCTCCAGGTCTCCGGGAGGGGCGGGGCCGCTTCAGGCCACGCCCTCCGCTTGCTCCTATTGGCTGCCTCCCTGGGTCAGAAGCTGGACTGCAGCATAGGCCACGCCCTCCTCGTGCTCCCATTGGTTCAGAAGCTGGACTGCAGCAGAGTGACGCGAAGAGGCCACGCCCCCTCGTCCGGCGCCAGGGCGGGCGGCGCCGCCCCCGGGTCCCAGGTGGGCACCGCCCAGGAGGCGGGGCCGGCGCCGCGCCCGCTGCCCCCGCGGGCGAGCCCCGGGGAGCGGGAACCGGCCGCCCGAGGAGAGCGAGGGGGCGAGGCCAGCGCGGGCTTGGGGTTGGACGGCGGCGGCGGCACCGGGGGAGGAGGTTCCCCTCCCGAGTCCAAATTCCCGCCTGGAGAGGACGAGGGCGGGATGAGAATGGCGAAAAGGGCCCCCTCCCTGGACTCCAGACCCCCCACTTCTCTTGTCTCAGATCCAGGAGTCCTGGCCCCAAGCCCCTGCGGCCTGGGGGCTGGAACTCCCGAACCCTGTCCAGCTGTTCTTCATCAGGACGAAGGATTTCCAGGAATTCCCGGACCCCTCCCCTCCAGGCCTCAGGCTGCCTCTTCCCCCAAACCCTAAACCCGGGGCCCCAGGTCCCCGCCCCCCCCCCACCTGTCATCATTCGGTGCCACTGCGAGGCCTCCGCGGCCAGAGCTTGGGAGAGGCTGAGGACTCGCTCCCGATGGCCTTCGGACATGGGAATGTAAGGGGCGGTGTTCCTCGAACTGGAAAAGAGATTGGGGGTTGGGGGTTTGGGGGGGAACCGTGCAGTTAGCCCGCACAGGGGGTGCCCCCACGGGTCCTTCTGGGAGTTGTAGTCCTTAGCACGTGTCTTCCAGGACTCTAAACCTGGGCAGGCCGGCATCAAGGGCATACAAAGCTCTGTGCACTATGCAATTTCCCCTCCGGTCACCGGTAACTGTCACCCCGTTTCCGGATGGTGGGGAAAGGGGGTGATATCCACCGGGGTTGCAGTATGAGGGATCTAGGGCTTTCTGATGCCCCACGAACTCTAGAAGGTTCTGCAACCATCCTGGTCGGGTGGTTCAGTGGGTTGGAGCATTATCCCGCAGACCGACTGGTGGCAGGTTTGATGCTAGGTCAGGGCACATGCCCAGGTTGCAGGCTCGGTCCCCGGTCAGGGCATATGCAGCGACCAACAGAGGTCTCTCTCCCCCTCATTAATATAAAAATTAAAAAGAAATAGAGATGGATCCAAGATGGCTGCTCGGGTAGACATCTAGCCGCGGCAGCACACAACAATTTCAATGGAATACAACTAAAATGTAGAGTGGACATTGCCCAGAGCTACAGGTAGTCGACTGACTGAAATTTCTACAACAAAAAGGAAAGAGAAAACCAGAAAGAAAATCAGAGGAGCTGAAAAAAAGCCTAAGGTACGGAGACATGCTGCGCGCGCCTGCCCGCCCGCACGCGCGCACGGAGAGGTCGCAGCCGGAGAGGAGGAGAGGGCGGGGAGCCGCCTTTCCTTCCCTAGCAGGAAGGAAATAAAACCCCCAGCCTGGGCTGAACCCCCGAACCGGCAGCGCTGAGCCCCCCCGAACCGGCAGCGCTGAGCTCCAGTTATGGGCCAGACCCTGGGGACCCAGGCTCCGGCGGGAGGAGACAGGGCCGTGAGGCGGAAAAACGGCGAAAGGCAGGGCCCCGGGAGTCGCGCGCAATGCGCGCAGAGGACTGAATGTTGACTCTGATGCTGGGTTGCCCTAGCCGGAAGAAACAAGGCCTCCGGCGGCGGTGAGCCTCAGTCCGGACTGCTCCGAACCCCAGTTCTAGGCCAATCCCTGGGGACCCAGGCTCAGGCAGAGGGAGACGGGACTGTGAGGTGGAGTCCGGGGAGAGCGGCGAAAGGCCGGGCCCCCGGGACTCGCGCAAACTGCGCGCAGAGGACAGTCTGTGGGACTCGCGCAAACTGCGCGCAGAAGACAGTCTGTTGACTCTGATGCTGGACTTCCCTAGCGGGAAGGAGAAAAAAAAAGCTCTAGGCTGGGGGAACGCGGAGGGGAGCGGAAGCCCCTGCCGGACTCCAGCCAACCGGGCACCAGCAAGGAGGCGGGCCACGAGGCCCCTGGGGGCGTGGGTGCCCCTGAGCCTTTGACCACTGAGCTCGGCAATGGAGCCAAGGCCGGGGGCTGCTTCCTGGGCGGCGCCGTCCCGGCAACAGGCTGAAGCAGCACAGGAGCCCGCGGAGAACAAAGGGGTGCCACAGGCCAACCTGCTGAGCTCCCAGGACAAGGAGGAAGAAACCAAAGAAGTTCTCAATGTGAAGAAATCAAGTGAGAGCAAAAAAATAGTAAAATTACTTAAGAAAAAATACAAAGAAGATCTTGAAAAATCAAAGACTAAGTCAGAACTCAACTCACCAGTCAACATTGCAACATAAATGCGTTTTAAAAAGAAAAAAAAAGGACAGAATGTTGGAACAGCGACGGCCAGGCCTAGAGTGGCCAGGCACAAGGCAGTGGCAGCCAGACCCGGAGCAGCAACGGCCAGGCCCCAGAACAACAGCAGCCAGAACCAGAGCATCAACAGCCAGCACTGGAGTAGCCAGACCTGGGGCAGTGGCAGCCAGGCATGAGGCGGAGGCGGCCAAGCCCAGGGTGGCCAGTCCAGGAACACCCAGACCCGGAGTGGCCGGGCCCGAAGAAGCCGGGCCCAGAGCTGCTGGGGTGGGAGCAGCCAGACCCAGAACAGCAGTAGCCAAGCCCAGAGCATCCAGGTCGGGAGTGGCCAGGCTCAGAGCGGCCGGGCCCGGGGCAGCCGGGCCCGGGGCAGCCGGGCCCAGAGCAGCCGGGTCAGGTGCGGCCAGGCCCGGAGCAGCGGCTGCCAGGCTGGGAGCGGCCAGGCCCGGGGGAGCAGGCGGGGCTGGTGCGGCCAGGCCCGGAGCAGCGGCTGCCAGGCTGGGAGCGGCCAGGCCCGGGGGAGCAGGCTGGTCGGGTGCGGCCAGGCCCGGAGCAGCGGCTGCCAGGCTGGGAGCGGCCAGGCCCGGGGGAGCAGGCGGGTCGGGTGCGGCCAGGCCCGGAGCAGCGGCTGCCAGGCTGGGAGCGGCCAGGCCCGGGGGAGCAGGCGGGGCTGGTGCGGCCAGGCCCGGAGCAGCGGCTGCCAGGCTGGGAGCGGCCAGGCCCGGGGGAGCAGGCGGGGCTGGTGCGGCCAGGCCCGGAGCAGCGGCTGCCAGGCTGGGAGCGGCCAGGCCCGGGGGAGCAGGCGGGGCTGGTGCGGCCAGGCCAGGAGCAGCGGCTGCCAGGCTGGGAGCGGCCAGGCCCGGGGGAGCAGGCGGGTCGGGTGCGGCCAGGCCCGGAGCAGCGGCTGCCAGGCTGGGAGCGGCCAGGCCCGGGGGAGCAGGCGGGTCGGGTGCGGCCAGGCCCGGAGCAGCGGCTGCCAGGCTGGGAGCGGCCAGGCCCGGGGGAGCAGGCGGGGCTGGTGCGGCCAGGCCCGGAGCAGCGGCTGCCAGGCTGGGAGCGGCCAGGCCCGGGGGAGCAGGCGGGGCTGGTGCGGCCAGGCCCGGAGCAGCGGCTGCCAGGCTGGGAGCGGCCAGGCCCGGGGGAGCAGGCGGGTCGGGTGCGGCCAGGCCCGGAGCAGCGGCTGCCAGGCTGGGAGCGGCCAGGCCCGGGGGAGCAGCCGGGTCTGGTGCGGCCAGGCCCGGAGCAGCGGCTGCCAGGCTGGGAGCGGCCAGGCCCGGGGGAGCAGGCAGGGCTGGTGCGGCCAGGCCCGGAGCAGCGGCTGCCAGGTTGGGAGCGGCCAGGTCCGGAGCAGCAGCAGCCAAGTCCAGAGCAACTAGGTCGGGAGCGGCAGTGACCAGACCCGGAGCAGCTGGTTGTGGAATGAACCAGAGCAACAGAGGCCAGGCCCTGAGCAGCCAGGCCCAGAACAGCTCGCTCCTTGCCTGCCCCTGCCCCACGGCTGCTTCTCAGACATGGCTGGAAACTTTCGTGGGAACTTGAGGGTCTGCTGAATCAAGTGATGAAGGCTTAGATCTGGATGTGTTGAGTTAGTTTAGGACTGGGGTGTTGATCTGTGAGTGCCTTGGGTGGGGCCTGGATGAGGCTGGTTGACCTAGTGGGAAATGTCTTTTGTGTGAAGTGTATCATTGGGCATGTGGAGGTATTATTGATATGAGAAAATGCTAAGTAACTGATTTACTATCTGAAAAGGGATTTACTATTGGGGAAATTGAGGGAAGAAGAGACTGAACATAAACTGCACCTATGGATGAGGACAATGGGGGATGGGGGGGGGGGACGGAGGGTGGGGTGGGAACCTGGTGGAGGGGGGAAGAAATGAGGAACCTTTGTAATAATATGAACAATAAAGATTGATTTAAAAAAATAAATAAATAAATAAATAAATTAATTAAAAAAAAAAAAAAAAAAAAAAAAAAAAAAAAAAGAAATAGTAATAGCCCTGGCTGGTTTGGCTCACTAGATGGAGCGTTGGCCTGTGGATTGAAGAGTCTCAGGTGTGATTCCCAGGTCAACGGAGGCATTTACCTTGGTTGCGGGCACATCTAGTTGTGCAGGGGCAGCTGATTGATGTTTCTAGCTCTCTATCCCTCTCCCTTCCTCTCTGTGAAAAATATATTTTATTGATTTTCCACAGAGAGGAAGAGAGAAGGATAGAGAGCTGAAACGTCGATGAGAGAGAAACATCTATCAGCTGCCTCCTGCACACCCCCCACTAGGGATGTGCCTGCAACCAAGGTACATGCCCTTGACCTGAATCGAACCTGGGACCTTTCAGTCCACAGGCTGACGCTCTATCCAGTGAGCCAAACCGGTTAGGGCAATAAAAAATATTTTTAAGAAATAGTAGTAAAAGGAAGAGAGAGGGATAGAGAGCTAGAAACATCGATGATGACAGAGAAATACCGATCACCTGCCTCCTGCACACACCCCTGTGGGGATGTGCCCACAACAAAGGTACATGCCCTCGACCAGAATCGAACCTGGGACCCTTCAGGCCGTAGGCTGATTGATGTTCTATCCAAACCGGTTCGGCATCATCATTGATGTTTCCATATCTCTCTCCCTCTCCCTTCCTCTCTGAAATCAATAAAAATATGTTTTTTAAAAATAACAATGCTGCTGAAGCCGGTTTGGCTCAGTGGAAGAGTGTCGGCCTGGGGACTGAAGGGTCCCGGGTTCGATTCCGGTCAAGGGCATGTACCTTTTTTTTTTTTTTTTTAAATCAATCTTTATTGTTCATATTATTACAAAGGTTCCTCATTTCTTCCCCCCTCCACCAGGTTCCCACCCCACCCTCCGTCCCCCCCCCCATCCCCCATTGTCCTCATCCATAGGTGCAGTTTATGTTCAGTCTCTTCTTCCCTCAATTTCCCCGATAGTAAATCCCTTTTCAGATAGTAAATCAGTTACTTAGCATTTTCTCATATCAATAATACCTCCACATGCCCAATGATACACTTCACACAAAAGACATTTCCCACTAGGTCAACCAGAAGGGCACATCCCCAGTGGGGGGGGGGGTGCAGGAGGCAGCTGGTCGATGTTTCTCTTTCATCGATGTTTCTAACTCTCTATCCCTCTCAATTCCTCTCTGTGTAAAATCAATAAAATATATTTAATAAATAAATAAATAAATAAATAAATAAATAAATAACAATGCTATCGCTGCCCCTTGGGGCTGGGTTTGCCTCCTGGGCACCCAGCTGCTTACCTGCTCCAGGACCCGGAGCTCCTGAGCCATTTCTGGGCTCCTGCGTGTGCCAGGCCGGGCTGCAGAGGAAGCGGGCACAGTCCCCTCACCAGGAGCCCCCCATTGGGAGGGTGAGATGGAGGAGGCTCAGAGAGGGGAGGAGATGGTCTCAGGACACGGGCAACGATGACTTCCCCCCAGAGAGCCTGCCTCGCCCTCGGCCTCAGGGAGACCCGGAGCCGCACCCCGATTACCGGCTACAGAGCCAGAACCGCCCCCCTCTTCCCTCTGCACCGGCACCTGCCCGGCCGGACTGTCTGCCCCCAACACTGGCTACACACAGGCACACGTTTGGGCTCGTCGGACTGAGGCGCCCCCTGATTGACAAAAGCAATCCTACGACCTGTCTAATTCCTCCCTCAAACAATAAAGTGGGGGGCCGCTCCACCAGGTCTGGAGCTCCTCACTGCAATGGAATAAATAAAATAGGCTTCTTTCCTTCTTCCTTCTTCTCTCTCTCTCTCTCTCCCTCTCTCTCTTTCTCTCTCTCTCTCTCTCTCTCTCTCTCTCTCTCTCTCTCTCTTCCTTTCCTTCTTCCTTCCTTCCCCTCCCTCCCTCCCTCCCTCCCTCCCTCCCTCCCTCCCTCCCTCCCTCCCTCCCTCCCTCCCTTCCTTCCTTCCTTCCTTCCTTCCTTCCTTCCTTCCTTCCTTCCTTCCTCCTGGGAGCTGGGGGACGTTGTACCTGCTCCACCCCTGTCCCCCACTGAGACGGGCCAGGCACAGCTGGCTGAACTGGGTTGAAATGGGAAACCGTCCTGGGAGGAAGGTGGGGGCATCCCATTGCCCAGAGAGGGAGAGGGAGGCTCCCCCTGGGGCAGAGGACCCACCCCACCGCCCTCTGCCCTCCTGCCCCTCACCCTTCGCTCCAGGTCTGGCTGGCCGCGGGCGGGGGACAGGGCCCGCCCCAGGGTGAGGAGCCGCGGGGCCGCGGGGCGGGGCAGAGGCCGGCCGCTCTCCTGGTTCCTGCGGATCCGCTCCAGCTGCTCCTGGGCGCTCATCCGGGGCCGGGCCTGGGGGGCCTGGGGGGGCGGGGGACCAGACACGCCTCATCACCCCAACCTGGGCTTCCGTTTCCGCTCTTCCCTGGACCTCTCAGCCTCCTGCCCTGCCCTTTCCCGTCAGCTCACCCCCAGCTCAGAGGCTCTTTCTGCCTGGAGCTGAGGCTGACCCTCCGCCGCCCACTCCCCCGCCCCCCAGGATGCCCAAGCCCAGCCTGATCCCCAGCCACCCTCTGCCTCAACACACACACACACCGCACACACCATACATGCACTCACACACACCACACACACACACACACCACACACACACACACACCACACACACCACACACACACCGCACACCACACACACCATACATGCACTCACACACACCACATGCACTCTCACACACACTCACATACACATACACCACACATATACCACACTCACACACATATACCACACACATACACACACACTCAAACAAGAACCTCTGAAAGGGCCTTGAAAACAGCAGGAGGCCTGGGGCTGGCTCAGCCTGTGAGAACCGATGGCTCTGTCCTGCCTCAGCACCGGGGGGAATGCCATGTGCCAACCGGAGTCAGGTGGCCACAGGCCGATCCCTCCCGGCCTCCTCAGAGGGTTTGGGCCCTGCGGACACCTTGATGGTGAACGTCAGCCTTCAGGACGTAAAATGCAAGAGGACAGCGATAAAACGCCAAAGAAAGTGTTCAGCGAGGGCCGGTGTGGCTCAGTGGATAGAGCGCCGGCCTGCGGACTGAGGGGTCCCAGGTTCGATTCCGGCCAAGGGCACTGGGTTGTGGGCTGGATCCCCCGTGGGGGGTGTGCTGGAGGCAGCCCATCAAGGATTCTCTCTCATCATTGATGTTTCGCTCCCTCTCTCCCTCTCCCTTCCTCTCTGAAAGCAATGAAGAAATATATTTATAATAAAAAAACAAAAAGAAATTGTTCATCGAAAGGAAACGGGAGCTTGAAGGCTGGGGCGATTCTCGGCCCAGTCGCGTTGCGAAAGAGAAGGCGTGTTCCGGACAGCACACCCAGGGTGTGGCCGTTAGCAGAGCGATCAGGCATGTGATGGGCGGGTCCAGCACACGATCACGGAGGACACAGGGCCAACTGGAACGGAAGGGGACGGGGATGGGACTCGGAGAAGAAGGGCGGGGATGTGCCGGCGGAGAACATGTGATCCCGCAGGAGAGCGGGCAGGGTTTTTATTGTTTGTTTTGTTTTTTTTTAAATATATTTTATTGATTTTTCACAGAGAGGAATTGAGAGGGACAGAGAGTTAGAAACGTCGATGAGAGAGAAACATTGACCAGCTGCCTCTTGCACACCCCCTACTGGGGATGTGCCCGCAACCAAGGTACATGCCCCTGACCGGAATCGAACCCGGGACCTTTCAGTCCACAGGCCGATGCTCTATCCACTGAGCCACACCGGTGAGAGGGGGCAGTTTGGAGACAGACAGGCACCCGGCCGGGGGAGAGCCACGTGACCTCGCAATTCTGCGGCCACAAGCGAAGGAGGGGACCTGGGGCGATCCAGCGCCAGAGAGCACGGCCCTGAGGACACCCTGCCTCCGGCCTCCAGCCTGCAGAACTCCGAGTCCATGAATGTGTTGGTCAAAGGGAAAGACACACTAAGCAAAACAAAAAACAAGGGGAAGAGAACTCATCGCTGCAGCTGCAACGAGAAAATTCTAAAAACTAGAAACGGCTCTGACCGGTTTGGATCAGCCTGTGGACTGAAGGGTCCCGGGTTCGATTCCGGTCAAGGGGAATGTATCTTGGTTGCAGGCACATTCCCAGTGGGGGGGTGTGCAAGAGGCAGCTGATTGATGTTTCTCTCTCATCGATGTTTCTGAATCGCTACCCTTCTCCCTTCCTCTCTGTATAAAATCAATAAAATATATTTAAAATAAAATGAAATAATAAAAACGAGAAATGGCCTGGATCCATCTGTGGCTCACGGTGGGGCCAGTCCCTGTTTTACACACACACACACACACACACACACACTGCCTATGGCCCTGTGCCGTCTGTTTCTCCACAGCGGCCAGACCGCGGCCCCGGGGCCTGCCAGGCCCAAGCCCAAACTTTGACACACTCACCTGTTTCAAATATAGCAGCCCACACAGGCAGGTATTTTTAGCCAGTTAAAGCCTGCCTGCTGTGACTACTCCACAGAGCTGTGTCCAGCATTGGCTAGCCAGAGGCAAGGCAAACCCGCAGCTATAAAAGACCAAGCGGCCTGGCCAGGGTGACTCAGTTGGTTGGGCGCCAGCCCGTGCACCAAAGGGTTGCCAGTTCTATTCCTGATCAGGGCACCTGCCAGGATTCCCTTGGGGCCTTGAGGCCTGGTAGGGGGAGTGCAGAAGGCAGCCAATCGATGTTGTGCTCTCACATTGATGTTTCTCTCTCTCTCTCTCCCTTCCTTGCTCTCTAATATATTTTTTTCACTTTTAATTGAATTATATTATATTTTTATTTTTTAACATGTTGATGTTTATTGTCAGACAGAAAGGGAGAGAGAGATAGAAACATCAATGATGAGAATCATTGATTGGCCGCCTCCTGCACACATCCCACTGGGGGATGGAGCCTGCAACCTGGGCCTGTGCCCTGACTGGGTTTTGAACTATGACCTCCTGGTTCATAGGTTGATGCTCAACCACTGAGCCATGCCAGCTGGGCTATGTATACACTGAGTGACCAGGTTATGGTGATCTCTGAACGCATAATAATCTGACCACGCATAATAATCTGTATATCCTATATAATAAAAGGCTAATATGCAAATTGTCCCCTCCACCAGGAATTCAACCAGCAGGCAGACTGGCCAACTGCCCATATCTCCTCCCTCTGGCCAGGCTGGCCGGACCCCACCCATGCATGGATTCATGCACCAGGCCTCTAATATATATATACACACTAGAGGCCCATTGCACAATATTCGAGCAAGAATAGGCCTTCTTTCCCCTGGCTTCCCTCCCAGCCGCCTGGGAGCCACCAAGTCCCCCTTCTGTCTGAAGCACCGCTCCTGTAGCTTCCCCCACCGCCCTGCCTCCCCTCCCAGCCCTCCCACATGCAAATCAACCTCCATCGTCGTTGGGTTAATTTGCATACCCATTCTGATTGGCTGTGTGTGTAGCAAAAAGATGGTTAATTTGCATGCTTCTATTTTATTAGGTAATATATACTGAGTGACCAGATTATTATGCATTCAGAGATCATAATAATCTGGCCATTTGGTGTATATTAGAAGAAAGAGAGAGGAAGGAAGGAAGGAAAGAAGGAAAGGGGAGAGAGAGTATATACCCCAAGGGGCTGCCACCTAAGGCGTCTCCCAGAGACATCCGCTGTGCGCTGAGTGCTGTCTCCCTGCCCTGAACCCCCTTCTCAGACATCCCCGCCCCCTCCCCTTGGGCACTGGCTCCCACAATAACCTCGGGGTCTCAGGTCCTGGCTTCTCCCAGGGCAAACCCGTCCAAAGGGGTCAATAAAGCTCAGTGCGTGCTACCGCCACCTCGTGGCCATCTTGCTCCTTGCTCAGCTCTGGAATGCCTCCCCAGCCGGGGCAGGCGCGGAACTGCATGGCTGGGAGGGAAAGAAGCAATTCCTGTCCATTCTACACACCACGCCCTTCCAGGAAAGACAGTGGTTTTGTATCCATGACAACAAGGAAGCGCCAGAAGCGCCCTCCAATCCGCTGGATGAGGTCATCACCCCCCAGCCAGCCAGCCAATCAGTGCCGGCCCCGCGTCTCTGAAAACCAGCCAATCAGCAGCAGACACAAAGCCTCCCCCGCTTAAGGGGGCCAGTCCCTGGACTCTCCAGGTTTACCTTTGTTTAAGCAAAGTATCACCTTCAGCATTGTTTCTGCATCTCCATCCCCTCCACGCTGCTCCCTCTGTTGGACTTTCCCACATGGCCACGCCTTTTCTCATGCACCCGGACTCAGTTTACCTATCCGTTAAAAGGCTTCCTAGCCCTGACTGGTGTGGCTCAGGGGATGGAGTGTCAGCCTGCAGGCTGAAAGGTCCCAAGTTCAATTCAGGTCAAGGGCATGTATCTCTCTCTCTCCCTCTTCCTTGCTCTCTGAAATCAATGTGAGATATATATATATATATATATATATATATATATATATATTTTTTTTTTTTTTTTTTTTTTTTTTTTTTTAATAAGGCTTCCTGCCCTAACCTGTTTGGCTTAATGGATAGAGCGTCAGCCTGCGGACTGAAGGGTCCCAGGTTCAATTCCAGTCAAGGGCATGTACCTTGATTGCGGGCACATCCCTGGTAAGAGGTGTGCAAGAGGCAGCTGATCAATGTTTCTCTCTCATCAATGTTTCTAATTCTCTATTCCTCTCCCTTCTTCTCTGTAAAAAATCAACAAAATATATTTTAAAATAAATAAATAAATTTAAACAGCCACAAGTGGCTACTGGCTACCTTATCGGATAGTGAAGAGGATATTGAATCAATATTTGTTAAGTCACGCCGAAACCAGTTTGGCTCAGTGGTAGAGGGTCGGTCTGCGGACTGAAAGGTCCCAGGTTCGATTCCGATCAGGGGCATGTACATTGGTTGCGGGCACATCCCCAGTGGGGGGTGTGCAAGAGGCAGCTGGTCGATGTTTCTCTCTCATGGACGTTTCTAGCTCTCTATCTCTCTCCCTTCCTCTCTGTAAAAAATCAATAAAATATATATTTTTAAAAATATTTGTTAAGTCAACGAATAGGTAAATGAATGAATGAATGAATGAATGAGTGAGTGAAGTACTTACTATATCCAGGCACTATTTCCAACCCTCCCTGGGCATTCATCTAGTCTGAATCCCCACATCAGCTCTAGGTGGCAGGCACTCATTTTGCAGACGAGAAAATGGAGGCAGAGAGAGGCTTAGTAACTGGCCCGAAGTCACACAGCTTAGCGGTGGCAGGGACAGAATTTAACCCCAATGTTCTCACATCACGTTCTCTGTGGTCTGGGCTGTCGCCTTAGAGCCCCTCCCCCAGCCGTCCCCCCCGAGAGTGGGTGATCGGTGCTGATCAGAGGAAGGGGTATGAGAGGGCCCGAGGGGGCCAGGCAGACCGCATACCTTGGTGCCTGGCTGCGGGGAGGGAGGGCAGCGACCCTCGGGGCTCGAAGCCTGGGGGGTCCTGGGAGATCCCACACCTGGAAGGGCAGGATGGGATGCGGTGAGGGTGGGGGGTGCCATGCAGGTGTCCCCGCCACCCGGCCCAGGGCGCTCACCTGAGCGAGGGCTGGCAAGGCCTCGGTCCCCCCCAGGGGGCCGCCCCCAGTCGGCCTCTGGGGACCGGGGTGAGCTCAGTTCCAGGGACTCAGGCAGACTCTGGAGGGGTTGGGGAAGAGGAATCATGATGATCGTCGTCGTTATTATGGCCACTGACTAAGCGCCTAGCAACGGGGACGCAGCACCATAGGACTGAGGCGGGAAACCAGCAGCCAGGCCCTGACCGGTGTGGCTCAGTGGATAGAGCGTCGGCCTGGGGACTTAAAGGTCCCAGGTTCGATTCCGGTCAGGGGCATGTACCTTGGTTGCGGGCACATCCCCAGTGGGGGGTGTACAGGAGGCAGCTGATTGATGTTTCTAATTCTCTATCCCTCTCCTTTCCTCTCTGTAAAAAATCAATAAAATATAGAAGAAGAAGAAGAAGGAGGAGGAGGAGGAGGAGGAGGAGGAGGAGGAGGAAGGGGAGGAAATCTGATAAGTGTTTAAGCAATGACTCTCTGGGGGGAAACAGCCCTGGTTTGTGTGTTTGCCAGTTGCCGTGGTGTAAATATTCCCACTCCGTCCATTTCCACAGGATGTCATTGACTGCGGAGTTGGGAAGAGATGCCCGCAGTTGGCCCCTGGGGGGTGGGGGGGGCTGAGCTGGGTCCAGCACCCCGCTGGCTTACGCTCACATGTAACAAGGAAACTACGGCTTCCACGGCTTAGGGTGCTTGTCTGAGGCTGGTTAGTCAGTCAAAGGAGAGGGAGAGAGGTGAGTGGGCGATAGTTTGGCCAGGGGCAGATGGGACAGGAAGCTGGGAGTGGAAAGAGACGTGTGTAAGCCTCACCTCTCTCTCTGAAGACTCCTCGCCTTGGAGAGCAGGAGATGGGGAGTCAGGCTCCGTGCTTTGGGGCGGTTTCTGGGGGCCCCCCAGACCTGCCAGGGTGTCTTCCATCATCCACAGCTGTTGCTGAGCAGACGTTCTGTCCTGGGGGAAAGGGGAGGGAGGAAAGGAATGTGGTTCTCAGAGGTGGGACAATGCAAGAGGGCTAAAGCTGATGGGCCACAGGCAGGATCTGAAGCCAGCGGGGCTGTGATTGTGGAGTCATAAATGGACTATGGCTGGAACTGGTTTGGCTCAGTGGGTAGAGCATTGGCCTGCAGAATGAAGGGTCCTGAGTTCAATTCCGGTCAAGGGCACTTGCCTAGGTTGGGGGCTATATTTCCACCTGCATGCAGGAGGCAGCCAATACGTGATCCTCTCTCATCATTGATGTTTCTCTCTCTCTCCCTCTCCCTCCCTCTCTGAAATCAATAAAATATATACACGAGAGAATTATATATATAAAATAAATAAATGGACTACGTGCACATATCACGGCTGTATTTGTGGCTACCCACAATGGATATCCCGTCATCTCACCACCACTTATCATAAACACTGTCTTTTAAAAAATATATATATATAAATTTTATTGATTTTTTACAGAGAGGAAGAGAGAGGAATAGAGTCAGAAACATCGATGAGAGAGAAACATCGATGAGAGAGAATCATCCCCAGTGGGGGGTGTGCCTCCTGCACACCCCCCACTGGGGATGTGCCCACAACCAAGGTACATGCCCCTGACCGGAATCGAACCCGGGACCTTTGCGTCCACAGGCCGACCCTCTATCCACTGAGCCACACCGGTATTGGCTACACTGTGTTTTTTGCACGGCTCTGCAGCATTACGTCTGGCATAAATAAGGGGCCGTATACATGTACGTGAGTCTGCTTCTGAGTGCCCTATTCAGTTTCTTTGCTTTGTTTGTCTAACCTGTGTCAACATTACCCTGTGTTATTAACAGTAGCTTTCCAAATGCAACGCAGGGTCAGTGTGTCAATCTCCATGCAAAAACCTTCTGGATCTGCACTGGGGCTGCTGTCCCCATTGGGGAAATTCACTTGGGGAGACTACATCTTTGCATTAGTGTATCTTTCCTATCCATGAGCTTAGTACGTCTCCCCATTTATGAAGGTCTCTACCTTCTCTGTGGTTTTTCTTTATTTTTAAAATATATTCTATTTATTTTTTACAGAGAGGGTGAGGGATAGAGAGTTAGAAACATCGATGAGAGAGAAACATCAATCAGCTGCCTCTTGCACACCCCTCACCGGGGATGTGCCCGCAACCAAGGTACATGCCCTTGACAGGAATCGAACCTGGGACCCTTCAGTTCGCAGACCGACGCTCTATCCATTGAGCCAAACCGGTTAGGGGCCAGGTTAGTCAAGGGCACATGCTCACATGCTCAGGTTTCGAGCATGATCCCCAGCAGGGGGCGTGCATGAGGCAGCCGATCAATGATTTTCTCTCATTGGTGTTTCTATCTCCCTCTCTCTTCCTCTCTGAAATCAATAAAAAAAAAAAAAAAAAAAAAAAAAAAAAAAAAAAAAATATATATATATATATATATATATATATATATATATATATTTTAAAAAAACTGTTGTTTACTTACTTTCCACTTGCTTGGCACTAGCAAATTCTAATAGTGTCTCTGGAAATTATTATTTTTTTTTAATGTGTGGATTTATTTATTTATTTATCACCTGAGGATATTTTTCCATTGATTTTTAGAGACAGAGGGAGAGAGAGGGAAAGACAAAAATATCAGTGTGAGAGAAAGACGGCCATTTGTTGCCTCCTGCGTGCACCCTGACCAAGGCCAGCCGAGAGAGACCTGCAACTGAGGCACGTGCCCTTGACCAGAATCGAACCTGGGACCCTCCAGCCTGCCGGCCAGTGCTCTATCCACTGAGCAAACTGGGTAGAGCTGGTCATGACTTGGATATTCTACATATATACACAATCTGTAAATAAAAATAGCTTTACTTCTTCCTTTCTTGTCATGATACCTAATTGCTTACTTCTCGTACTTGGTCTGTCTAAAACCTCTGGTACACTTGGTTGTGGGCACATCCCCAGTAGGGGGGGTGCAGGAGGCAGCTGATCGATGCTTCTCATTAATGTTTCTAACTCTCTATCCCTCTCCCTTCCTCTTTGCAAAAAATCAATAAAATATATATATTTTTTTTTAAATATATTTATTGATTTTTCACAGAGAGGAAGAAAGAGGAATAGAGAGTTAGAAACATCGATGAGAGAGAAACATCAATCAGCTGCCTCTTGCACACCCCTCACCGGCAAGTACTAGACAACTTTTCAGCAAGTACTAGACAACTTTTATCAGATGAAGGAACTTCCTTTCCATTTCTGCTTTGCCGAGAGCTTTTATCAGGAATGGGTGTGGAATCTTGTCTTTCTCTGCCCTGCATGTATTGAGACGACCATGTGGTTTTCCTCCATTATATTGTCAAATGTGGTGAAATGCATGGACTGATTTTCAAGTGTTAAAACTAACCTTGCATTCCCATAGCAAACCCAATTTGGTTTAATGCATTTCTATTCTCTTCCTCTATTGCTGGTTGTAAGTAATATTTAACACCACTAGGAGGCGTTAGTGTTAAATGGTGGATTTTAAGAAATTGGGAGGGTTTAGTACGAAGTCTGGGCTTAAATCTGTAAGTACACATGTAATACTAGAAGTCAATGTTTTTAACTAAAAATATATAATTTTGGCCCCAGCCAGCGTGGCTCAGTAGTTGAGCATCGACCTATGAACCAGGAGGTCACGATTTGATTCCAGGTCTGGGCACATGCCCACCATATCTATCCCCAATGTGGGCTTGTGGGAGGCAGCTGATGAATGATTCTCTCTCCAATCATTGATGTTTCTATCTCTCTTTTCCTCTCCCTTCCTCTTTGAAATCAATAAAAAATAAATCAAATAAAATCAAACGAAAAAGATACATGATTTTGGCCCTGGACAACGTGGCTCAGTTGGTTGGAGCATCATCTATACCTAACTGCCCTGGGTTCGATTTCCAGTCAGGGCACATACCTAGGCTGGGGGTTCGATCCCTGGTTGGGGCACGTAAGAGAAATAACTGATCAATATTTCTCTCTCACATTGATGTTTCTCTCTCTCTCCTTTCCTCTCTAAAATCAATAGATATATCCTCTGGTGAGAATTGAAAAAACGAAGAAGAGGAAGGAAATAAAGGAAGGGGAGGAGCTTGTGAGAAGGACTTCAAACCTGTGGGAGGGGCCTCAGTGCCCACAGGGTTTCCAGGTGTGGATGGTGAGGCTTGGGGCTGGGGACAGGGATGTACCTGCGGGGACCCGAGGTGCAGCAGGCACTCCAGGGTCTCTCTCACGGTGCCCAGCTCCTGCTCCAGGCCGCTGTAGGCGTCCCAAACCCGCTCACGCTCCTCAGGTCCAGAAAGGGGAGACACGGGGTTAGCATGCCCACCCCCTAGATCTTCCCCTAGATCTTCCTACTTCCAGTGTTCCCAGAGGAGGAGGAGGAAGGCCAGCCTGGGCCCTGGTGTCCTGAGGGAGTACGTGGACTACAATTCCCAGAGGCCTCTTTATGTGGACTACAATTCCCAGAGGCCAGCAAAGAGGCCTCTGGGAATTTAGTCCATGTAAAGAGGCCTCTGGGAATTGTAGTCCACATACTCCTTTGGGAACCACAGTGTCTGTAAGGAACCTGGCATTCCAAAGAGCTCCTCGTGCAGAGAAATCACAGCTCTCTCTGAGCCCTCACCTCTGAGCTGCCCTGGGGCACATCTGGTGAGTTCTCCGGCTAGTCAGGACCACACTCCTCTGCCCTCCTGGACAGCAGAAACCCCCTCACCAATAGTAATAATGATAGCCGCTAGTATTTATTAGGCACTTCATGTGTGTCAGGCACCGTTCTTAGCACTCATTTAAGTCTGTGCTATAGGTACTATGAATGTTTCCATTTTACAGATAATAATACCCATAGCTAACACAAATACTGCTGATCAGATGCCAGGTACCTACGTGTTAACTAGTCATTTATTCAATGGCTAGGACAGTGGTAGGCACGCTGCGGTTCTGTTGACTCATGAGTTTGCTGACCGCTGTGTAAGGCATTATTACCCTTACCCAGAAGTTTTGACGTCAGGTTAAAGACATCAGTACATTATTCAAATGTTTTTTCAAGTGTTTTTTCCCTAAGGCAGTGGTCGGCAAACTCATGCGTCATCAGAGCAGCAAACGGCAGCTTGGGAGCCGCGGTTTGCCGGTCACTGTGCTCGTACATATATGTATGCAATCTTCACCATGACCCCGTGATGTAAGTACTGTATTTTCCATCTCGCGTTTACAGAAGATGCGTCTTATAGGAGCTAAGGTCCAGAGGGGTTGGGTAACTTTTCTAAGCTCACACAGCTTCTGGGAGTGGGAGCTGAGACACAAAGCCAGGAATCCACATCCAACCACCCCTTAAACCGCTACATGAAGTTCTGTGCTTCCTGGCTGCTCACCCTCTGGGACAGACAAGAGCATGGGACTAACATTTGGGGAGAGGACAATTCTCAAAAACTACCTTCCCATGAGCTCTTGGGGTGAGGTCCCCTTTAGGAACAGCCTGCTGAGTCCTGGCGCTCCCTCCCCCACCTCCCTGGAGGGTATGTCCCTTCCCAGATGCTCACCTGAGTCAAGTGACAAAGAGTGGCCCTCACACTGACCAGCCGGTCCTGCAGGAGGCGCTGGCGCCCCCAGGCCCTCGGTGGAGCCGCAGCCTCCCTGGCTGCCTGGCCCAGCTGCTGCCTGGTCAACTCTAGGGCTGCTTCCAGCTGCTCCTGCACCGAGAGGGGAATGATGACCTTCCCCCGGCCAGCATGGCTCAGTGGTTGAGCATCAGCCCATGAACCAGGAGGTCACAGGGACAGGGGCACAAGCCCAGGTTGTGGGCTCCATCCCCAGTAGGGGGCGTGCAGGAGGCAGCCGATCAGTGGTTCTCTCATCATTGGTGTTTCTATCTCTCCCTCTCCTTCCCACTCTCTAAATTCAATTTAAAAAATTAAAAAAGCCAAAACCGGTTTTGCTCAGTGGATAGAGCGTCAGCCTGAGGACTGAAGGGTCCCAGGTTTGATTCTGGTCAAGGGCATGTACCTTGGCTGCGGGCACATCCCCGGTGGGGGGTGTGCAGGAGGCAGCTGATCAATGATTCTCTCTCATCGATGTTTCTAACTCTCTATTCCCTCTCTCTTCCTCTGTAAAAAATGAATAAAATATATTTTCTAAAAAAAAAATTTTAAAGAAAAGATTAACTTTCTGAAGTCACACCCAGCCCCAGGGAGAGAGAACAAGTGTCCTCCCACATCCCCTTCAGCCCGAATGCTGGGGATCCGGTCAGGCTAAGGGCAGGGAGGGACTAGGTGTCTCTTCCCATCCCACCTTCTCCTCCTGCCTCTGGTCTATCTCTTCCTGCAGCCTCTTCAGCAGCCGGTCCTGCCCACACAGCTTGGTCAACAGAGTCTGAAAAAGGAGAACGGGCCAGATCTGGCTCTTACCCCTGTCCCTCCCAACCCCCCACACTCACGCACCTAGAACGTTCTCTCCCCAACCCTGGAACTCGGCAGAGGTTGGATCCGGGAGGACTTACATCTGTCTCCAAGCTCTGGTGGAAGGAGGAGTCCAGGGGAGGGCCCGGCTGAGGAGAAGGAGAGAAGCCGGGTCACCTGGGCAGCCAGGGCCCGCGCTGAGCCTGCCTCCGTCTGTACTGACACCCCCCCCCCCCCAATGTGCTCTGTGAACTAATAGCTGTAACAAATGTTATCGTTCATGGGGGAATCCAGACATGTCCTTCACTGCTGAGAATAAACCAGGGATGGCCACTACCTCTGTTACCGTTTAACACCGTGTGAGAGATCCTCACCAATGCTGTGAGACCAAGAAGACAGCCCCACTGTGTGGCTCAGGGGTTGAGCATCAGCCTATGAACCAGGAGGTCATGATTCGATTCCCGGTCAGGGCACAAGTCCGGGTTGCAGGCTTGATCCCCAGTGTGGGGCGTGCAGGAGGCAGCCGATTGATGATTTTCTCTTATCTTTGATGTTTCCATCTCTCTCTCCCTTCCTCTCTGAAATGTGTGTGTGTGTGTATGTGTGTGTGTGTGTGTGTGTGTGTGTGTGTATGTATGCATATATATAATACACTGAGTGGCCAGATTATTGTGATCTCTGGAAGCTTAATAATCTGGCCACTCAGTGGTATTCGTATCTCAAACAGGTACCAAAGTATCCTAGACTTTGGCTGGAGATCAGCCACCTGTTTGCCCCGAGCTTTCTATCAGCCAGTGCAAAGGGGGGAACTGATCAGGTGCACGACTTATACTATCTTGGATATCAAATAAATGAGTTACTCAACAGTACCCTGAGTGGCCAGATTACTATGCGTTCAGAGATTATAATAATAGATATCCTTCTTATATAATAAAAGCCTAATATGCTGTGTCCAACCAGTAGCTATGATGCGCACTGACCACCAGGGGCGGATGCTCCCAGCGGAAGGTTAGCTTGCTGCTGGGGTCCAGTTGAGAGGGACCGGGTGAGTCGGGGGCAGACACGCCCTGGAGCCCTCCCACGTGCACCGGTGGGCCCCTCAGCCCGGCCTGCGGGGGATCAGCGGAAACCAGCTCTCCTACATCCCCCTGAGGTCCTGGGTTGCAGAGGGTGCAGGTCAGTAATCCACCAGGCCGCCAGTATATATAACTAGGTTGCCAGTTTGATTCTTGGTCAGTGCATGCACAAGAATCAACCAATGAATGGAATGAGTGAGTGGAACAAAAAATTGATCTCCCTCTCAAAAAACAACAATCAAACAAATGTTTTAACAATAGCATATCTCTACACCATCAATAACTAGAAAACATAGTTTAAAAGATGGTGCCAGCCCTAACCGGTTTAGCTCAGTGGATAGAGCACCAGTCTGTGGCCCGAAGGGTCTCATGTTCACTTCTGGTCAAGGATATGCACCTTGGTTGCAGGCACATCCCCAGTAGGAGATGTGCAGGAGGCAGCTGATGGATGTTTCTCTCTCATCGATGTTTCTAACTCTCTATCCCTCTCCCTTCCTCTCTCTAAAAAAAAATCAATTAAAACATATTTTAGCCAAAACCGGTTTGGCTCAGTGGATAGAGCGTCGGTCTGCGGACTGAAAGGTCCCAGGTTCGATTTCGGTCAAGGGCATGTACATTGGTTGCAGGCACACCGCCGGTGCGGGGGGGGGGGGGGGGGGGGAGGGGCGGGGGGTGTGTGTGCAGGAGGCAGCTGGTCGATGATTTTTCTCTCATCCATGTTTCTGGCTAACGATCTCTTTCCCTTCCTCTCTGTGGAAAATCAATAATAGATATATAGATAGATAGATAGATAGATAGATAGATAGATATAGATATAGATATAGATATATAGATATATAGATATATAGATATATAGATATATAGATATATAGATATATATAGATGATGCCATTCAAATAGCTATAAAAACTGACAGGTATTTAGGAGTTATCTTAACTAAGAACACCTAAGATCTCTATGGAAAAGCTTTAAAAGTCAAGTAAAAGGTTAGAAGATGACATGACCGAATGGAGAGAGAGTCTGTATATTTGCTGCCCAGTCCGCAGCCTGAGGAACGTAACTGGAGCCCCTGCCTCAGGACCTGGCCCAGGCGCACTATCCGGATGAGGCAGCGTAGCCAGGAAAACAGGGGAGCGAGGGGAGGAGTGGGGGCTCCGGCAGTTTCCATGTGCCCCGGATATTTACCAGTAAAACCAGGGAAGCCCGGGTCCCAGGAGATCTTGGGGGAAGCTGGATGTAAGTGGAGGAGCCAGAAGGGGCCTGGGGGGAACATTGAAAGAGAGATGTTTAGAAACTGGTGTGCCTTAGCAACAAATATTGAAGTGGGTGTGCCCAGCCCTAGCTGGTGTGGCTCAGTGGATAGAACATCAGCCTGCAGACTGAAGGGTCCCAGGTTTGAAGCGCACATGACAAGGTTGCAGGCTCCATTCCCAGTAGGGGGCATGCAGGAGGCAGCCGGTCAATGATTCTCTCTTATCATTGATGTTTCTAGCTCTCCCGTTCCCTTCCTCTCTGAAATAAATTTAAAAATATTTTTTTAAAAAGTGGTGTGCCCAAAAAGTGAAGTGCCATAGGAGGCTCTTTGAGATTCAAAACTGGGCCCCCAGCCAAAACTGGTTTGGCTCAATGGATAGAGCGTCGGCCTGCCGACTGAAAGGTCCGGGGTTCGATTCCGGTCAAGGGCGTGTACCTTGGTTGCGGGCACATTCCCAGTAGGGGGTGTGCAAGAGGCAGCCAATCAATGATTCTCTCTAATCAATGTTTCTAACTTTCTATCCTTCTCTTTTCCTCTCTATAAAAAGTCAATTATATATATATATATATATTTTTTTTTAAGTCATGAAGTTTTTTTTTGTTGTTTTTTTTAAATATATTTTATTGATTTTGTACAGAGAGGAAGGGAGAGAGAGATAGAGAGTTAGAAACATCGATGAGAGAGAGTCATCAACCAGCTGCCTCTTGCACACCCGCTACTGGGGATATGCCCGCAACCAAGATACATGCCCTTGACCGGAATCGAACCGTGTCCTCCAGTCCCCAAGCCGACGCTCTATCCATTGAGCCAAACCGGTTTCGGCAAAATATATATATATTTAAAAAAAAAAAAAACACAAAAAAACTGGGCCCCAAACTGCCTCCACTTCCTGCTCTCCGGCAGGGCAGGCCCTGTGTCCCTGGCGGGACAGGCAGGAAGGCAAGGAGGAGGCTGGCCAGGCCACACAGCCCCGGGCGGCGGGGGTGCCCCCGCCTCCCTCTCACCCCGGTGGTTAGCTGCGGGTATTCTGGGCCACCCTCCATGATGCTCAGAGAAAATAACAGGCGCCCGACTTGGAAAGACGAACTGCAGGAGACCCAGGCAGCTGCACCCCCACCCCTTCCCGCGTCCTTGTCTCGGCGGAGAGCACGCCCGCCGGACTGCGACCCCAGCCGGCGGAGGCGCCCGGCCCGGGACCAGCCCGGAGCCACACCCCCCTCCTCACCTGGGTCCTGGCCTCCGGGGGCCAGTGCTGGGGGCTCCTGGGCGGCCTCCCTCCCCCGGCCTCGGAGGAGGGTGCTCGGCGGGGAGTGGGGGGCCGGGCCAGGGCCTGGCGCTGGGGGCCCCATTCCGAGGGGGGGCGCACGTCGATGCGGCTCAGCGGGGTGTGGGGCCTGGCGGGGAGCGCGGGGTCCCCGGAGGAGGAGGAGGAGGGCGGGAGCCTGCGTGCGGGCGCAGACCGGGGCCGCGGGAGGCTCAGCGGGGAGGGCGGGCGAGAGAGGGGCGTGAACAGGCTGCGGGAGAAGAGAACGGGGACCGGCTCAACGAGAGCCCTCGCCCCGCCACCCACCGAGTCAGCCCCCAAGACGGTCTCCCTTGTGGGCCTCACTGTCCCTCTAAGAGCAGAGCCTCCTCCCTCTTTGGCAGCTCCTCCCGGCTTCCCCCACCGGCTCTGACCGCACAAGATGCCCAGCAAGTCCTAGTCCAGACAGCAAGCGCTAAGCCACGCCCCCAACCAGCCACAGCCCCGCCCTCCTCTCAGGCCACGCCCCAAACAGCCACAGTCCCGCCCCTCTTAGGCCACGCCCCAACCAATCCCAGTCCCCGCCCTCCTCTTAGGCCACGCCCCAACCAGCCACAGTCCCGCCCCCCTCTTAGCCCCGCCCCAACCAATCCGTCCCCGCCCTCCTCTTAGGCCACGCCCCAACCAATCCCAGTCCCCGCCCCCTCTTAGACCACGCCCCAAACAGCCGCGGTCCCCGCCCCCCTCTTAGGCCTCGCCCCAACCAATCCCAGTCCCCGCCCTCCTCTTAGGCCACGCCCCAACCAGCCACAGTCCCGCCCTCCTCTTAGGCCACGCCCCAACCAGCCACAGTCCCGCCCTCCTCTTAGACCATGCCCCAAACAGCCGCAATCCCCCCCACCCTTAGGCCACGCCCCAAACAGCCACAGTCCCCGCCCTCCTCTTAGGCCTCGCCCCAACCAATCCCAGTCCCCGCCCTCTTCTTAGGCCACGCCCCAAACAGCCGCGACCCCCCCCCGCCCTTAGGCCACGCCCCAACCAGCTGCGGTCCCCGCCCTCCTCTTAGGCCACGCCCCCAACCCAGTTTTCCTCCCTGAAGCTCCGTAGAACTTTCTCCTCCCAGACTCCCGGGTCCAACTCACTCGGGGCTCCTGGTCCTCCGAATCCCGGATCCAGACTGGAGGTCGGCTGTGGAAGCGGGAGGGAGCGGCCCGGGGCGGCCACGCTCTCTGGACAGCCGAGCCACTTGCGGCGATTCTAAGCTGGGCCCCTCGTCCCCCTGGTTCACCTCCGGAGGACCACCGGGGCCGCCCGGGCCCTCCCCAGGCTGGGGACGTGCGGGGGACCTGGGCCGCCCACTAGTGAGCACAGAAAAAGACAACACTCCTTTGCACCTCATAACAGCCCTATTCTCAATGCCCAGACAGAGGCACAGGGTCCTACACAGGAGAAAAGAGGGGAGGTGGTGCCCTATACATCGCTGTCTCCATCTTGCAGATGGGGAAACGAAGGCCCTAGGGTGGGAGACTTGTAGAGGGCCGCACAGTCCATTCAAGTCACTGAGCCCAATGCCACAGACTGAGTCTCCAGCCTGAAGACTCGGCCAGATCCAGAGAAAGACAGTCTGAAGCCTTTAATACAACAAAAACAACAGCTGAACCCTGATCGGTTTGGCTCAGTGGATAGAGCATTGGCCTGCGGACTGAAAGGTCCCAGGTTCGATTCTGTTCAAGGGCATGTACATTGGTTGTGGGCACAATCCCAATAGGAGGTTTGCAGGAGGCAGCTGATCGATGTTTCTCTCTCAGTGATGTTTCTAACTCCCTATCCTTCTCCCTTCCTCTCTGTAAAGTCAGTAAAATATATATATTTTTTTTTAAAAATCTCACATTGCAGAGAAAGACAAGTATCGCATGATCTCACTTATGTGGAATCTAATTGACAAAATAAACTGATGAATGGATTGAATCCAGAGACATGGAAGCATGGAACAAAGTGCAGAATCTCAGAGGGAAGGCAGGTGGGAGGTTATCAATGTGCCATGCATAGATGCTTGTAAGCATCTATGCATGGCACATGGACACAGACAGTAGGGTGCTGAAGACCAGTGGGGGTGCGTGGGTGGGGGCAGGGGCGGGGCAGATTGGAGGGAGTCAATGAGGGGGGAAAGCAGACATATGTAATACTTTCAACAGTAAAGATTTTATTTTATTTTTAAAAATATATTTTATTGATTTTTTACAGAGAGGAGGAGAGAGGGATAGAGAGCTAGAAACGTCGATGAGAGAGAAACATTGACCAGCTGCCTCCTGCACACCCCCCACAGGGGATGTGCTCGAACCAATGTACATGCCCTTGACCAGAATCGAACCTGGGACCTCTCAGTCCGCAGACCGACGCTCTACCACTGAGCCAAACCGGTTTTGGCAACAGTAAAGATTTTAAAATAAATAAATAAATAAATAAATAAATAAATAAAATCTGACATTGCGGCCCGGCCAGGGTGGCTCAGTGGTTGAGCGCTGACCTATGACCCGAGAAGTTGAGGTTCCATTCTGGTCAAGGCACATGCCTGGGTTGTGGGATCAATCCCCAGTAGAGGGCGTGCAGGAGGCAGCTGACGAATGATTCTCTCTCATCATTGATGTTTCTCTCTCTCTCCCCCTTTCCCTTCCTCTCTCTGAAATCAATATATTTTAATCAAAATATTGTGGGGTTTTTTTTAAAATATATATCTTATTGATTTTGTACAGAGAGGAAGGGAGAGATAGAGAGTCAGAAACATTGAGAGAAAGTCATGATCAGCTGCCTCTTGCACACCCCCTACTGGGAATATGCTAAGGTACATGCCCTTGACCGGAATCGAACCTGGGACCTTTCAGTCCCCAAGCCGACGCTCTATCCATTGAGCCAAACCGGTTTCGGCTGTTTTTTTTTTTTTTTTTTTTTTTTTTTTAAATAACTGACATGTCTAGGGGGCAACCGCTGGGTGTAGACTTCTGAGGGAGCCAATCAGAGTGTGGAATATTGATAAGGGGGCCTGGATAGAGTGGTGGGCGGAGCTTAGAGAAAAAGACTGCATTTCTTCCAAGGCTGGGGCCTGAAGGGCGGTCTCTCTCTCTCTCTCTCTCTCTCTCTCTCTCTCTCTCTCTCTCTCTCTCTCTCTCTTAATTAGTTTCTTTATTGATTAGGGAATCACATATTTGTCCTGGAGTCTCTTTAGCCAGAGGACGGTGATGGAGTGTTGAGGGGAGGAGTTGGGGAGGAGTAGACAGCCTGGGTTGGAGCAGCGGGATCTGGTGCGGGCCGGTAACTCACCCATCTTCTCCCTCCGCGCGGGACGCCCTGCCCAGCGCACGCACCCAGCCCCGCAGGTCCTCCAGCGTGTCCGCCGCCAGCACGTAGGTCCGCATGCCCGGGTGCTCGGCCTGCGGGAGACAAAGCTGGCCGCCCGGGCCCTCCGCAAAGGAGGGTGGCATCCAGCCTAGCCAGGATCTTCCATCCACATGCAATAAAGGGGGCCGATGCCTCCCGCATGGCCTAGGTCGGCAAACTCATCAGGCAACAGAGCCAAACACCAACAGTACCACGATGGAAATTTCTTCTGAGAGCCAACAATTTTTTTTTATTATTATTGAATTTAGAGAGGACGGGAAAGGAATAGAGAGATAGAAACATCAATGAGGAGAATCATGGATCAGCTGCCTCCTGCTCGCCCCCTGCTGGGGATGGAGCCTGAACCCAGGCATGTTCCTTTGGCTGGAATCGAACCTGGGACCCTTCAGTCCCCAGGCCGATGCTCTATCCACTGAGCCAAACCAGCCAGGAGGAGCCAAATTTTTTAAACTTAAACTTCTAACGCCACTTCTTCAACATAGACTGGCCCAGGCCGTGGTATTTTGTGGCTCGCGAGCCGCAATTTGCCCACCACGGGCCCTGGTGCATAGTGCATACAGGAATGGGGGGATGGAGGGACTCACGGTGAAGGTGAAGCGCCGCCCGCGGGGGGCTCCTGGCCCGTCTGGCCGGACACTATAGCTGGGGAGCAGAACGCTGCCCAGGACACTCTCCTCGCGGCTGTCTGCAAAGGGAGGGTCCGGGTCCGAGGTCAAGGGTCACACAGAGATCGGAAGGCCCACGGGCTGGAGGAAAGGGGGCGTGGGAGGGGCGCCCCGTCCCCCGTGCGGGCTGCAGGACTGACCCTTGTAGTAGAAGAGGCAGTGGCCAGAGAGAACGAACCAGCGGCGCTTCCAGAGCCGGAGCCCCGAGCTGTCCTGGGGAGAGAGAGGGAGGAGAGGGAGAGTACAGGGGAGGGGGGAAAGGAGATGGGGACAGGGACCCTCGGGGACAGAGACTCAGAGAGACCGGAGGACAGAAGCATGCTTGACGCAATAGATCCAGGTGGAGGCGGAGAGGAGGTAAGATTCTGGACCGTCAGACCTGAGTTCGACTCCCAGCCCCACCACTTTCAGGCTGCGCCCTCACACACTCATTTCCCCCGCGGACCCTCCGGTGTTCTCATCCGTCCACTGGGGGTTGAGGAGTTATGGGAGCCATAGCCGGTGTGGCTCAGTGGATAGAGCATGAGCCCGCAGACTGAAGGGTCTCCGGTTTGATTCTGGTCGAGGGCATGTACCTTGGTTGCAGGCACATTTCCAGTTGGGAGTGTGCAAGAGGCAGCTGATCGATGACATCGATGTTTCTAACTCCCTATCCCTCTCTCTTCCTCTTGTAAAAAAATCAATTATATATATATATATATATATATATATATATATATATATATATATATATATTTTTTTTTTTAAAGATAATTAACAAAAATAGAGAAGTTGGAACACATACATGCCACTGATGAGCAGGGGTTGAATATCACTCTTTTTAAAATATTTTTAAAATATTTTATTGATTTTTTTACAGAGAGGAAAGGAGAGGGATAGAGAGTTAGAAACATCAATGAGAGAGAAACATCCATCAGCTGCCTCCTGCACATCCCCTACTGGGGATGTGCCCGCAACCAAGGTACATGCCCTTGACCAGAATCAAACCCGGGACCTTTCAGTCTGCAGGCCAACGCTCTATCCACTGAGCCAAACCGGTTTCGGCTGGACATATCTCTTTATTCTGGAGCCTGAGACACAGAGAGGCTGTCAGTCAGACATCCTTAGGACTGCCAAGGAGGCGGGAGAGCCTCCTGCCACCGTGGCTTCACTCACCCGCCATGAGCCAGGCTTCTGGCTGAGAGGAGCTCCCTCTGTGGGAGCGCACTGACCACCAAGGGGCAGCTCCCACATTGAGCATCTGCCCCCTGCTGGTCAGTGTGCGTCATAGCGACCAGTCATTCTGCTGTTTGGTTGATTTGCATATTAGCCTTTTATTACATAGGGTTATATATTATTTCACTCCTTCCATTTATTTGTATACTAATTTGTTACCCACCCCTACCCCACCCCACCTTGAATGGACTATGGATGCTTGGCCTATTTGCCTGGTATGTGATCCTGGGCTTGGCACACTGTCACGTCAAAGAAGTGGTCATTGAACGAAGGAATGGATGAAGGAAACCCTGACAGAGTAAGGGGAGAAGATGTGAGAGCAAAAGCAAAACAAATGCGGAGACGTGGAAGGAGAGGGAGAGCAGGCAGCCGGGGACACAGCCTCTGGCGTCACTCGGAGCGTCTCGTCCCCTCCCCCGCTCCCCCCACCTGCTTATGCAGCCAGCCTCTGATGTGCACCGGGAGGTTGGGGTCCCTTCTGAGCGCATTGCCTCTCTTCCCGAAGGCGTGCACCTTGCTCACCGCCCGGGGGGGCTTCTGAGGAGAGAGGAGACAAGTGAACAGGGCTTTGGGGGGGGGGGGCAACCCCCTCATCTGGTGCCATGGAAACCAGGCCCAGGAGGGAGCTGAGTTTGAGGTCAGAATGGGTGTGCACAGGGCAGAGCTGAGACACTTTCCACAGGGGGAGAGGTGCTCAGAGGCAGGGAAGACGCTGGCCCGCGGGGAAGGAGTCTTGGAGGGAAGGGTCCGCTGCCAAGGAGAGGATGGCCTTGGCCACCAGAGCCGGGGACATTGCCTGGGCAGCCCCATAGTCAGGAGGCCTCCATGCCAAGACCCTGGCGATGGGTCAGAATCAGAGGCCATCAGTGCCAGGGAGAAACATCTCTTAGCGACCACGTCTGGGGGTGGAGGGCTCCTCGGAATCCCTCCATCCCAACAGGCAGAGCCCCTCGCCCGCGCACGCAGGGTCTCAGGCATCTACCGCCACATCCGCACGGATGGCCGCAGAGACGGTGCTGAGCAAGGTCAGGGTCCAGTCTCTGGACTCCCAACTTGTGGAAGTGGGAATGAGGGAGGGGAATGGCCGGGGGGGACAAGGAAGCCAGTGTCCCTGAACGCTGGGCTGGGCAACCAGGTGGGATGCAGGTAATGTGGGCCCCATGGGGCCTCCTTGTCAGAGAAAGGTCTGTCCTCGTCGGATTCCAGACCTGGGGGCATTGCATGGCTAGAGATGGGGCAGGGAGTCCAGGAGACACTGAACAGCCACTGCATGGGAGTGCCTAGGGGGCGTGGCCAGCGAGGCGTGGCCCAGACAGGGGCGTGGCTAGAAGTGGGGGCGTGGCCAGAAGGCGCGGCTCGTTGAAGGGCGTGACCGAGGCGGGGCGGGGCCCGAGGCGGGGCGGGGCCCGAGGCGGGGGCGTGGCCTATCTCAGCAGCCAGACCCCTTGGGGTTGTGCCTCTGGCCCTGAATCAGGGAAATGCACGGGGTGGGGACGGCTGGAAGCGCCTTGGAATTCCTAGCTGCAGCTCGGGGTCAGCTGGGGCCCTAACGAGGTCTGGCAGACCCCGTGGCTGAGGCTCTTTCCTCTTAACCTCCGGAGTCCCTGGGGGGGCCTCCACCCCGGGCTCGGAGGCGGAGGACGGGGCAGCCCCAGCCCCGCCTCCCCCCCCCCCCCCGCCCAAGGCGGCCCCGCCGGGAAGCTCGCTCCCACCTTGGCGCCCAGGCTGCTGAGCGAGGAGATGGTGGAGGCGCTGCTGGCCAGGCTGAGGCTGCTCCGGGGCCTGCCCTCCTCCATGGACGGCGGCCGGGGGCGAGGAAGAAAGGGGGCTGTGTGCGCTGCCCCTGCAGCTGACCCGGCTGGGGACAGAGCCGCCGAGGTCAGGGGCTCGCAGGTCGGAGGAGGAGGCTGCGGAGAAAGAGCCCGTTGTTCGGGGGCCTGGGGGGCTGGGCGAGGCCGGCCTGGGCCCGCATACCACGGGCGATGCCAAGAGAGGTGGGCGGCACTGGCAGCTGCGGGGAGGGGGCAGCTGCCTGTGGTCCAGGGCAGAGAATAGGGGCCCCTTTATTCTTGCCTCTCCCCCACCCCAGCCCCCCACAATGGCCAGGAATTTGACCCTCTCTGTGCTTAGGGACCCCTCATTCCCTGCCTCTTTCCGGCTTCCTGCCGTTACTGTCTCCTGCACCCCCCTCGCCCCTTCCACATGCACCCCAAACCATCCTGCCGAGCCCTGGGGCACCGGGCGTGGGCACCCCTCTCAGCCCAACCAGGGGACTTACCAGCTCGGGGCCCCTGCCCGTCAGGTGCTGCCTCCACAGGCCCGTCTCCCTGCTCTGCTCTCTCCCAGGCCCTGGGTCTCTCTTCCTCGATCTCCCTGCCTTTCAGACCTCTGTCTCCTCCGGCCTCACCTTCTGTCTCTCTCCCTCTCTGATCTCTGTCCCTTCCCGTCTCTTACTCATGTCTGCCTCCCTCCCTCACACACTCACACACCCATATCACTTTCTCTCCCAATCTTTGTTTCTGTTTCTGTCTAAACCCTTTCCTCTCGGACTCCCAGAGTCTCTTCCTTACATCTCTGTCTCGTTTTTTCCCTCTCTCCCTCTCTGTCTAGCCGAGTCTCTCTCTCCCCCTCTCTCTTCTCTCTCTCTCTCTCTCTCTCTCTCTCTCTCTCTCTCTCTCTCTCTCCCCACACACACACTCACTTTCAATCTCTCCCTCTTCCTCCCTCTTTCTCTCTCTAGCCCTCCACTTCTGCTGTTTCCTTCTCCCCCTGCTTCTCCTTTCCACTTTCTCTTCTTCCCTGACTCCCAGTTTCTTTCCCTCTGCTGGCTGGTGTCTCCCTCCAGCCGCCCACGCTGCTGTCTCCCCTCCCAGTCGCCGCTGACCCCGCCCCTCCCGGCCTCCCCACGGCAGCCTGACCCCTGGCTCAGCTGCCCCCACAGCTGAGGGGAGGAGCTGGGTCCCGTCCCCCCCTCCCCGGCTCCTGGGTTCCTGCTGAGCTGGAGCCTGGAGAGCCGGGATCCCCTAAGGGATGAGGCTGGTAGCCCTCCATGTTTGGGGACTAGGAGCTGAGTCTCAGTGCCAGGCTCCCCATGGGCTGGTTGGGGTCAGGAGATCTGAGATACTGGTGCCCAGAACGGAGATGGCTTGGCTCTGGGGAGGAAGGGCTGGTGTGTCCGAGCCCCGGGTGTCTGGGAAGGTGTGCACCGGGACTCGGGACTCCTGTGTTGTGAGTGGAGCCTGGGCCAGGCAGTGTGGCTCTGTGGGTGGTCCAGGTCCTCCTGGGAGAAGGGAGTGGCCTTGAAGTCCTGGCTTCTGGCTACAGCAGGGTCAAGTTGACAGGCCAGATATCCACCTCAGATCAATATGAGAATTCTGTCCGAAACCGGTTTGGCTCTGATAGAGTGGTCCCAGATTTGATTCAGGTCAAGGGCATGAACCTCGGTTGCGTTGCGGGCACGTCCCCAGTAGGGGGCGTGCAAGAGGCAGCTGATGTTTTTCCCTCATTCATGTTTCTAACTCATGTTTTTCCCTCATTCATGATTGATGTTTTTCCCTCATTCATGTTTCTAACTCTGTATCCCTCCCCCTCTCTGTGAAAAATCAATAATATATATATAATATAATATATATTTTATATATATATATATATATATATATATATATATATATATATATATATATTATTTTTTTTTTTTTTTTTTTTTAAGATGAGAATTCTGCCGAAACCGGTTTGGCTCAGTGGTAGAGCGTCGGTCTGCGGACTGAAGGGTCTCAGGTTCGATTCCGGTCAGGGGCATGTACATTGGTTGCGGGCACATCCCCAGTAGGGGGTGTGCAGGAGGCAGATGGTCGATGTTTCTCTCTCATTGACGTTTCTAGCTCTCTATTCCTCTCTCCTCCTCTCTGTAAAAAATCAATAAAATATATTTAAAAAAAAAAAAAAAGATGAGAATTCTGCTCCAGGCTAAGACGGACCATGCCCCTCAGGAGGGAGACATGGTTCTGGGCATATTTTGAGGAGCAAAATGATGGGCCAGGTAGGGGTGCTCCCGGGAAGGGGACCTGGCCCTGAAAGGGTCTGCCCAGGGCCGGCAGTCGTGCGTGGGTTTTTGACTTCCTGCAGGAAAAAGTTCACACCAGGAATCCAGGTGAACTGAGAGGATGTTTATTGAAGCTGGGGACAGAGGAACGCAGGAGGGCTGGGGAGGTGAGCTGGGCTGGGCTGCTCGGGCTCACTAACAAGTCAGAGAAAGGGGTTTGGGGGACAGGGTCAGGGGTTTGCCCAGGATGAGCCGCCACTGCCCAGTCCTGCTCTGGTTGTAAGCCTCACGGGGTCCCTTAGAGTTTAGGAGGTGCAGGCCTGTGGGGGGAGAACCTTATGTTGTGGACACCAGGACAGATACCACAAATTCCTTCATTATCACGCTAATTGTTCCTGCACCCACAAAGCATGTGTCCCTCATTTTACTTTTTATCCAATTCCAGGGATTCTCCTGCACCCCCCACCCCCACTTTTGCTTTATCCCACCTCCTTAACCTATCAACTATGAATTTCATGTAATCCACCTCTGTCCCTCCTTGGATTGCAAAATGGATTATAAAATGGATTATAATTGCAAAATGGATTATAAAATGGATTGTAATTGTAAAATGGATTATAAAAATACAAATGTAACCCACCTTTCTCGGGAGCATTCTCTCAATTCGTTAAGGTTCTGCTCCCTGCCATCTGTGGACAGTTTGGCTCAAATAAACTCCTAACAATTCTTTACAGGTTTCAGTGTTTGTTTTTTTTTATGTTAACAAAGATTTGGCGTATTCCTCCTAACCGGAAGACACCTCCTGCCGCTGTTCAGAGCCGGGGGGGGGGGGGGGGGGGGGAAGCCTGCACAGGATACATGTACGCTCTGGCACTCAGCTGCTGCCAGTGGCAATTCCCCTGAACTCCGAAAAGGTAAGTTCTGCTCTGTGTCGTGAGAGATAGGGCAAAGGAAACGCAGTTTGCAGGTGGGGTTAAACGTTCTAACTGGAACAGATGTGCCAGTGAAATGTTTATAGCACAGACGGAGCGGACTGCCGGGTGCACATGCCGAGCTGGTGAAAACAGGGTCGGTCAGAATCATATGCGGCTCTCTCCACGCTGGCGTTTCAGCCACGTGTTGGCTCTGGCAGAATCGGGACCTTTGTTCCGAGGAGGTTTTTGTTTGTTTGTTTTTTAATTGATTATTTATTTTTAAAAAAATATATATATTTTATTGATTTTGTACAGAGAGGAAGGGAGAAAGAGAGTTAGAAACATTGATGAGAGAGAATTATCAGCTGCCTCTTGCATGCCCCCTACTGGGGATGTGCCCACAAATAAGGTACATGCCCCTGACCAGAATCGAACCTTTCAGTCTGCAGGCCGAGGCTTCATTCTTTGAGCCAAACCAGCCAGGGGGAAATTTGTTATCTTAATTTCATCTGTCCTTGGGTGTGGTTGACAAATGGCACTGATTGGATTTCTGCCCGTCCCATTTACTCTTTTTTGTTTGTTTGTTTGTTTGTGTTTTTTTAATAATATATTTTATTGATTTTGTACAGAGAGGAAGGGAATGGATGTTTCTGACTCTATCCCTCTCTCTTCCTCTCTGTAAAAATATATTTAAAAATAAAATATATTAAGAAAGAAAGAAAGGAAGGAAGAAAGAAATCAAGAAAGAAAGAAAAAATGAAAGAAAGAAAAAATGAAAGAAAGAGAAAGAAAGAAGGCGTTAGCCCTAAACAGGGATTGAGAGAACTCCCTTAGGACTAGAGCCTATGACGCATTTGATTGACAGCTGGCTTGTTCCGGGGCGGGATCACGCCTAAAAATGCCGCGGTGACGTTACAAAGCCCGGAATCTCCGCGAGAATTCCCACCTTATTTCCCTTCCTGCTTTCCGTTTCGAAGCTCCGCCCCTTCTCAAACGTCAGCACGTGCGGCCGCGTAAGGCTATAAAAACGCCGCGGGCGGTGCGCACGGCACGCCATTTGGATCCTGCCCAGCTGAGTTGTTGTTTCCGTTGCCGCCGCCGATCCTGCCGCTCCTCTAGGCCCCGCCGCTCCTCCAGGCCCCGCCGCTCCTCCAGGCCCCGCCGCTCCTCCAGGCCCCGCCGCTCCTCCAGGCCCCGCCGCTCCTCCAGGCCCCGCCGCTCCTCCAGGCCCTGCCGCTCCTCCAGGCCCCGCGCCCGTTCGTCGCTGCCGCGTTTGCAGCCGCCGGAGGTGGTGTGAGCCCCGACCCCGACGCCGCAGGGCGACATGAGAGCGCCGGCCTCCCGAACCGTCCGGATCCGCGAGTGCTCGTGGCCGCCCCAGCCGGCGCTCCTGCCCCCGAGGTGACGCGCTGCCCGCCGGTGAGTGCGGGCGGGGCCGCGAGGGCCTCGGGGTGGCGGGCGAGGGATGGGACTTTGGGTCGCTAATGAGGAGGGAGCTTGGGCCCCTGGGTAAAGAGACGGGATGTCCGGGGCCGGAGGAGGAGGCCTGGGAGCCGGAATTCCTGTCTGGGGGCCGGCGGAGTGCTGAGCCTGACCGAGGAGGGGTCTGGGAGCCAGACTCGGGTCCCCAGAGAGGAACCGAGGGGGTTGAGGAGGCTGGATTTTAAAAAAAAATTTCTTAAATTTATTCTCTCACCGTTCTGGAGGCTAGAAGTCTGCAGTAAAGATGGCAGCAGGGCCACGCTCCCTCTGAAGGCCCTAAGACAGAAATTTTCCGTGCTTCTTATTTTCTGCCGTTTGTTGTCAATTCTTGGAATTCCTTGGCTCCTGGGGCACCACCCCAAGCTCTGCCTCCCGTTGTCACATGGCCATCTTCCCTCTGTGTGTGCCTCTGTGCCTCCAGTGGCCTTTTATTATTTTTAAATGTGTATCTTTATGGTTAAGAGTATTACAGATGGCGGTGTGTGTGTGTGGGGGGGGGGATTGTGGCCGGACGTTTTTTAAAAATATTTTAATTGTTTTCAGAAAGGAAGGGAGAGGAAGAGAGAGATAAAAACATCATTGATCAGCTGTCTCCTGCATGCCCCCTTCCTGGAGGTTAAGCCAGTAACCCAGGCATGTGCCCCTGACTGGAATCAAGCCGGGACCCTTCAGTCCACAGGCTGACACTATCCACTGAGCCAGACCGGCTAGGGCAGGTCGGAATTTTTGAGTCTCCAATGGAGGCGGGTGATGGGGGCCTGATTTATCAATCCTCAGGACAATGAGAGAATCAAAGAGTAGGACTTGATCCCGAAGGGGACTAATAGAGACCCTGTGTTCTCCCTACTTGGGACTGGGACTTGTGAGTCTGAGGGAAAATGGGGGCTTGGACTTTGGGTCTGAAGAAGTAGAGAATGAGAACCCCCAACTCCTGAAAGGAAAGAGAGTCAGGAACCTACGGACAGAGATGGGAGTGGCTGGTCATGGGAAAGGAATGTTGGCAGGGACTGTCGTGTTGCTATCTGTGTTAGTAGTGTTTCCTTGGTGACTCAAGGTCATCCCCCATGCTGTTTCCTAAATGGCTTCTCATTCCCTTTTCCCCAGCCCAGACAGATGGCTCCCGCTCAGGTGCCCCAGCCGCCCCCCTGGAGGGATGCCCACCCCTTCTACCTCCTGTCCCCGCTGGTAGGCCTCCTCAGCAGGGCCTGGAGCCGGCTGAGGGGCCCAGGACCGCTAAAGTCCTGGCTGGAGGAAGCAGTAACCGGTGCAGACCAGGGAGAAGCTTGCCTGGAGGAAGCGACTATGGCTGCTTTGGCCACTCACTATGCCCCGTGGGGTGGGCACCCTCAGTGGGAGCCCAGAGACAGTGGAAGAGCTGTGGAGGATGCCAGGTTATTCTGGGGGGCCTGCCCTGCTCTAAAGGCCAGCAGTTCTCTTCTTGAAGCCTGGGAACTTGCAGATGATGATGATGAAGAAGAATATGGTGGGGAAGAAGCAACCAGCATCCCTAAAGAGCAAGGAAGTGGCTATGTAAGTGGCCAGCCAGCTCCCAGGTCCCTCAGCCTTCTGAGAACCCTGCTAGACCCTCGTGTGGAAGAGGAAACTGAGGAAGGAGGAGTCGCTGAGGATAAAGTGGTCACATTCTTTTCCCCTCCATCACACTGGGAGGGTTGTCCAGGGATGGAGGAGGAGGAAGAAGGAGAAGCTGTAAATAAAGTTCCCAGAACATCTACCTCCCCCTCATCTCCAGGTTCCAAGCCCAGTGCTTGGGTGTGTGCTGCAGGGGAAGAGGCTGGAGCTGAGGAGGAAGAAAGAACAGAGACGAAAGAAACCAGGAAGACCTCCATTAGCTCTTCATCTGCAGACCCCTGCCCCAGCGCCTGGGAGTGTCATTCAGGAGAGGAATCTAAGGAGGGTGAAAAGGCTGAGGAAGAAGCTGACCCAGAGCCGCACTCCTCAGTTCTAAGCCCCAGGCCCTGGCACCATCAACCCAAAGAGGAGGAGGACAATGCTTCAGGGGAAACTGAGGGCCTGTCTACCAACCCCACCACGAGTGCTTTCACGAAGGCCTGGGTGTGTTGGCCAGGAGAGGACACAGAGGAAGAGGAAGAAGACAGTGATTCCGAAGCAGCTGAGGAGGAGGAAGCTGAGAGTCCCTCTTCTATTCCCCCTACAAGTACCTTCTTGCGGGCCTGGGTGTTCCAACCAGGAGAGGACACAGAGGAGGAAGACAGTGATTGGGGAGAAGCAGAGGAAGAGGGAGAAGCTGAGGGTCCCTCTTCCATCCCACTCACAAGTACCTTCTTGAGGGCCTGGGTGTACCAACCAGGGGAAGATACAGAGGAGGAAGATGAAGACAGTGATTGGGGAGAAGCTGAGGAAGAGGGAGAAGCTGAGGATCCCCCCTCCACTCCCCCAGCAAGTGTCTTGTTGAGGGCCTGGGTGTACCAACCAGGAGAGGACACAGAGGAGGAAGAGGAAGACAGTGATTCAGGAGCAGCTGAGGAGGAGGGAGAAGCTGAGGGTCCCTCTTCCACTCCTCCAGCAAGTGCCTTGTTGAGGGCCTGGGTGTACCGACCAGGAGAAGACACAGAGGAGGAGAATGAGGATGAGGAAGATGATTCAGAAACAGCTGGCTCGGGCCCAAGTCCTTCCCTTCAGGTTCAGAGCGCCCTCCTCAGGGACTGGACATACCCACCTGGGAAGGAGACAGGGGGGGTGGAAGCCGCTGAGGAGGCTGAGCCCTTCCGAGTGGCCCTCTATCTCCCAGGAGAGAAGCCACCACCTCCCTGGCCTCTTCCTCGGCTGCCCCTCCGACTGCGAAGGCGGCTCAAGTCTGCAGGAACCCCCACCCAGCATCCGGACCCCGAGGCTCCCCAGGCGGCCAGAAAGGTTGGTGCTGAGGGCTCGATGCCCTTATTTTCTTTAAGCCGGGGACAGTAAAGGGCTTAGGATAGAAGAAACGAGAGCGCCTGTGCAAGGCTGCTTTGGCTCACTGGAAAGGGTGAGAAGGGGGGCCTTAGAGACACGTGCAGGGGGCCAGCCCCGGCCGGGCTGAAAGGCGGGGGTGTGCCCCGGGACAGAGAGCACGTGGGATGCTTGAGTGTGAGGGAGGGGGAAGCTGGGGCTGTCCCCCGTGTGTTACAGCGGGTTGCATGTGAAGTCTCCTGGGAGGGCTGTGCTCATTGTCATGCAATCCTCTGCAAGAGGCTGGCTCCCTGGCAGCAGCTGGGCGACTTGTCAGCCCAGAGAACACGCCGCCTCAGTGAGTCACGTGGAGGATGTGGTGGCAGGCAGGTGATGAGTCAGATAGTAAGCATTTTTGTGTAATTTTTGTCTGGTTCTCTCTTCCCTCTCCCACCTGTGACCGTGTGTGTCCTGTGTCTGTCTGTCTGTGCCCGGCCGTCTCCAGGTGCACTTCTCTGAGAAGGTCTCCGTCCATTTCCTGGTCGTCTGGGCTGGACCCGCCCAGGCTGCCCGAAGGGGCCCCTGGGAGCAGTTTGCCCGGGACCGAAGCCGCTTTGCCCGCCGCATCGCCCAGGCTCAGGAGACACTGGGCCCCTGTCTCACCCCTGAAGCCCGGGCCAGGGCCTGGGCACGCCTGGGGAACCCCCCCCCTCTGGCTGCCACACCTGCCACGGCCCAGCCCGCGCCCACGTCCTCTGTGCAGGCCACGCCGGTGAGCCATCCGGGGCCTCTCCCTCCCCTCTCTGTGTCGGTGTCCCCCGCCTTACACCTCAGTGGGAGGCGTGGCTAGGATCCCGTGGTGTTTGTGATTCACTATTTATTTTTTTACCAGTTGGTTTAATAAATAAAGTCTTTTGGTTTGTACTGAGCAATGTCACCCTGTGTATCTGAACTGACAACTGACAATACCTTCCTCTCCTGGTCCTGGAAGTAGTTGAGGGGATAGGAAAGAGGCAGTGCCTTAAGAGAGGATAAACTACATGTCCCATCATCCCTCAAATCTGCCTCTCCTCCTCCTGAGGCTTCTTTTGAACAAAAGGCTGATGGGTTTTGTAATTTTTCTTTGGCTTCCACCTAAATTTTATTAGACTTGGGACAGTTATCTCCCCAAAGGGGGCTGGGAGCTAGACTCAGATCTCTGACCCAAGGGTTAAGGTCCAGTTTTCTGAATCTCCCTGGAATATACAAACATCCTCCTACTGGCCTGTATTGGTGAATTCCTCAGTCTTTCCACTGCCCCGATTTAACATTTACAAGCCCTGTGTCATTCCTCAGTTTCCTTTTCTGTAAAACATGGCTAACGACTGCATTTACCTTATGGGATTACAAAGGCCCCAAAGGAGTTCCTGTTTAAAGTAATGCTTGTGGCCCAGCCAGCTCAGTGGTTGAGTGTCGTCCTATAAACCAGGAGGTCACTTCCATTCCCCATCAGGGCACATGCCCAGGTTGCAGGCTTGATCCCCAGTGGAGGGCATGCAGGAGGCAGCCGATCAATGATTGATGTATCTCTCCCTCCGTTCCTCTTCTGAAATCAAAGGTATTTTAAAGAAATAATAAAATAATGCTTGTCAATTAAATGTGTTAGTGGGTATTGTGATTATTCTCCCTCACCCATGCACGTCTTCAATTACCCATCCAAGTTTATGTCTCCCAGCTTTTCTAGAACATTCCCTGACCTGGTAAGATCTGTCCAGCCTTTTAGACAAAGCACCCCGTCCAGCCTCATACCCTCCATGGGTTCCCAGGCTCCTATCACACCAGCCTTCATTTTCCCACACAACCTAGTTCCTTTCCACCTTGTGATCTTTGCATGGACTCTGCCTACTGTCTCGTGTTCCCATTCCTGTCCCTGGGGAGTCAGCTAGTTCTCTGATTCTTCGGGGGTAGTATGAGGACACTTTTTAGAGCTCCCTTGCCTTGACCCAGCTGACCTGTGTACCTCCATGTGCTTTTCTCCATAGCGGATGAGCCCTTTGATTTTCTGTTGTTTAAAAGACCCATCTCCCGCCGAAGCTGGTGTGGCTCAGTGGATAGAGCATTGGTCTGCAGATTGAAAGGTCCCAGGTTCACTTCCGGTCAAGGGCATGGACCTTGGATGCGGGCACATCCCCATTGGGGATTGTGCAGGAGGCAGCTGGTGGATGTTTCTCACTGATGTTTCTAGCTCTTATCCCTCTCCCTTCCTCTCTGTAAAAAATTAATATATATATATATATATATATATATATACACACACACACACATATATACACACACACACACACATACACCCATCTCCCATGATGCACTGAGTGCCACCAGAGCAGGTGCCACCCAGCAGCCCACTCCCTAGAGCCCCGAACACGTCTAATAAGTGGTGTAAGGCGGTGCCGAAGGCATGCTGGAGCCCTTCTCCAAATGAGCAGGCTCCGGAGCTGCGGGCAGGGCTGTATTTTATTGGGTTACTCACAGGCCAGTTTCCCATCGAAACTGGACAAGCAGATAGCAAAGGCTTGAAGTGGGCAGAGCGGGAAGCAGAAGTCCATGGTGAACAGGTCTGGGGCCACGCGGCCGAACTGAAGCACCAAGTAGTCGGCTGAGGAGGAGGAAGTTAGAAACCCAGTCAGACACTTTCCCTAAGCTCAGAAGACTAAGGGGCTGTGCAGCCTGGAAGCTCTATGAGTGCCGTATAAACTACAATTCCCAAGAGGCTTTGCAACAGCGAGGAGTGGGCCTTGCTGAGAGAAAACCTTGAGTGTTGATGGGAGTAATTCTTGTCCATTGGTATCCCCCTTCCCCCCCATCCCCGGACCCCAGCCCGGTTCCTAGGAGCTCACGGTCATTGGGATACACAATCTGGAAGTTCTTGACCGAGGCCTGAGTGACTCGACCGTGAAAATTGAGCACGTAGGCGCCAGTGTCGTAGCTCCACGATGGGACTTTGTTTTGCAGGAGGACCAGCCCCTCGTTGGCCCCCTGTTGGACCCGATTCAAAAGGCAGTCCCGTTCCTAGAGGGCAAAGTAGGGGCGGGGATAACCTACCACAAACAAGTAGGGTTTTCTTTTTCTCTCCGGACACACAATTTTGAGTCCCTAGCCTCCCCTCCCTATAAATTTATACACATAAATCTGACAAAATCCTCCGGGCTGCCCATGTGACCTGCAACCATGGTCCCCCTCCCCGTCCCCGCTTAGGACCTAGGACCCGTCACCTAGTCCTCTCTCCCCTATGCACCCAGGGATTCTCAACCTCAGCCAACTCACACTTTGTGGCTGGAATCTGATTCTCTTGTTCTGGTCATCGATTCCTGGGATGATCACAGACATTCTCCGGGGCCCTCGGAATCCCAAGACGTTGGTCTCCTAGGGATATGAGGCTCTAGTTGGCCCGGCTCCGTCTCCCGCCCCACCATTCTGCTCCTTCCACTCTCTAGTCCCCGGGATACTTACGTAACACACAACGCCCAGCTCCTCCCTGATCCGACCATTGTCCGGGATGAAATACTTCTTTTCAGGATTCATCCCACCGTCGAAAATGGTAAATTTGGTGCCCAAGACATTTGATCTACTCCAAGAAGGCCGTGGCCAGAATAAAAATAATCATCGTTACTGTGGTGCTGTATGTTAACTGCTTTCCCACTCCATCTTTTTTTTTTTTTTTTAATATATTTTATTGATTTTGTACAGAGAGGAAGGGAGAGAGATAGAGAGTTAGAAACATCGATGAGAGAGAGTCATCGATCAGCTGCCTCTTGAACACCCCCTACTAGGGATATGCCCGCAACCAAGGTACATGCCCTTGACCGGAATCAAATCCAGGACCCTTCAGTCCCCTAGCCAACGCTCTATCCATTGAGCCAAACTGGTCTTGGCCCCACTCCATCTTATCAATTCTTGCCATCCAATCCTCTACCCAAGACTCATTTCCGTGTATGAGACCCAGCCCTATGATTCATGATTTTTCATTTCCTGCCTCGGCCTTTTAGGAACTCTTGTCCCTCTAATACCTGTTGGATATTATTAGAGGGAACTCCTACTCAGGAACGTAGGAGTCCCAGCCCCTTGCCTTACAAGAAGTCAGATGTCTTAAATGTCATCCTATGCTCCAAAACCTTCAATTCTATTTCTAACCACCCTGGGGTTACAACCTGAAGAACTTCAGAGCCCACCAGTCCCTGAGAGAAACCGTCCTACAGCCTGTAGGACTTGTGCCCTATGGCCTGTTGGGAAATGTAGTTCAGTTCTCCCTTCATCCCCCAGGTGTCCTATCACCTGCCATCTGTTTCTCACCCACATCCGGGCTCTGCCTACCTGACTTTGCCCACAAAGCTGCTCCCTTCCCGAGACAGGTCTGTGGGGTCCAGGGAAATGAGATAGTTAGAGGTTGTGCTCATTTTTCTCTTGCGCCCAGCCAGAAGGAAGTGCTGTGGATGTGAGAACAGCCCATCAGATTCGATTTCGGGTACAGGATAGGGCTAGGGGTCCAAAGACAAGGAAACGTTATGTCCGTGGGGGGACAGAGGAAAGGGTAATGGGGCGATAAGCGTCCCAAAGCTTGCTGGGAGATGTAGTTCTCACTGCAGGAAGTCATCAGCTGGGTCCTGAAGGGGAACTGCATGTCCCCCCTTCAGGCAGAGCCCAGGCAGGCCTGACTCCGGACAATAGGAAAGAGCCTCACTTTGAACATTACAACAGGCCTTCAGTAGGTGTTTCATCTTGGAAAAGTGGATCTGGCTCTGAGTCGGAAAAAGCCCCTTTCTGGGAGAGAGAGTGCCTTGAGAGGCAGCCACAAAGAGAGGGGAATGGCCCTGACCGGTTTGGCTCAGGGGATAGAGCGTCGGCCTGTGGAGTGAAGGGTCCCAGGTTCCATTCCAGTTAAGGGCATGTATCTTGGTTGCAGGCACATCCCCAGTGGGAGGTGTGCAGGAGGCAGCTGATCCATGTTTCTAACTCTCTATCCCTCTCCCTTTCTCTCTGTAAAAAAATCAATAAAATAGCCAAGACCGGTTTGGCTCAATGGATAGAGCGTCGGCTTGGGGACTGAAGGGTCCCGGGTTCGATTCCGGTCAAGGGCATGTACCTTGGTTGCGGGCATATCCCCAGTAGGGGGTGTGCAAGAGGCAGCTGATCGATGACTCTCTCTCATCGATGTTTCTAACTATCTCTCTCCCTTCCTCTCTGTACAAAATCAATAAAAATATATTTTAAAAAAAATCAATAAAATATACTTTAAAAAGGGGAGGGGGAGATGGCTAGGCTAGGCAGAGAGGGGCGTGGCTTGTCTCTGGATAGGCAATGGTTCCTGAGGGGGCAGGGTTTATCCCAGGATTGAGTGGGGCCTTATAGCAGAGAAGGCTCTTTTTGGACCTACAAAGATGGGTTGTGGAGGTGTGTAAGGGTGAGGGTTTGGATCCCGACAGGGCGTGGCCTGAGTTTGAGAAAGCCAGGCCCATCTGCTCAGTGGGCGGGCCTGGCTGTGGAAAGGGCCAGGGCCTTGGCTGCTGGGCTCTAAGGAGCTCAGTTCTGGGAAGCTTTGGAGCTGGAGTTGACAGGTGATGGGCAAGGCTTTGGATTCGCGAAAGTCAATCCCCTGAGAGGTGGAGGCTTGTCCCCACAGCCAGACAGCACCTTCCGGATGTGGCCATTGATCGTCTCCAAGTAGAGGTAGTAGAAGGGGAACAAGCCCTTGTCTACGCCGCGCTTGTCGCGGCTGATGCAACACTGCATCGTGCAGCCGCGCGGCGCCGGCCGCAGCACAAATTCTTCCATGTCCTCGCCGAGCCCAAGGCCTGGGGCGAGGAGGGCCGAGGGGGACGAGCTCCCCGCCTTGCAGAAGCCCCCGCCGCCCTCGCTGTCCAGGGCCTCGGACATCTCGTCAGCCATCCCTGGGGCAGTCCTCACTGCTGACTCCGATTCCGCCTTCTTCTCTTCCAGGTCTTCTCCCTGGCCCACATGCCAAATTCAAGTTGGGGTGCAGCCCAGCCCAGGCCACGCCCCCTGTCTCCGCTAGTAAAACACTGGCCAGCCCAGGCCAGGCCACGCCCCCTGTTCCCGTTAGTAAAACCCTGATTGGCCAGCCCAGGCCACGCCCCTTGCCCCCGCTAGTAAAACACTGATTGGCCATCCCAGCTCAGGGTTACACCCACTCTCGACCATGTATTCTGGCTATTGGTCAAACTCGTCGGCCACTTGCTGATTGGTCAAGGATTCCACCCAGCCCAGCCCCGCTGGCTTCCCTCCTTCCCTCTGCTGCCCAGCTCACTCCGTCTACCAATGGGAGAATTCCTTTGCGCGGCCCATTCAGCTAAAACAAGTGCTGAGATTCAATCTAGATAACTTAATACGGCCCGGATCTATCCAACTGAAACTATTGTGTTGTTCTTACTCCTCACCAGAGTGTGTGTATATGTATGTCCCCCCACCCCCCCTTGATCTTTTTATAGAAAGAAGGGAGGGAGAGAAGGGGAGAGAAGAAGAGAACCATCTATGGGAGAGAGACATCTACTGGTTGCTTCCTGCACGCATCCTGGCAGGACAGGGGATCAAACTTGCAACCCACGATGCTCTGACCACTCAACACACTGGCCAGAGCCCAGCTGAAACTATGCATCTCACGTTCGTCAATACCAACTGGCCCTTCCCTATGGCTGGGTCACCCTCCCCCAAGCTCACAGCCTTTGGGTTTTGATGTGCTCACATCTCTTCAAATCCTCTCGACCAGTGGTCGGCAAACTCATTAGTCAACAGAGCCAAATATCAACGATTGAAATTTCTTTGGAGAGCCAATTTTTAAAAAGTTAATCTATATAGGTGGGAACATTGTTATTAATTTAATTAGGGCACTCCTAACCTGGCCTTCGCTAAAAACTCAAGGTGCCAAAGAGCCGCGTGTGGCTCGCGAGTCGCAGTCCGCCGACCACTGCTCTAGATGGTAAATGGGGCACTCACAGAGCCTCTGGGAGCTCAGTCAACACAGGCTCTACCCGCCAGGAAAAGGGGCCTCTGATTGGCTGCAGGATTTTAGCACCACCCTCCTCTGCCTCCGTCTGGATGGGCTGTGCCTCCTCTCACCCTGTAGGAGCCAGAGTCTCCATTTCCCCCATCACCATCCCTTCCAGGCGACTCGACTTCATCTCCACCGTCCTGGGAATCCTTTTCGTCCTCTGCACTGGACCCTAAGGGATGGAAGAAGCCGGAAGAAGACTGAGCTGGGGACACGTGGGTCCCAGGAGCTTGGAACGCTCACCTCCCCCATCTGCAGGGGGTCTACTCAGGCCCAGAAGCCTCTGCCTGCCCTGGGCCTGACAGAGTGGGATTTGAGCTCCCCCTTCCCTTTGTGCCAGAGAGAGCAGAGGAGAGGCTAGGGATCCAGGATGGGGGTGGAGGAAGAGTGGAGTTTTGGGGTGATCATTATGATTCCTGTTTTGGAAGAGTGAAATAGTCATGTCATGAGAATAAAATGTCATTGCAATGAAATATTAAAGAACAAAAGGGAAGCTCTCGCTGGGTTGGCTCAGCGGATAGAGCGTCAGCCTGTGGTCTGAAGGGTCCCAAGTTCAATTCTGGTCAAGGGCACAAGCCCAGGTTATGGGCTCCACCCCCAGTAGGGGGCGTGCAGGAGGCAACCAATCAAGGATTCTCTCTCAATGGTGTTTCTATCTCCCTCTCCTTTCTTCTCTGATTATATATATATTAAAGAATAAAAGGGAGGCCAAACTCGGTTTGGCTCAGAGGATAGAGCGTCAGTCTGCAGACTGAAAGGTCCTGGGTTCGATTCCAGTCAAGGGCATGTACTTGGTTGCGGGCACATCCCCAGTAGAGGGTGTGCAGGAGGCAGCTGATTGATATTTCTCTCTCATTGATGTTTCTAGCTCTCTATCTCCCTTCCTCTCTGTAAAAAAGAATAAAAGGGAATGAAGTACTGATAATACCACAACATAGATGAACCTTAAAAACATGCAAACATGAGAAGCCTGTCATGAAAAATCATGTTCTGTTCATCTGAAACATTGAGAATAGGCAAATCAGAGGAGCCAGAAAGCAGGTTGGTGTTTGCCTAGGGCTTGGAAAAGGGGGTGGGGGGTGGGGCGGTGACTGGTAAGAGGTACAGCTTTCCTCTGGGGGTGGTGAAAATGCAGGGAAATTGATTGTGGCGATAGGTGCGCATCTCTGTAAACATTACTAAAGACCATGGAATTGTACACTTCAAATGAGTGAACTGTATGGCATGTGAACCATACCTCAAAAAGGCTGGTACCGTGTTGGGGAGGGGGGGAGGATTTGCCACTGGGAGCAGAGGGCCTGAAGATGTCCCCCAAATTACCATGTCGTCCTTGGGGTATCCAACCCCCCATGCGTCTTATCCTTGGGGGCTCTCTGAAAGGAGGGCGGAAGGCGGGGACATCATCCACAAAGACCTCCTCCAGCTCCGGGTAGAAATCGTCTGTGAGGCAGGAGAGAGAAGGCCCCTGGAGACCGGGGTCCTAGGGGAAGGGAGCGCTGGAGACTCAGATGATTGGGTGTTGGAGAAGGAGAAGGTTCAAGACCTGGACTTGGTGTGGGTTTCATGGTCCTTGGGCGTGTGTGTGTGTGTGTGTGTGTGTGTGTGTGTGTGTGTATGTGTGCGCGCGCGCAGACCCTGGGAAAGGGTGGGGGGCGTGAGGAGGGGAAGGGTCGGCACTCCAGGCTCATTTGCAGATCAAGGACCGAGGTTCCAGACGCCTGGGTTCTCACGGGAGCGGAGTTCTAGAACACAGGCGGCCCAAGGGCTTGCGAGTACCTGCTTCCTTCGGGGACGCCAAGGGGCTGGGCTCGGGGCGGCCATCGCCATCACAGCTCATGACGCCCTGGGCGCTGTGGGTACCCGCGTGCAGATGTGCTTCCGGCACGTTCTCACGGAGGAAAGGGTTGCGGAGGCCTGGGAGACAGGGCAGAGGCCCCTAAACTGCGAAGACCTGCCTCCTCGCTGGGCTCCCAGACACAGCCCCTGGTGGGATGAATGGCCCCCCACGCCGCCGCCGAGGCCCATTCAGAACGCAACCTTCACTGCAAGGCTCAGGCGGGGGCAGCCCGACCCCTCAATTGGTGGTTGTTCCCCCCCCGACCCCGATCCCTCGATTGTTGTAAACCTCGTACCCCAGCCGGGTTCTCGGTCGGTAGAACCTGGTTTCTAAGTTACCCAGGTCCCCGGCTTTGCCAGTTCCAGCTCTGGTCCTGCTTCTCCAGGCCGCGCCCCCCAACTCTGCCAGGACCCGCCCCAGCCCTCCACAGACCCCGCCCCACGCTTTTGGTTGGTCCCGGACTCACAGACCCCGCCCCAGGACTCTAACAAGCCCCGCCCCTCGTGGCCTTAAAGAGCCCGCACCCGCGCTCTCCCCGGGGTCCCCCCTGGCTGCTGTGACTCGTGCTTTTGCGGGCTCTGCTGGGGTGCTCCTGGCCTCCGAGGGGGGTCCCCTCACCGCTGTTCCCCGCGAGGCTCTCCGACCTCAGGCGCGGCCGGCAGGACCGCAGGGAGGCGTCAGGATTGGCCTTAACCATGAGGAAATCTTGGCGTTTCCGCCGCTGCTTCTTCTCAAAGAGCCGCCGCTGCGGGAGCGGGAAAGGGGTGTGTGGGGGCCGGGAGTCCTGCGGAAGACTCGGGTGAAAATGGGCCTGAGGGAGGGGAGCCCCGGGGGAGGGGAGCCCTGGGGGAGGGGAGCCCTGGGGGAGGGGAGCCCCGGGGGAGGGGAGTCCGGGGGGGGGCCCTGGGGGAGGGAGCCCCGGGGGAGGGGAGCTCCGGGGGAGTGAGCCCCGGGGGAGGGGAGCCCCGGGGGAGGGGAGCCCTGGAGGAGGGGAGCCGGGGGGGGGGGGGGCCCTGGGGGAGGGAGCCCCGGGGGAGGGGAGCCCTGGAGGAGGGGAGCCGGGGGGGGGGGGCCCTGGGGGAGGGAGCCCCGGGGGAGGGGAGCCCTGGAGGAGGGGAGCCGGGGGGGGGGGCCCTGGGGGAGGGAGCCCCGGGGGAGGGGAGTCCGGGGGGGGGGGGGCCCTGGGGGAGGGAGCCCCGGGGAGGGGAGCCCTGAGGGGAAGGGGAGGGAGCGGCCTGCATCCATGGGAGAATTTTTGGAATCCAAGCCCTCAGTCCCTCCTTTCCTCCTTCCTCACACCAGGGGTCCTGGCACCTGGTCCCCTCCGCCCCCAGGACCTGGGCCTCCTGCCCCCAGAGCCCTTGATCCTTAGAAGTTTTGGGGTCTCGTCCCCAAGGTCTGCTTCTCTAGGACCCTGAATTCCTATTTTCTCATCCCCCAATGGCAGAACCTGAAGTCCGGAGGGCCCGCCTGCCCAGGGCAGTCCCTGGGGATGGGCTCCCGGGGAGCTGTGAGGGGGCCCCGGGGTGTGTGTGTGTGGGGGGGGTTCTCAGCACAGTACCTGCTGTTCCAGCTTCTGCAGCCTTATGGCAGCGAGCTCGTCCCACAGGACCCTGAGACAGAGGCAGGCTTGTGGCAAGAGTAAGCAAGCAAGGCAGCCTGGTCACCCGAGAGGGCAGCCCAAGTCAGGATTCTGAGCACTTGTGAGGTCACAGAGGAGAAAGTCCTGAGCCTGTCCCTGGGTTCTAAAGCTCCTTCTCCCAGCACCGGTCAGCCAGAATCCAGGAGTCCGAGACCCCAGGGCCATCGGGTCTCAGAACCCAGGAGTCCAAGCTCCTCCCCTCTTGACCCATTGGTCTTCATCTTAGGATGTTCCCTTTAAGCAGGACTCAGAAGTCCAGGCCCCCAGCCCCCTCCCAGCAAGGCTGATGGTGCTGAGCCTGCGAAGGCGGTGATGGGGCCAGAGCTGAAAGTGTGGGGGCATAATCAAACTCTTGGTTGCCCGGGCACCCCTTTGTCCACTCCTGCCCATCCTGGTGCCTTACTCACTCTTTTTTCCACGGGTCATTCTCCTGAGACATTCTGGAGAAACGAGGAGAAGTCAGGACTCAGGCCCCACGTCCCAATGGGCTCTGTCCCCCACCCCCACCCCCACATCTGATCTTAAGCTCTACATTTTATCCAGGAATCAGGAAGCCTGGATGCCAGCACCTATTCCTGTCCAAGGAAACAGCGACCTTATTCCAGTTTTTGGCCCAGGAGTCCAATTCTCTTCCCCCCAAATACCTCTCTCCTACACCCCAGCATGGGAATTCAGATATCTGGGCCCCAAACACCAGACCACCCGCACCCATCTATCTCCATCTATCCCCTCCCCCGCCCCATGCCTGCAGAGGCTTTTCACATTCTCACCTCAGTGCTCTGCCTCTCTGGCCAATTTCTATAAACATACCTGACTAATTTGGGGGGTGGGGGGAGCTGGGGACCTGCTCTCTGGGTCTCCGCGAAAATAAAGCAGGGGAATAAAGAGGGCTCCGAGCGAGGAGCGATCCCCTTCTCGGATCTCCCGGAATCCCCTCCCTCAGATTCCCTCGCGCTCAACTTCCAACAAAGCAATGACCCCCCCCCCCCTCCCCCGGCTTCGGCCGCAGCCAGGCTACCCTGCTCAGGGGGTTCTAAATTGGAAGGGGGTGCGAGTGTTCCTTAAAGAGACCGCGGAGAGGTCGCCGCGCAGGCTCGCTCTACCCCTCTCACTTATACAAGGAACTTATCAGGCGCTCCGGACCATTGCCATGGACCTGTAACTTGCCGTCACTTCTTAGGGAAAAAAAAAACACACACGGGAAAACTACAACTCCCATGAGGCAAAGGGGCCAAGATGGTGCGGAAATTGTGTCATTTCACCCCGGGGCCTGCAGGGGGTTGTAGTTCGCTGTGAAAGTCTACGTACCCCGCTTTCGCCTAAGGCGCAGGAAATAATGTCAAGAACTTGAGCTTCCGAGAAAGGAGGCGCGAGTCTTTCGAGAAAAGGCGAGCGGCTTCGACAGAAAGGGGCGGGGCCTCTAGGCAAGAACCGAGCGTGGACCAATCAGATAGCCGGAGGCGGGTCTTTGGCGGGAAAGTGGGCGTGGCCTGGGGGAAATCGCAGCGGAGGTCCCAGCCCGGGAAAACGCCCTCTGCGGGAAGGAGAGGTGAGGGGCTGCGATCTCTAGGCTCCTGGGTCCCGGGAAGGAGGGGAGATGGAGGGCTAGAGGGCTGGGGGCTGGGTTCCGGAGGAAGACGAGCTGGGCACCAGCTCCCCTAGATCCTAGGATTAAAAAAGTGGGGGGGGGGGGCTGGGGCACCCAGACCTGAAACCCCGGACTCCTGAGTCAGGGAGCGAAGAGGCTGCAGGGAGCCCGCACCCTGGGGTTTGAGGAAGGACAGGCCGGAGGCTCGGGATGTTGGGTCCCGGAAAACGAGCCGCTTTGATGCTTGGAGGGGAGGAGAGCATGTGGTGCTGGGAGGAGGGAGTGGGGGGTGACTTTGGGTCCAGGGAAGGAGGAGGCTTGGGACAGACGTCCTCCACGCTCCGCCCGCCCGCACAGGTCAGGCCGCCATGCCTCCCTCCGGGCCCCGCGCCGCCCTCCTCCTGCTGCCGCCGCTGCTGCTGCTGCTGCTCCGCGCCGCCCTGGCCGTGCCCCTGGAGCGGGGGGCGCCCAAGGAGGAGAGCCCGGCCACCGAGAGCCCCGTGAGTGGCCCGTCCTGCTCCCCAGCCAGGTGTCTGCAGGGGTGCGGCCGTCCGGCGGACCCGTGGCCCCGGAGGGGTACTCCTCCCTTCCCTCCCCCTCCCCACCCCACACACGGCGTGGAGTTACATTCTCTGTAGTCGCCGGGCTTTGACGTGGGGAAACCTGGGCTTAGGGGGGGTGGGGGGGAGCAAATGTCCAAGTCCCCGACTCTGAACTGTGGGAAATCAGACCAGATATTGAGTGAAAAGTCGGCATCACCTCCCCCTCTCCCCCGCTACACACACACACACACACACACACACACACACACCTAAACCTCTCTGTTTGGGGGAGTGTTGGTTTTTTGGGTTTTTTTAGACTCCCCTCTCCTCAAGCAGGAATTTGAACAAAAGAACTACATTTCCCAGTAGCACCTTGAACAGGTGTTGTGTTGTCAGCTCGCTGGGCAGCGCTCACTTCCTGGAGCTCCTGGCAGTGGTAGTCCCGATGACAAAGGGGCTTAGGAACCAACCCTCGGTTAAGTAATCCAATAGGTTTGTATCCGTCGCTGTGAAACCTTTGCCCTTAGGGCGTTTGGTACTTGGAACTTGAACGATTTCCTCAAGGCCAGGCCCTGACTTATGACAGGAATCCTCCCTTTAGGAACCGGCCTGTCACTATCTCTGGGACGGATTGTGCCGGGCTCCTGTGTGGCCGGTCCCCACCCCGTGACGGAGGCCTCTGCCCAGGGAAATCTTGGCAGAGAGAAGGGCACCTGTGCCTAGCCAGCACAGCCAAGGGTTCCGGGAGCCTGAGGGAGGGCGGCCAAGGATGTAGAAAAGACAGACAAAGAGAATAAGCTGGGTCTGGCTGAGGCCACAGAGAGAAGATCCAGACAGACAGCAAGCTGAGCCTTTATTTTACTTTATTTAAAAAAAATTTTTAAAATATATTTTTATTGATTTCAGAGAGGGGAAGGGAGAGAGAGAGAGAGAGAGATAGAAACATCAATGATGAGCCTGCACCGGTTTGGCTCAGAGGATAGAGCGTCGGCTTGCGGACTGAAAGGTCCCGGGTTCGATTTCGGTCAAGGGCATGTATAATACCTTGGTTGTGGGCACATCCCCAGAAGGGGGTGTGCAAGAGGCAGCTGGTCGATGACTCTCTCTCATCGATGTTTCTAACTCTCTGTCCCTCTCTCTTCCTCTCTGTGAAAAATCAATAAAATATATTAAAAAAAAAAAAAAAGAAACATCAATGATGAGAGAATCATGGATCAGCTGCCTCCTGTGTTACTATGTTCCTGTGAGTTTCACTTGTTTTGCAGCACTTGCTGCTCCTCCCACAGCCCTTTAGCTGCCCAGGAAGGATCGAGGGAGAGCCAGAAGGACAAGCTTAATTAGCTAAGCGGGCTGTGCCCTCTAAGCTGGGACTTGTCTATGGCTTTGCCAGCAGCTCAGTCCGAAGCTTAACCCTATAGCCGTTCCCTACAGGCACCTTTTCCTCATTCACTCCACACATTTCTTGAGCATCTCCTGTGAGTCAAGCTCAGGGCTAGCGCAAGCCCAGTCCCGTCCCAGGCCAGCCTCGCTCACTGGGCTCCTGCGAACGGACCGGAGGAGTGATGGCCGTTGAGGGGAGATCTGAAGTTCAGGGAGGGACCTCGGATTCCGGGCGGAGGGAGTAGGCTGGGCAAAGGCTGTGAAGTGGGAAAGGGCAGGGTGGCTGGAGCTGAGTGAGCCAGAGAGGGGCCCAGGCAGGTCACGTGGGACCTGTGGGCCATGGTACAGAAGGTCTTTGCATTGAGACTCGTGGAAAGCACAGGATGTTATAGACATCAGCAGGTGGGTGAGGAAACTGAGGCACAGAGTAACTTGTTTGAGGACTAAGGTTGCCAGTCTGAGCAAGTAAACACAGGACGCTGAGGCAACCTGGCAGTCCTGACAAGACGTCAGCCCACTGTGTTTGGCTGTAAAATGGCCCCCAAAGATGTCCCCGCCCTCATCCCTTGAGCCTACAAATATATTACCTCCCGTGGAGAAAGCGTGTTTGGGGTGTGACTGAGTTGGCATCTTTTCTCCCCCCCCAAAAAAAATATGTTTTATTGACTTTTTACAGAAAGGAAGGCAGAGGGCTAGAGAGTTAGAAACAACGATGAGAGAGAAACATTGATCAGCTGCCTCCTGCACACTCCACTTGGGGATGTGCCTGCAACCAAGGTCCATGCCCTTGACCGGAATAGAATCTGGAACCTTTCAGTCTGCAGGCTGACACTCTATCCACTGAACCACACCGGTAAGGGGTGAAAAAAAATTTTTTTTTTATTGATTTCAGAGAGAAAGGGGGAGAGAGAGAGAGAAAGAAATACCAATGATGAGAAAGAATCCCATTGGGGATTAAGCCACACCTGGGGCATGTGCCCTTGACCAGAATCAAAGCCGGGACCCTTCAGTCCTGAGGCTGATGGTGCTCCATCCAATGAGCCAAACCAGCCAGGGCGAGTTGGCATCTGTAAGTGGCATCATGAGGGTGAGCCCAGTGGAATCCTAAGGGTCCCTCTAAGAGGAAGGCAGGAAGGCCCGGGCCAGAGGTGGGTCAGGGGCGATGTGATGATGTGAGATGTCAGCGTGAGGCAGGGCCACGAGCGAAGGGGTGCAGGCAGCCCCGGGGAGCCGGAAAAGACAGGGAGAGCTCCACCTGGAGCCTGGGGAATGAGCCCCGCCATCCCATGTTGCACTTCTACCTCCAGAACCCTGAGAGAATCAACGTGCGCTGCTCTAAGCCACTTACTTTGTGATACTTGGTTTTAGCAACAATAGGAAAGGCTGCACCCACAGTGGCATAGCTGGGTGATTTGCCTGTCTTGTAGTAAGTACCTACTGTGTGCTCCTCAGCTGATATAGTGAGAGCTTACCTTGTAGTAAGCACCTACTGTGTGCTCCTCAGCTGATGTAGTGAGAGCTTACCTTGTAGTAAGCACCTACTGTGTGCTCCTCAGCTGATGTAGTGAGAGCTTACCTTGTAGTAAGCACCTACTGTGTGCTCCTCAGCTGATGTAGTGAGAGCTTACCTTGTAGTAAGCACCTACTGTGTGCTCCTCAGCTGATGTAGTGAGAGCTAGCGGAGTGTCTAGTGCATCCTTATCCTCATGCCAGGCTGGCATCGCATCATGTGTTCATTCATTCATTCAGCAGCTCTGAGAAGTGGGGCCAGGAGCCCAGAGCTTCCTGTCTTTTTTTTTTTTTTTTTTTTACATATTTTATTGATTTTTTTACAGAGAGGAAGGGAGAGAGATAGAGAGTGAGAAACATCGATGAGAGAGAAATATCGATCAGCTGCCTCCTGCACGCCCCCCACTGGGGATGTGTCCGCAACCAAGGTACATACCCTTGACCGGATTCGAACCTGGGACCTTTCAATCTGCAGGTCGAGGCTCTATTCACTGAGCCAAACAGGTTTCGGTACTTCATGTCTGTCTGGTTCACTTGCCGTATCCCCTGTAGCAGCACCTGCCATGTGGCAGGGGCTCAGAGGATGCTGAATGAATGAATGAACGCATGCATGTTCTCTGTTCACCAATAAGTACCAGTGTGTCTGCTCGGTAAGCCCCACGTGGTGAGCGGTGTTGGGCTTGCGTTTGCCCTTGTGACACACGTTTTGTCTCCACTGCAGACCTGGGCCGAGGTGAGAGCCGGCCCGGAGGGTCAGCAGGTCCCCGGGGGTTACAGAGCGGATGGGGGCTCCGACCGTCCGCTGGCTGCAGATGCAGAGGCTTTACCCGGGGGCCGGCCTCCTGCTCCCAGTGGGGGCGCCTTGGGGAGCAGGGTGCAGGGACTGAGCTCCTCGGCCCACCTTTCCCTCCCAGGACACGGGCCTGTACTACCACCGCTACCTGCAGGAGGTCATCAACGTGCTGGAGACGGACGGGCACTTCCGCGAGAAGCTGCAGGCCGCCAACGCCGAGGACATCAAGGTGGGCCAGGGGGCAGGGTGTCAGGGGGGGGGGGGGGGGAACCGGGTTTCTTAAAGGGGCCCCGTGGCTCCGGCCCTCACACACCGGGAAGGGACTTGGGTAAGATGACCAGACATCCCGCTTTTAGCGGGACAGTCCCGATTTCTAACCATTTGTCCCGTGTCCCGCGACGTTTTAAAAAAGTCCCGATTTGGCCGAAACCGGTTTGGCTCAGCGGATAGAGCATCGGCTTGGCGACTGAAAGGTGCCGGGTTCGATTCCGGTCAAGGGCATGTACCTTGGTTGTGGGCATAGAGGGTGTGCAAGAGGCAGCTGATCGATGACTCTCTCTCATCGATGTTTCTAACTCTATCTCTCACCCTTCCTCTCTATACAAAATCAATAAAATATATTAAAAAAAAAAAAAGTCCCGATTTGCCCTAATCGGTTTGGTTCAATGGATAGAGTGTCAGCCTGCGGACTAAGGGGTCCCGGGTTCGATTCCGGTCAAGGGCATGTACACTGGTTGCAGGCACATCCCCAGTGGGGGGTGTGCAGGAGGCAGCTGATGGATGTTTCTAACTCCTATCCCTCTCCCCTCTCATCGATGTTTCTAACTCTCTAACCCTCTCTCTTCCTCTCTGTAAAAAATCAATAAAATATACTTTAAATGAATGAATGAATGAATGAATTAAAAATAAATTTAAAAGTCCCCGTTTTTTTTTATTTTTATTGATTTTTTTACAGAGAGGAAGGGAGAGGGAGAGTTAGAAACATCAATGAGAGAGAAACATTGATCAACTGCATCCCTCACACCCCCCACTGGGGATGTGCCCGCAACCAAGGTACATGCCCTTGACCGGAATCGAACCCAGGACCCTTCGGTCCACAGGCCAACTCTCTATCCAGTGAGCCACACCGGTTTCGGCAAGGACTGGATTTCTTAAAGGGGCCCAGTGGCTCCCGCCCTCACACACCGGGGAAGGGACTTGGGTAAGATGACCAGACATCCCGCTTTTGGCGGGACAGTCCCAATTTTTAACAATTTGTCCCGCGGCATTTTAAAAAAGTCCCGATTTTTTTGAAAAAATCGGGCCTTTTTTTTTTTTTTAAATATATTTTATTGATTTTGTAGAGAGGAAGGGAGAGAGATAGCAAGTTAGAAACATTGATGAGAGAGAAACATCGATCAGCTGCCTTTTGCACACCCCCCACTGGGGATGTGCCCGCAACCAAGGTACATGCCCTTGACCGGAATCAAACCTGGGACCCTTCAGTCCCCAAGCCGACGCTCTATCCACTGAGCCAAACCGGTTTCGGCCTTTTTTTTTTTTTTTTTTTAATGTCGCGGGACAAATTGGAATTGGAAAAAAAAAATCGGGCCTTTTTTTTAAAACGCAGCGGGACAGATGGTTAGAGATCGGGACTGTCCCGCCAAAAGCGGGACGCCTGGTCCCCTTGACTTGGGGAACAGAGTGTGGTTAGGCGCCGGGGCGGAGGTCCCGGGCTCCCAGCCTCAGCTCCGCCACTTGCCAGCGCGGTGACCTCCCCTTGCCGTGCCTCAGTTTCCCCGCCTGTGAACCGGGTTCGGGTTTGGTGTGTCCCAGGCGAGCCTTGCACAGGGTTTGGGCGTCCTCCTGGGTGAGTGCCTGGGCGCTCAGCACTGAGCTCGGAGCTTTCCGCACCAGGAGGATCCGCCTGATCATTCCCGGCTCACAGAGGGGAGCCCCTGGCAGGACAGGAGCGTCGGTCGGGCCTGGGAAGCGGGGTGGGAGGCGTCCCGCAGAGGCCGGGCCGTGGGAGGCCGGGGGGCCCTGCCGCAGGGACAGCCGCTGGGGCCGGTGGGATGAGTGGCGGGAGGCGGGGGACAGGGGCGGGCAGGCCCGGCGCCGAGCTGAGGGGCTGGGGCCCTGTCTGGGGCCTCTCTGGAGCCCTGGGGGGGGGGCACGAGGGAGCTGGTGGGAGGTTCCCGGAGGCCGGAGCCCGTCCTGCCCGGCCTCCACCTGGCCGGGCCCCTCTCCCCCCCCTCCTGACTGGGCCCCTCTCCCCCCTCCTGACCGTGCCCCTCTCCCCCTCCGCCTGACCGTGCCCCTCTCCCCCTCCGCCTGACCGTGCCCCTCTCCCCCTCCCCCTGACCGCGCCCCTCTCCCCCCCCTCCTGGCCGTGCCCCTCTCCCCCTCCCCCTGACCGTGCCCCTCTCCCCCTCCTCCTGGCCGTGCCCCTCTCCCCCTCCTGACCGGCCCCTCTCCCCCTTCTCCTAACCGGGCCCCTCTCCCCCCTCCCCCTGACCGTGCCCATCTCCCCCTCCTGACCGTGCCCCTCTCCCCTCCCCCTGACCGTTCCCCTCTCCCCTCCCCCTGACCGTTCCCCTCTCCCCCTCCGCCTGACCGTGCCCATCTCCCCCTCCTCCTGACCGTGCCCCTCTCCCCCTCCTGACCGGCCCCTCTCCCCCTTCTCCTAACCGGGCCCCTCTCCCCCCTCCCCCTGACCGTGCCCATCTCCCCCTCCTGACCGTGCCCCTCTCCCCTCCCCCTGACCGTTCCCCTCTCCCCTCCCCCTGACCGTTCCCCTCTCCCCCTCCGCCTGACCGTGCCCATCTCCCCCTCCTCCTGACCGTGCCCCCCTCTCCCCCCCTCCCCCTGACCGTTCCCCTCTCCCCCTCCGCCTAACCGCGCCCCTCTCCCCCCTCCTCCTGACCGTGCCCCCCTCTCCCCCCCTCCGCCTGACCGCGCCCCTCTCCCCCTCCTCCTGACCGTGCCCCTCTCTCCCCCCCTCCGCCTGACCGGGCCCCTCTCCCCCTCCCCCTGGCCGCGCCCCTCTCCCCCTGACCGGGCCCCCTCTCCCCTCCTCCTGACCGTGCCCCTCTCCCCCCTCCCCCTGACCGTGCCCCTCTCCCCCCTCCCCCTGACCGTGCCCCTCTCCCCCCTCCCCCTGACCGTGCCCCTCTCCCCCTCCGCCTGACCGGGCCCCTCTCTCCCCCCTCTGCCTGGCCGGGCCCCTCTCCCCCTCCCCCTGACCGCGCCCCTCTCCCCCTCCTCCTGACCGTGCCCCTCTCCCCCCTCCCCCTGACCGTGCCCCTCTCCCCCTCCGCCTGACCGCGTCCCCTCTCCCCCTCCCCCTGGCCGCGCCCCTCTCCCCCTGACCGGGCCCCTCTCCCCCCTCCTGACCGGGCCCCTCTCCCCCCTCCTCCTGACCGGGCCCCTCTCCCCCTCCCCCTGGCCGCGCCCCTCTCCCCCTGACCGGGCCCCTCTCCCCCCTCCTGACCGGGCCCCTCTCCCCCCTCCCCCTGACCGTGCCCCTCTCCCCCCTCCTCCTGACCGTGCCCCTCTCCCCCTCCGCCTGACCGGGCCCCTCTCCCCCCTCCTGACCGTGCCCCTCTCCCCCCTCCTCCTGACCGTGCCCCTCTCCCCCTCCGCCTGACCGGGCCCCTCTCCCCCTCCCCCTGACCGCGCCCCTCTCCCCCTCCTCCTGACCGGGCCCATCTCCCCTCCCCCTGACCGTGCCCCTCTCCCCCTACCCCTGGCCGTGCCCCTCTCCCCCTCCCCCTGACCGCGCCCCTCTCCCCCTCCCCTGACCCCGCCCCTCTCCCCCCTCCTCCTGACCGGGCCCCTCTCCCCCTCCCCCTGACCGTGCCCCTCTCTCCCCTCCCCCTGACCACGCCCCCCTCCCCCTCCTCCTGACCGTTCCCCTCTCCCCTCCCCCTGGCCGTGCCCCTCTCCCCCTCCGCCTGACCGGGCCCCTCTCTCCAGAGCGGGAAGCTGAGCCGGGAGCTGGACTTCGTCAGCCATCACGTCCGCACCAAGCTGGACGAGCTCAAGCGGCAGGAGGTGTCCCGGCTTCGGATGCTGCTCAAGGCCAAGATGGACGCGGAGCAGGAGCCCAGTGAGCAGGGGTGGGGCAGGGGGGCAGGCCCAGGGAGCAGGGGTGGGGCTGAGGGGCAGGCCCAGGGAGCAGGGGTGGGGCTGGGGGGGCAGGCCAGGGAGCAGGGTTGGGTCTGGGGGGCAGGCCAGGGAGCAGGGGTGGGGCTGGGGGGGCAGGCCAGGGAGCAGGGGTGGGGCTGAGGGGCAGGCCCAGGGAGCAGGGGTGGGGCTGGGGGGCGGGGCCAGCGAACAGAGGTGGGGGTCCAGGCCCCAGCCCCTCCTCCCTCAGACGTTTCTAGCTCTCTAGCTCTCTCCCTTCCTCTCTGTAAAATATCAATAAAATATATTAAAAAAAAAAAAGAAAGAAAGAAAGAAAAAAAGAAACATCGATGAGAGAAAAACATGGACCAGCTGCCTCCTGCACACCCCCCACTGGGGATGTGCCCGCAGCCAAGGCACATGCCCTTGGCCGGAACAGAACCTGGGACCCTCGAGTCCACAGGCCGATGCTCTATCCACTGAGCCAAACCGGTTAGGGCCAGGGCAGGGATTTTGAAAGAACATTCCATGAGCTGGTTTCCCCTTCTTTCCCCTCCTCCAGACGCACAGCTGGATCACCTGGGCCTCCTGAAGCAGTTCGAGCACCTGGATCCTCAGAACCAGCACACGTTCGAGGCCCGGGACCTGGAGCTGCTGATCCAGACGGTAGCGTGAGGGGGCACAGGCGGAGGACAGGAGCTGGGAGGGGGGGCGGCACAGAGCCGGCACGCAGGCCCGCTCACCTCTGCCTGGCATTCCCGAGGCCGGCGCTGGAGAGGGCCTGGGGCAAGCTACCTGTTTCCCCGAAAATAAGACAGTGTCTTATATTCATTATTGCTCCCAAATATGCGCTAGGTCTTATTTTCGGGGAAACACGGTAAAACCCCTTCCCAGAGTGAAGGCAGCAGCACGGGCTCGGTTCCACCCAGACCTGGTCTCACATCCCTCCTGGGCTCTGGCTTTCAAGACCGGCTGAGGTGGCTCAGTGGTTAAGCTTTGACCTATGAACCAGGAGGGCCCCGGTTCAATTCCTGGTCCGGGCACCTGCCCCAGTTGCAGGCTCGATCCCAGTGTGGGCCTGCAAGAGGCAGCTGATCAATGAGTCTCTCATCACCGATGTTTCCATCTCTCCTCCCTTCTCTCTGAAATCATTTTATATATCTATATCTGTATCTATCCACATATATATATATGTGGATAGATAGATATAGATATAGAAAATCTTTAAAAAAAAAAAGCCCAGCTAGTGTGGCTCAGTGACACCTATGAACTGGGAGTTCATGGTTCAATTTCCAGTCAAAGGCACATGCCCGGGTTGTGGGTTCAATCCCCAATGTGGGGCATGCAGAAGGTAGTCGATTAATGATTCTCTCTCATAATTGATGTTTCTATCTCTCTCTTCCTCTCCCTTCCTCTCTGAAATCAATAATATAAATATATTTATATTTTCTTTATTAAAAAATATATTTTATTGATTTTTTTACAGAGAGGAAGAGAGAGGGATAGAGAGTTAAAAACATCAGATGAGAGAGAAACACCGGTCAGCCGCCTCCTGCACACCCCACACTGGGGATGTGCCTGCAACCAAGGTACATACCCTTGACCGGAATCGAACCCGGGACCCTTCAGTCCACAGGCTGACACTCTATCCAATGAGCCAAACCGGTTAGAGCAAAAAAATATATATTTTTCAACCTTAAAAAAAAGGCAGGGATTGCCGAAGCCGGTTTGGCTCAGTGGATAGAGCGTCGGCTTGCGGACTGAAAGGTTCCAGGTTGGATTCCGGTCAAGGGCATGTACCTTGGTTGCAGGCACATCCCCAGTGGGGGGCGTGCAGGAGGCAGCTGATCGATGTTTCTAACTCTCTATCCCTCTCCCTTCCTCTGTAATAAATCAATAAAATTTAAAAAAACACAAAAAGGATGTCCCACCCTCTTCCATGGAACCTGTGGGCATGGGACCATTTCAGGGAAAACGCAGCCATGACTGTGTTGAGGGTCCTGAGCTGGTGGGCTGGTCCTGGTCACCCAGCGGCCCCCGATCTCAGCACAAAGGGCCTTGAAAGGGGCGGCCGCGGGAGCTGTGAGGACAGGTGTCGGCCCCTGAAGCCAGACGCTCCCGGAATCCGCTCTAGAAGCTGGAAAGGCCGAGGCGCACAGGCTGCCAACACCTCCAGTCAGCGGAACTCACTCCAGGCCTCCGGCCTCCCGCCTGCGGGATGACATGTGTGTCGTAAGCCACCCAGCCGATGGTACTGTCACAGCAGCCTCCGGGGCACGTCCGTGCTGCTCTGCGGAAGGGTCTGCAGCCCTCCCCACTGCAAAGGCCGAGTGTCGGAGCGATGCCCCTGCCTCTGCCTACGCACTGCCCTCTGGGGACAGAGTCCACCCCTCAGCCTGGCCTGGCCTGGGCCCTGCTCTCCTGGCCGCCTGGAGCTCCATCTAGTGGCCGCGAAGATAATAGCAGCGGCTAGTGGAGTCCGGCCCAGCCCTGGGCTGTTTCTGCCAGTTGTTTCCAGAGCATTCGAGAAACGGTCCGCTTTACTCCAGCCCCGCTATCGTTCCCCCATCTCAGTTCCCCTCGGCTGCTTCCTCGCTGGGCACCTTGCTTCTGCCTTCCACGCTCGTCAGCAGGGTTTCCCAACTCGGCCCTCTTGACATTTGGGGCTGGATGATCCTTTTTAAAATATATATATATTTTATTGATTTGTCACAGAGAGGAAGGGAGAAGGATAGAGAGCTAGAAACATCGATGAGAGAGAAACATCTACTAGCTGCCTCCTGCACCCTCCCTCCCCCCACCGGGGATGTGCCCACAACCAAGGTACATGCCCTTGACCGGAATCGAACCTGGGACCTTTCAGTCCGCAGGCCAACGCTCTGTCCACTGAGCCACACCGGTTTTGGCGGGGCTGGATGATTCTTGGACACTGACCATTGTCTCCTGTGGGCCGCCGTGGTCTCAGCATGAGAACCCCATCTATACCATCTGTTCCCCTCACCACAGCTGTATCTGCTTCCTGTTGCTTCCATGTAACAACCACTAACACACGCATGTATTAGTCCGTGTAGGTCAGAGATGGAGGAGGGTCTTCCTGGGTGTGCTCGTTCCCTGAGGCTGCCGTAGCACACTGCTCCAGACTCGATGGCTTAACACGGCAGACGTGTCGCCTCTCACGGTTCCGGAGGCGGCAAGTCCAACGCTGGCATCCCTGAGCCAAAGCCAAGGCTCCGGGCCGGTGCTCTCCTCGGAGGCTGCCCGGGAAGACCTGCTTCCTGCTCTTCCAGCCTCTGGGGGCTGCCAGCATTCCTTGGCTTGCAGGCACATCGCTCCAGGCTCTGCCTCCCTGGTGCTCTCCCCAAGTCTCTCTGGGACCTCTCTGTAGCTTTCTTATAAAGAAGCCGTTCGTTGGATGGAGGGCCCATCCTAATCCAGTAGGTCCTCATTATAACGGATTACATCTGCCAGGATCCTACTTCCAAATGAGGTCACGTACTGAGGTTCTGAGTGGACATGATGTTTAAAAAAATATAACTTTATTTATTGATTTTTTTACAGAGAGAAAGGGAGAGGGATAGAGAGCTAGAAACATTGATGAGAGAGAAACATTGACCAGCTGCCTCCTGCACACCCCCCACTGGGGATGGGCCCACAACCAAGGTACATGCCCTTGACCGGAATCGAACCTGGACCCCCTCACTCCGCAGGCCGATGCTCTATTCATTGAGCCAAACCGGTTTCAGCTGGAGATGATTTAAAAAAAAATACTTTTATTGATTTCAGAGAGGAAGGGAGAATGAGAGAGAGAGAAACATCAAGGATGCGAGAGAATCATTGATCGGCTGCTTCCTGCACGACCCCTACTGGGGATGGAGCCAGCAACCGGGCATGTGCCCCTGACCAGAATCAAAACCCGGGACCCTTCAGTCCGAAGGCCGATGCTCCATCCACTGAACCAAACTGGTTAGGGCTGGACATGACCTTTTTTTGTGGTTCCCCCCCACCCCCCAAATATGTTTTTTATGATTCCAGAGAGGCATGGAGGGAGGAGAGAGACAAAGAGAGAATGAGAGAGAGAGAGAGATAATAACATCGATGAGAGAGAATCATTGATTGACTGCCTCCTGCACGTTCCCTACTTGGGATCAATCCCACAACCCTGGCACATGCCCTTGACCGGAATCGAACCTGAGACCCTTCAGTCCGCAGGCCGATGCTCTATCCACTGAGCCAAACCAGCTTGGGCTGGACATGAACTTTTGTGTGTGGGGGGAGACACTATTCAACTCTGTGTAGTATTACCATCTCCATGTTCACAGAGGTAGAAATGGAGGCACAGAGAGGCTGAGTTAGCTGCCCAGGAGCACACAGGTAGTGGGATTTGTTCACCCCGCAGAGCCTGGCTTTGAATTCTGAGCAAAATAATTAGAGACCTCATCTTCTTTACCCCCAAGCTGTGCAGCCTTTCATACTAAGTACACCGTGTGGGGGTGTTTTTTTAAATTACTTATTCCAGTTGAAACCGGTTTGGCTCAGTGGATAGAGCGTTGGTCTGCGGACTCAAGGGTCCCAGGTTCGATTCCGGTCAAGGGCATGTACCTTGGTTGCGGGCACATCCCCAGTGGGGGGGGGGGTGCAAGAGGCAGCTGTTCAATGTTTCTCTTTCATTGATGATTCTAGCTCCGTATCCCTCTCCCTTCCTCTCTGTAAAGAATCAATAAAATATAAAAATAAATAAAATAAATATTTATTCCTCCAAGATCTTGACATTGTGGGGGACTTGAAAGAGGTGAGTTAAAGGAACCCTCCTAATCTCTTTTGAACAAAGAGGCTGTGTTATGGGGCAAGAGTGAGCCAGAGACCAAGTGCCGTGAGATCAGGACAGGCGACCCAGGTTCTGAGTCAACAGCCTGGCATTGGAAGGTGGGACCTTTGACCCCGGACGTAGAGGTGAGACGAGAGTGACCGTGTGCCTCCCTCCAGGCCACCCGTGACCTCGCCCAGTTCGATGCGGCCCATCATGAAGAGTTCAAACGCTACGAGATGCTCAAGGAACACGAGAGGCGCCGCTACCTGGAGTCGCTGGGGGAGGAGCAGCGGAAGGAGGCAGAGAGGAAGCTGGAAGAGCAACAGCGCCGGCACCGAGAGCACCCCAAAGTCAACGTGCCTGTGAGGAACATCATTCGCACCCACCTTCCCCGTCGTCGTCCCCCACCCCCCCACCCCACCCCATGTCTAATTCCTTGAGTTCCACAAAGCAAGGATGTAGCCGCAAAACTACAACTCCCAGCAGACCCTGTGGCAAGAGTCCTTTTTAATGTGCCTACCTCTGCCCAGGGGCTTCTGGGAGTTGTAGTTTTCTTGATCGAGGGGCAATGACTTTGAGAGATGGGGGCATCTAGGGTTTCCCTAGCTTCTTCCCTTCTTACTCATGAGCCCCTCGCTCTCACCTCCACAGGGCAGCCAAGCCCAGTTGAAGGAGGTGTGGGAGGAGCTGGATGGATTGGACCCCAACAGGTTTAACCCCAAGACCTTCTTCATACTGCATGGTAAGGTGGGGAGGGTGTCCCAAGGCCCGGGCTGGATTCTGAGGCTCTGGACCCTGGAAGTGAGGACCACAGGGTTAAGAGCCTAGAACGGCCATTTTTGGTAGCCTGGTCAGGAAAGGTTTGTCTAGGACAGGGGTCGGCAAACTCATTAGTCAACAGAGCGGCACACCGCAGCTCGAGAGCCTCACGTGGCTCTCGAGAGCCGCGGTTTGCCGACCGCTGGTCTAGTAGACCCTTCCATGCCGACGGAAATGCTCTATGTTCCAATGGCCTGTGTATAGCAGCCACCACCACCCCCCCCACGCGACCATGCAGCACTTGAAATGTGGCTCTTCCCGCTAAGGAATTGGAACCCCCCGGGTCCTGTGCAGAGGGGTTGATCCCTAGCTCCTTCGGGATCGAGTCATCCTGCATGACAGCGGTCCCAAGAACGGTCTCCCCTTCCTCTCCTCCCTTCTTGGGACCCTGGTTAGAAGGGAACGGACTGTCCTAGCAGGAGGCCTGGGGGGCGGAGGGGGGAGCACTGAAGCTGGAGGCCACCGTTCTACCATCGGAGACCTGTCCTCTACAACAGATCCCGTCTCAGCCCAGATTCCTGCTCCAGCTGGTCCCTCAGGGGCCTGACCCACCCCGTCCTCGGCCCCCCAAGATCTGTGTGGTCTTCCCCCAGATATCAACAGTGACGGTGTCCTGGATGAGCAGGAGCTGGAGGCGCTCTTCACCAAGGAGGTGAGTGTCTGGGGAGCCCTGGCCGCAGGGGATGCCCGGATCACCCGCGTGGTCCTTCCTTAGCGCCCTCTGGAGGTGAGTTCAGGAAAAACTACAACTCCCAGCAGCCTCAGGGGCAAAGAGTGGGGGGAAAAAAAAAAAAGGCTCACCGAGAATGTCAGGGTGCCCCAAGGACTCATGGGTGGCGTAGCTTGGGAAAGCGGTTGCCCTGGGCCCCTCCCCATGTCCTCCCTCCCGCTGGACTCTGCAGCTGGAGAAGGTGTACGACCCCAAGAACGAGGAGGACGACATGCGGGAGATGGAGGAGGAGCGGCTGCGCATGCGGGAGCACGTGATGAAGAACGTGAGGGGGGAGCCGGGCCTGGAGGGAGGGGGGTGGGGACCCGGGGGTGGGGGGCAGCTCCGTGGCTCACCCTCCCCTGGCTCCCCAGGTGGACACGAACCAGGACCGCCTGGTGACCCTGGAGGAGTTCCTCGCGTCCACCCAGAGGAAGGACTTCGGGGACAACGGGGAGGGCTGGGAGGTAAGGACGCGTCTCTCCCAGCCAAGGCCGCTGCTCTTAGGCACTGGACCCCCACCCCCTGCCCCCCCGCCCCCCCAATCCCACCCACAGCCCCTCTGTCCTCCGCTCTCCCTGGTCTCCATGCCCCTCCCGGTCCCACTTGTCCCTGCCGGCCCCCGGGGCAAGCCTCCCGGCTCCAGCCCTCCTCGGCAGAGCCCTCCACAGGGGTGGCCGGCGCCGCGGTCCCTGCTAACAGCCCCTCCCTCACCCCCTCCCAGACGGTGGAGATGCACCCTGCCTACACGGAGGAGGAGCTGAGGCGCTTTGAGGAGGAGCTGGCGGCCCGGGAGGCCGAGCTGAACGCCCAGGCCCAGCGCCTCAGCCAGGAGACGGAGGCTCTGGGCCGCTCCCAGGGCCGCCTGGAGGCCCAGAAGAGAGAGCTGCAGCAGGTGACGCCCTGGGGCCCTGGGCCGGGGTGTCCAGATGCTGTGGTCACTGTTTAATCACTGATCGGTCTTCCTATCAAAGTCCCGCCCGACAGCTCCACAGCTGCCATCCTATCTAATAACAGAGCAATATGCAAATTGACCATACCTCCGCCATACCCACAAGCCACACCCACAAGCCAATCAGGAGCAAATATGCAAATAAGCCCAATGAATATGGCTGTAGCCCTAGAGAGCATGAGGGAGGCTTGGGTTTCCCCTGCCCAGGCCTCCACTCCAGGCTACAAAGTTTCAAATATAGAAGGTAAATAAATCCAAACGGAAATGGCGGCAGCCGTGGAACTGGAAGAGCAGGAGGCCAGGGTTGCCGCCAGTGATGGAGGAAGCCAAGTTTCTGCAGCTCTGGCTGGTCTAGGCCTCCAATCCAGACTACACAGTTTCAATTATAGAGAATAAATAAGTTTCAACAGAAATGGCAGCAGCCACAGAGCAAGCAAAAGGCTGGGCTCCACTCTAGGCTGCAAAGTTTCAATTGTAGAAGTTACATAAATCCCAAATACCAGGGTCTTCACATGGGTCACCAGGGGGCATGGCCAGCCTCTAAACCACCACAGGCCCCTCACCCAGGCCACCCCACACCCCAAAGGAACACCTACCCTGATCTGGGACACCCTTCAGGGCACACCTGGCCTCCACCCATGCACTAGGCCTCTATCGTATCTAATAAAAGAGTAATATGCAAATTGACCATCACTCCAACACACAAGATGGTCAAAGATCCTGCCCCTATGTGGACAAAAGATGGTCAGCAGAGGAGGGCAGTTGGGAGAGACCAGGCCAGCAAGAGAGGGTAGTTAGAGGCAAACAGGCTGGCAGGGGAGCAGTTAGACATCAGTCAGGCTATCAGAGGAGTGGTGAGGGGGTGGTCAGGCTGGCAGGCAGAAGCGTTTCGGGGCAATCAGAAAGGCAGGCAGATGAGCAGTTGGGCCAGCAGTTCTAGATTGTGAGAGGGATGTCCGACTGCCCGTCTAGGCCTGATCCTACTGGGAACAGGTCTAAACGGGCAGTCGGACATCCCTCGAGGGGTCCCAGATTAGAAAGGGTGCAGGCTGGCCTGAGGGACATGAATTTCCTACACCAGGCCTCTCGTGTTGGATAACGGCGGGGGTTGTAAGAGGGAGAAAGTGGGGAAAGCAGGGACAAAGGTAGATTCCAGTAGGAGTTCAAGGAGGGCTTTTCTGTCCCAACGTGCAACCCGGGCCATGACGAGGGAGGCTGAACAGGGTCTTTTATTATTGTTATTATTATTTATTACTGATTTTTCACAGAGAGGAAGGGAGAGGGATAGAGAGTTAGAAACACCGATCAGCTGCCTCCTGCACACCTCCCCAGGGGATGTGCCCTTAACCCATGTACATGCCCTTGACGGGAATCGAACCTGGGACCTTTCAGTCTGCAGGTCGACACTCTACCCACTGAGCCAAACCAGCCAGGGAATGAGTGGGGTCTTTATTATTAAACCCGACTGCCAATGAGGAAGAACTGAGCCCCACAAAGAAAGGACGAGGAGCCCTTGGCAGGATGGGGGCTCACACGCTCTTGCTGCGTAACCCTCACCCCCCACAGGCCGTTCTGCAAATGGAACAGAGGAAGCAGCAGCAGCAGCAGCAGCAGCAGCAAGACCACAATGCCCCAGCCCCTGGCCCCGAGGGACAGCTCAAGTTCCAGCCCCACCACACAGGTGCCGGCCTGCCCCCAGGCGGGGGAGGGACTGGGGGCCTGGACCCCTGAGTCTGAGGGAGGAGGGGCTGGGGGCCTGGACCCCTGTGTCTGAGGGAGGAGGGGCTGGACCCCTGTGTCTGAGGGAGGAGGGGCTGGGGGCCTGGACCCCTGGGTCTGAGGGAGTAGGGGCTGGGGGCCTGGACCCCTGGGTCTGAGGGAGGAGGGATGGGGGCCTGGACCCCTGAGTCCGAGGGAGGAGGGCTGGGGGCCTGGACCCCTGAGTCCGAGGGAGGAGGGCTGGGGGCCTGGACCCCTGGGTCTGAGGGAGGAGGGCTGGGGGCCTGGACCCCTGGGTCTGAGGGAGGAGGGCTGGGGGCCTGGACCCCTGGGTCTGATGGAGGAGGGCTGGGGGCCTGGACCCCTGGGTCTGAGGGAGGAGGGCTGGGGGCCTGGACCCCTGGGTCTGAGGGAGGAGGGCTGGGGGCCTGGACCCCTGGGTCTGAGGGAGGAGGGCTGGGGGCCTGGACTCCTGGTCTGAGGGAGGAGGGGCTGGGCCTGGACCCCTGGGTCCGAGGGAGGAGGGCTGGGGGCCTGGGCTCCTGGTCTGAGGGAGGAGGGCTGGGGGCCTGGACCCCTGAGTCCGAGGGAGGAGGGCTGGGGGCCTGGACCCCTGGGTCTGAGGGAGGAGGGCTGGGGGCCTGGACCCTGGGTCTGAGGGAGGAGGGGCTGGGGGCCTGGACCCCTGGGTCTGAGCGAGTAGGGGCTAGGGGCCTGGACCCCTGGGTCTGAGGGAGGAGGGGCTGGGGGCCTGGACCCCTGGGTCTGAGGGAGGAGGGGGTGGGCTCCTGGTCTGAGGGAGGAGGCGTGGGATGTCTAGTGCCACCGTTTCCTCCCTTCATCTCCAGATGACGCTCCTGTGCCAGCTCCCGCCAGTGACCAGAAGGACGCAGTTGCTTCGGAGAAGAAGGTTCTGGAACAGCCCCCCGAGCTGCCCCCGCTGGATCCCCAGCACCTGTGATCTCGGGGACGGACGGAGCCGGGGACTGCCACCGGGGAAGGGATGAGGCGGCTCCTCCCACATCGCCACCTGCTGCTCCGCCTCCAGGCTCCGCCCCCGGGACCCGCTCCAGGGCTCATGGGGACCTTCAGGGGGTCAGCTGGCTTCGGGGCCCCCTCCCTCCCGGGGCGGGGGCGGTGGTGTCCCTGCCTCGCCGCTCCGGGTCGGGGCCACTCCAGCATCCTGCACCCCACGGCTGCCGCTGCAGGAGGCGTGGGCGTCCCCGAGTCGCTCCTCCGCCTTGTGTGGGACCAGCGATGCCTGGAGTCCGGCGTGTGGCCACTCGGGGCCCGGGCGGCAGAGTCCTCCGCGGATCCGCTGCCCCCTGGAGGGCCGACCCCCTGGCCCCGGCTTTCGGCCTCCTCAGCCTGGCCCCCCCCCCCCCCCCCCCCGTGGCCGGGCCCCCCGCCCCCCGCCCGCACAGCCACGGGAGGGTCCCGGAGCTGCCCCCCGCCCCCCAGGATCAGGCGCCCCCCCTGAGCCTCGGAGGGAGGCCCAGGCCCCCCCGGCCTTACCTCACTGCTGTGTGTCCTGCTGTGTCCAGCGCCATCCAAATACACCTCCCGGACCCGACCAGCCTCTGTCTTTGCAGCTGCCGTTCCCTCCGAGAACCCAAGTCCTGCTCGTTCTTTAAGGTTCAGCCCAAGCTTTTCCGAGAGGCTGCCTCTGGGCATCTTTCTGTTTTCTCCTGATGAGTCCACTGCACACATGCACACACACACACACGTGCACACACACACACATGCGCACACACACACACGCAGGCACACACACACACGTGCACACATACGTGCACACACACACGTGCACACATACGTGCACACACACACTTCAGTGGGATCCTTTCACCCACCGGACAGAAAACCCAAACCTAGACTTCACAATGAGGAAAAGTGAAGGGAGAGGGAGAGAAGCCACACCCCAAACAAGAAGGCCCGCGGTGGGGTGGCCCCAGAGCCTCAGGGACCCGGGTCTCCCCTTGGTCGGCCGGGTGCTGCGCTCCTCTTATCCCAAAGCGGCTGCAGCTGCTCCGGATGTCACACCTGCCTCCCGGCAGCTGACGGAGGAAATGGACAGAGGCTCCCTGCCAGCCCCGCCCATTCCCCACACCCCCCTCTGAGAGCTGGCGTGCCAACACAGCCCCAGGCCTGGGTGGGGTAGATAAAGGAGCCTAGAAATTCCCTGGGGGGCCCACGGCCATGTACTGACTGGTTCTGGGAAGTCGCGGGTGCCACCCCACCCTCCTCAGCTGAACTTGAATGACTGCCTGCTTCTCTTGGGAAAATGGGAGCTGGACTGTTGCAGTGGGGGAGACACCCCGGTCCCCCGTCCCACAGGGGTAGCGGGTCCCAGCTCTTTAAAGGACTGGGTCGTGCCCACGGGATGTGGCTCCCACCGGAAATCGGAGGTCAGTGCTAGGAACCTCTCGGGCTCCCATCCCTGAAGAGACCTGTCCGGCCCTCGCAGATGGCGGGGGCCGGACAGGTCTCCTCAGGGAACCGCCATCTGCGATTCTTCATTGGCAAGTGTCTCCCCCAAAGGACGCCCAGGGAACACGGAGAGGGAGGCTCAGGGGTCACTCAGAGCGCCCTGCAGGCACAGAGAAGGGAGCGCTGCCCTGGAGCGGCCCCCGCCCGCCCCGCCTCCCGCCCGGCCTTTCGTTCCAGGCTTAAAGTGCCAGAGTCCTACCTGACGGCCCTCTGTGTTCCTCTGAAAAGCATTCCCTTTTGATCTGTGTGTGCAAAGCGTTTACCCTGGTGGCTCTCGCCCTGGCCCGTGTGGCCCGGGTGGCTAGAGCATCCTGTGCAGAGAAGGGTTGCGGGTCCATCCCTGGTTGGGGTGTGGACAGGAGACAACCCTTGCTACTCCCTCACATCCATGTTTCTCTCCCTCTTCGTCTCCCTCTCTCTTTCGTCTCTAGAATCCAAGAAAAACATCTCATATCCTCGGGGGGATTAAAAAAAAAAATATATATATATATATATATATATATATATATATTAAATATATTTTATTTATTTTGTACAGAGAGGAAGGGAGAAAGATGGAGAGTTAGAAACATCGATGAGAGAGAGTCATTGATCAGCTGCCTCTTGCACACCCCCTACTGGGGTTGTGCCCGCAACCAAGGTACATGCCCTTGACCGGAATCGAACCCGGGACCCTTCAGTCCCCAAGCCGACTCTCTATCCATTGAGCCAAACCAGTCTCGGCTAAAAAATATATTTCCTAAGAGAACACCTACCCAAACTACGTGGTTTCTTTATTTTTAATTTCCCCCCAATATATTTTATTGATTTGAGAGAGGAGGGAGAGAGAGAGAGAGACATCAACGATGAGAGAGAAGCATTGATCGAGAGAAGCATTGATCGGCAGCCTCCTGCACAACCCCCACCGGGCATGTGCCCTAGACCAGAATCGAAGCCTGGACCCTTCAGTCCACAAGCTGACACTCTACCGACTGAGCCAAACCGGTCAGGGCAAATGTGGGATCTGTGGGGGGACGTCAGGCCTACCACATGTGGCGCCTGTTCCCCACCAGGGGGGCAGGGAGTGGCTGAGGTTTGTCGGTGGGTCCCCAGCATCGCCCAGCGCAGGGCCAGCTCAGCAGGAAACTGTTAACGGAGGGCGTGTGAGTCACGTCCCTAATGGCTGCCACAGCAAGAAGCTCACGGCTCGCCCTCGGCTCCGCTGCTCCCCTGGACACCCTCCTCCCCCCGTCCTGGCTCCCCACCTGCTCCCCCAGCCTGGCTTCTCTCTCAGGCCTCGTTCCTTCAGCCAACACGGCCTTTTCTCTGCCCAGAACACCCTAGGGCCGTGGTCGGCAAACTGCGGCTCCAGAGCCACATGCAGCTCTTTGGCCCCTTTTGACCATGGCCTGGGTGAGTCTATTTTGAAGACGTGGCGTTAGAAGAAGGTTACGTTTAAGAAATGTGGCTCTCCAAAGAGAATTCAATCCCTGTCCTCTTGATGTTTGGCTCTGCAGACTAATGAGTTTACAGACCACGGCCCGAGGGCTTTCCCACCTCTGAGCCCTCGCTCATGCTGTTCCCTCTGCCGCTGTTCCCCACGCCATCTCCACTGGCCTGACCGCTAGCTGCCTGAGGGAGGACACAGAAAGCCTGGTGTCCCAGGCCCCGGCCCGGGAAATATGCGTGTCCATTGGCTCTTTCTGGAATTCCTGGCTGTGCAGGGTCTGGGGCAGGGCCTTCGCCTCTCACCGAGACTCCTCCTCCCCTCCACCCCCGACCACGACCCCACCCTACCCACCAGGCCTCTGGAGGGGATTGCCAGCAAGTCCTGGAATGTGCTGCACCCGCTCACGTGAGACTGTGTCCAAGCTCAGACGAGGTACCTCCTAGCATCAACCTTTTGCTTATTTTTAAAAAAAATATTTTATGATTCCATTTCAATATTTCCGATTTATTTATTTTTAAAAATATTTTTATTGATTTTTTTTTTTTTTTACAGAGAGGGATAGAGAGTCAGAAACACCAATGAGAGAGAGACATCGATTAGCTGCCTCTTGCATACCCCCCACTGAGGATGTGCCCACAACCAAGGTACATGCCCTTGACCGGAATCGAACCTGGAACCTTGCAGTCCACAGGCTGACGCTCTATCCACTGAGCCACGCCGATGGTTTCAGCCCTTCTGCTTGTTTCTAAAAGAGAGCAAGGGGCTCCGAGCAGGCATCTTCCTTGGACTCTAGTCCACAGCGCGGCCGGCTGAGGCCAGCAGCCCCACGGGGGGGTGTTCTCGGACCCTTCGCCTCTGAGTCCTGAGGCCTGTGCCCTCTGTCAGTCCCCGGCCTCTCACCCTGGGTCCCAGACACGCTGTCCCTCGAATAATCCCGTGGTCTGCCTCCCAGGGAGAGAAGGCGCCGGCTGCTGAGCGAGGGATTCCGGCCTCGGGTCAGTGGTTATTTAATTACGAAGTAAACCAGACAGGGCGGGCGAGGCTCAGTGTGTGGGCTCTGGACCTCACGGGCTGGGTTTCAATCCAGACCCTCCCGTTTGTTTATGTATGTCATTGGGCAAGATCCTTTTTAAAAATATATCTTTTTTAGCCAAAACTAGTTTGGCTCAGTGGATACAGCATCGGACTGTGGACTGAAAGGTCCCAGGTTCAATTCCGGTCAAGGGCATGTACCTTGGTTGTGGGCACATGCCCAGTAGGGGGCGTGCAGGAGGCAGCTGGTCGATGTTTCTCTCTCATCAATGTTTCTAGCTCTCTCTCTCCTCTCCCGGGCGCGCACGTAGGGTGCGATTGAAACTTCGTGGCCCATGCGCAGAAGTCGGTTTTCGGCTCTCAAAAGGAATTTCAGTCGTTGTCCTGTTGATATTTGGCTCTGTGGACTCATGAGTTTGCTGACCACTGCTCTATCCCTCTCCCTTCCTCTCTCTCTAAATGTGGGTCGCGGCTACAGTGTTTGGACAGGTCCAAGCCTCGGACTGAGGAGAGGGCACAGTCCTCGTGGCCACGGGCGAGTCCCAGCGAGGACGGCAGGGCCCTCAGCACAACGACTGGGCTGCCAGCATGAGCCTTCCAGCCCCCTCTCAGAGCCTGGCTGAGCCTGCCATAGCCTTGCCGGCTCCCCACATCTAAAAATCAATTTAAAATATTTAAAATTATGCCGAAACCGGTTTGGCTCAGTGGATAGAGCGTCGGCTTGGGGACTAAAGGGTCCCTGGTTCGATTCTGGTCAAGGGTATGTATCTTGGTTGCAGGCATATCCCCAGTAGGGGGTGTGCCAGAGGCAGCTGATCGATGACTCTCTCATTGATCTTTCTAACTCTCTATCCCTCTCCCTTCCTCTCTGCACAAAATCAATAAAATATATTTTTAAATTTTTTTTTTAAATTCTGCCAAAACCGGTTTGGCTCAGTGGATAGAGCCTCAGCCTGCGGACTGAAAGGTCCCGGGTTTGATTCCGGTCAAGGGCATGTGCCTTGGTTGCGGGCACATCCCCAGTAGGGGGCGTGCAGGAGGCAGCCAATCGATGTTTCTCTCTCATTGATCTTTCTAACTCTCTATCCCTCTCCCTTCCTCTCTGTAAAAAAATCAATAAAAATATATTTTAAAAAATATATTTTAAATTATTTTTTTCCTCTTCCCTTCCTCAACCCCACAGGATTGATATTGTGTGCTCAGTGCAATTCATTCATATTTTTAAATTATGTTTTATTGATTTTTTTTTTTTTTTTACAGAGAGAAAGGGAGAGGGAGAGAGAGTTAGAAACATCGATGAGAGAGAAATATCGATCAGCTGCCTCCTGCACACCCCCTACTGGGGATGTGCCTGCAACCAAGGTCCATGCCCTTGACCTGAATCAAATGTGACTCTTGAGTCCACAGGCCAACTCTCCGTCCACTGAGCCAAACCGGCCAGGACCCATTCCTATTTTTATTCAGCGGTTTGTGTGAGCTTGGAACCTGTGAGTCCCCGTGGGAAACTCAGGTCTTAATTAAATGTCTACAAGGGAAGGGGAAGGGATTAATTCTCTGGGGGTGACGTTGGCAGGCTCTTTGCCAATTGACTTAGAGGATAATCATTTGTTATAGTTCACCTGCTAGACCCCGCCCCCCCAGAGCTGTTAATCCTCTTAGCTCTCTATTGTGAGCTGTTTTTCAAAACAGGAAAGCGAGACTCAGGCCCAGCTGTGGAGGCTCAGTGGATGGAGCATCGTCCCATGGAGGTCCCGGGTTCGATTCCCAGTCAGGCACATGCCCGAGTTCTGGGCTCCATCCCTAGTAGGGGGCGTGCAGGAGGCAGCCGATCCATGATTCTCTCTCATTGTTGATGTTTCTATCTCTCTCTCCCTCTCCCTTCCTCTCTGAAATCAATAAAAAATATATTTTTGTAAAAAAGGAAAGAAAAGAGAGACCCAGAAAGGGAAACCCCTCTGCAAAGCAGCAGAGCCAGGAAGTGGCGAGGAGGGTTTGGGGACATGCCCGCCTGGCTCGGGTTCAGAGGCACTGCAGCCCGGCTTCTGAAACCGTGGTCTTGGGAGGCAGCTGGTTTGCAGGTCTTCGTATCTTGGCTGAACAAAATGACCGAGGCACTCTGAGTCTGCTTCTCTCTGTAAATGGGGGGCTACAGAAGCTAGTGCGCAGGTCCATGGTAAAAAATTAGGGATGAGGAAAGTAAACAGGGGCTCTGGACTACAGCATGTGCTCTATAAATATTAGTAATTATTATTATCTTTGCTATTACTGTCCTCTCTGTGTGTGTTTTTAAAAAAATATATTTTATTGATTTTGTACAGAGAGGAAGGAAGAGAGATAGTTAGAAACATCGATGAGAGAGAGTCATCGATCAGCTGCCTCTTGCACACCCCCTACCGGGGATATGCCCGCAACCAAGGTACATGCCCTTGACCGGAATCGAACCCGGGACCCTTCAGTCCCCAAGCCGACGCTCTATCCATTGAGCCAAACCGGTCCCCCTCTGTGTGTTTTTTAAAAATATATTTTATTGCCGAAACCGGTTTGGCTCAGTGGTAGAGCGTCAGTCTGCGGACTGAAAGGTCCCAGGTTCGATTCCGGTCAAGGGCATGTATGTTGGTTGCGGGCACATCCCCGGTAGGGGGTGTGCAAGAGGCAGCTGGTCTATGTTTCTCTCTCATCGGTGTTTCTAGCTCTCTATCTCTCTCTCTTCCTCTCTGTAAAAAAGAAATAAAATATATTTAAAATATATATATATTTTATTGATTTTAGAGAGGAAGGGAGAAGGAGAGAGGAATAGAAACATCAATGATGAGAGAGAACCATTGATTAGCTGCCTTCTGCACGCCCACTACCAGGGATGGAGCCCACATGTGCCCTCGCCTGGAATCAAACCTGGGACCCCTCAGTCCTCAGGCCGATGCTCTATCCATTGAGCCAAACCAACCAGGGCTCTGTGTGTTTTTTTTAAAGAATCTTTTTTCATTTCATTTATTTCATTTCGTTTCATTTATTTATCTTCACTTAAGGATATTTCTTTTATTGATTTTTAGAGAGTGGAAGGTAGAGAGAGAGAGAGAGAGAGAGAGAGAGAGACATCAATGTGAGAGAGAGACATGGACTGGTTGCCTCCTGCACGCGCCTGACCGGGGTCCGGATGGAGCCTGCACCCAAGGTACCTGCCCTTCACCTGAATGGGACCCTTCAGACTGCGGGCTGAGGTTCTATCCACTGAGCCACACCGGCTAGAGCTGTCCTCTCTCTCTCTGGACAATGCCTAAGGGTGCGCGACTTTCTCAGCAAAAGAGGAAGAGGGTAGGGATCAGGAAAGGAAACGCCCCAAGGATAAGGTGACCAGACGTCCTGACCGCTTTTGGCGGGACAGTCCCGATTCTGAACAATTTGTCCCGCGTCCCGCGGCGTTTTAAAAAGTCCCGATTTTTTTGGAAAGAATCTTTTAAAAAAAGAATCGGGACTTTTTAAAAACGCCGCGGGACGCGGGACAAATTGCTCAGAAGCGGGACGTCTGGTCACCTTACCCAAGGACCAAACTGACAAGAAAAGCCCTCTGCACTGCCCTGCGGTTACAGTCCAGAGGCGGCCGCGAGGCGTCTCTGGTCCCACCCCCAAGGCGGAGCCAACGGTACGCTCTTCCAATGGGGACGCTAGGATTAAACGCCCTTTTGGCATTGGGCGGGACGCGCAGGCTGGGTGGCCAATGAGAAGCGGCGTAGGGCCAATGGGGGCGGAGAAAGGGGTCACGCCCCCGGTGGGCGCGGCGTCGGGGCCTAATTCATTCCGGCGGGGGGAGCGGCGGGTGTGGGGACCGCGGACTCGGCGGCGATGGCGCTTCGCTGGGGCATCGTGTCCGCCGGCCTGATCTCCAGCGACTTCACGGCGGTGCTGCGGCTGCTGCCTCGCTCCGAGCACCAGGTGCGGCGCCCCCCACCCCCACCCCCGGGGTCCTGGGGCCGGGCCTCCTGGGTCCGAGGGACTTAGGGTCCGGACTTCCGAGTCCTCAAGGCGGTGAAACAACTGATCCCCTCCCCTCTCCTCTCCGCTGCTGTCATAAACGCGGCTCCGGCCCCAGCCGGCTTGGCTCAGTGGATAGAGCGTCGGCCTGCGGACCGAAGGGTCCCGGGTTCGATTCCGGGTTGTGGGCTCCATCCCCAGTGGGGGGCGTGCAGGAGGCAGCTGATCAATGATTCTCTCTGATCATTGATGTTTTCTATCTCTCCTTCCTTCCTCTCTGAAATCAATCAATATATATATATATATATATATATATATATATATATATATTTTTTTTTTTTTTTTTTTTTTTAAATACACGCGAGCCGAAACCGGTTTGGCTCAGCGGTAGAGCGTCCGTCTGAGGACTGAAGGGTCCCGGGTTCCATTCCGGTCAGGGGCATGTACATTGGTTGCGGGCACATCCCCGGTGGGGGGTATGCAGCAGGCAGCTGATCGATGTTTCTCTATCATCGACGTTTCTAACTCTCTATCTTTCTCCCTTCCTCTCTGTAAAACATCAATAAAAAATATTTTTATAAAATATATTTAAAAAATAAAAATAAAAAATACACGCGAGCTCCGGGAGGCTTGGGGGCGGGGTCCAATGAAGAGAAGGCATTTTGGGGGCTTGACCATCGCTTGCCCCATCGCTCTACCAGGACCCCAGTGTCCAGCCTCCAGTCACCCCTCCCCCCAGGACCAAAGCCCCCTTCCCGTCTTGGGGGTGGAGTTTCCGGTTCCCTGGGGCCCCTCCATCACCTCCCTCCTCCATCACCTCCCTCCTCCACCGCCTCCCTCCTCCACCGCCTCCCTCCTCCTTCCTCCACCGCCTCCCTCCTCCACTGCCTCCACCGCCTCCCTCCTCCACTGCCTCCATCGCCTCCCTCCTCCACCGCCTCCCTCCTCCTTCCTCCACCACCTCCCTCCTCCACCGCCTCCCTCCTCCATCACTCCCTCCTCCATCACCTCCCGCCCGTGTCTCAGGTGGTGGCCGTGGCGGCCCGCGACCTGAGCCGCGCCAAGGAGTTTGCACGGAAGCACGACATCCCCAAGGCCTACGGGTCCTACGAGGAGCTGGCCAAGGACCAGGACGTGGGTGAGTGACCTGCGCCCGGGGTGGGGGTGGGGGTGGAGGTGGGCGGAGGGAGGTGTGCTGGAGCTCCGCAGCCGCTGCAAGGCCCGAGGGACCGCCCGGCCCTTTTGCCTTGGGAAGGGACCTGGGCTGGGAGGCGGGGTTTGGTCTGGGTTGGCCTTCTAGGATGGATTGTGCATAGGAACCAGGCCTCCACCTCGAAAGCGAGTCTTGAATTTCTTTTCTTTTTTAAAAAAATATATTGTATTGATGTTTTACAGAGGTTGGGGGGAGGGATAGAGAGTTAGAAACATCGATGAGAGAGAAACAGCGATCAGCTGCCTTCTGCACACCTCCCGCTGGGGATGTGCCCGCAACCAAGGCACATGCCCTTGACCGGAATCGAACCCGGGACCTTTCAGTCCACAGGCCGATGCTCCATCCACTGAGCCACACTGGTTAGGGCGGGTCTTGAATGTCTTAAGAGAGCCAGTTCAGGCTCCGCCATGTCCCGTGGCCGTGGCTCTGTGTTCCCGCCGGACCCGGAACAGACTGTGTGGCTGGACAAGAGCCTGGCCCTGGGGTCAGCTGCCTGGTTTTCCTCCTCTGCTGGCCCCTCTCCGTTTCCTTATTTTTATTTTATTATTTTTAAATATATATTTTTATCGATTTCAGAGAGAAAGGGAGAGGAAGAGAGAGGAACATCAATGATGAGAGAGAATCACTGACTGGCTGCCTCCTGCACGCTCCCTGCTGAGAATGGAGCTGGCACTGGGGCGTGTGTCCTTGGCTGGGAACGTAGCTTGTCTTCCTGGTTCATATGTGACCCCCCACCACTGAGCCACACCGAGGGCTCCGTTTCCTTATTTATTTTTTTTAAATTATATTTTATTGATTTTGTACAGAGAGTAAGGGAGAGAGATAGTTAGAAACATCAATGAGAGAGAGTCATCGATCAGCTGCCTCCTGCACACCCCCTACTGGGGATATGCTCGCAACCAAGGTACATGCCCTTGACCGGAATCGAACCCGGGTCCCTTCAGTCTCCAAGCCAACGCTCTATCCACTGAGCCAAACCGGTTTCGGCCTTATTTTAAAAACAGACAAAATGGCCTGGCCGGCGTGGCTCGATGGTTGAGCATCGACCTTAAGAACTAGGACGTCAGGGTTCAGGTGGGCTCAGACACCCAGCAGGGCGTGCAGGAGGCAGCGGGTCAGTGATTGTCTCATCATTGCTATTTCTATCTCTCTCTCCCCCTCCCTTCCCCTCTGAAATTATTAAAAATATGTGTAAAGCCCTGACTGGTGTGGCTCACTGGATAGAGTGTCAGCCTGTGGACTGAAGGGTCCCGGGTTCCATTCCGGTCAGGGGCAGGTGCGTTGGTTGCGGGCACATTCCCAGGAGGAGGTGTGCAGGAGGCAGCTGCTCGATGTTTCTCTCTCATCGATGATTCTAACTCTCTCTCCCTCTCCCTTTCTCTCTGTAAAAGATCAATAAAATATATATTTTTTGGGAAAAATATATATATATATTTTTTAAAATAACAGCAACTACAATGGGCAGAATGATAGCATCTTCCGGTTGGTGTTGGCAGATAGGTGATGTCACGTCACCACAGGGGCCTGCAGTGACCTGAGAGGAGGGGAGGTGCCCAGGGGCTGCCTCCTTCCTCCAGGGAGACTAGGGTTTGGCCGAGGCGGGAGGACCTGGTCCCAGGTTGGGGGGGACCCCGATTCCTTGGATGCTGGAGGCGAGCCTTGGGGGCTGGTGGGGCGTCCGGCCTCTGACGCCCTCCCTCTCGCCCAGAGGTGGCCTACGTGGGCACCCAGCACCCGCAGCACAAGGCCGCCGTGCTGCTGTGCCTGCGGGCGGGCAAAGCCGTGCTGTGCGAGAAGCCGCTGGGCGTCACCGCCGCCGAAGTGCGGGAGATGGCGGCGGAGGCCCGCGCCCAGGGCCTCTTCCTCATGGAGGTGAGCGGAGCCGCCTCACACGTCCCTCACCGCGACCTGCCTCCCGGCCGCGGCCCCGGGGACACTGGGGGGGACACCTGGGGGGGACACCTGGGGGGGAGGGTCATCACCAGTGAAGATGGCCTGGCCCGTGTGGCTCAGTGGTGAGCGTGGACCTATGACCCAGGAGGTCCCGGTTTGATTCCTGGTTCAGGGCCCATGACTGGGCTGCAGGCTTGATTCCTGGTATGGGGTGTGCAGGAGGCAGCTGATCCATGATTCCCTCTCTTCGTTGATGTTTCTCTCTCTCTCTCTCTCCCACTCCTCCCTTCCTCTCTGAAGTCGATAAAAACATATTTCAGGCCACACCGTTCACGGGCGGGAGACGTGGCTTTGGGCCCTGAGCCCCCGGGGTGCCTGAGGGGCCCTCTGTCAGCCGCTCGGGAAGTGATGCCAGCAGCGAAGGGCACAGAGTGGCCGTGGGCTCCGTTGGGGTGGGTTTCCGGGGACGGAAGGGACCGAGGAACAGACAGCCCTCAGCCACAGGCATTCTGTGTGTGTGTGTGTGTGTGTGTGTGTGTGTGTGTGTGTGTGTGTAATAATTTTATTGACTTTTTACAGAGAGGAAGGGAGAGGGATAGAGAGTCAGAAACATCGATGAGAGAGAAACATCCATCAGCTGCCTCCTGCACACCCAGTACTGGGGATGTGCCCGCAACCAAGTTACGTGCCCTTGACCGGAATCGAACCCGGGACCTTTTAGTCCTCAGGCCGAAGCTCTATCCACTGAGCCAAACCGATTTCGGCTGTGTGTGTGTGTGTGTGTGTGTGTGTGTGTTTTAATATAGCTTTATTGATTTCAGAAAAGGAGAGAGAGATAGAAACATCAATGATGAGAATCATTGATCGCTGTCTCCTGCACGCCCCCTACTGGGGATCAAGCCCGCAACCCAGGCAGGTGCCCTTGACCAGAATTGAACCCAGGACCCTTCAGTCCGCAGGCCGACGCTCTATCCACGGAGCCGAAACAGCGAGGGTGGCATTCTTTGTGCTTGCCCTTATCAGACTTGGACATGCGCAGGGGACTTTGACGTCTTGCAGATTGCTAGTAATCCAAGTGGCTGCCGAGGGCAGTGAGAACCGGTGGGGTTAACATGGCCCCCACCTGGTCCCTGGAAGCTATTTTAGTGTTAAGGAATATGGAGGTTTTTTTATTTTTATTTATTTATTTTTTAAAATATATTTTATTGATTTTTTACAGAGAGGAAAGGAGAGGGACAGAGAGTTAGAAACATCGATGAGAGAGAATCATCGATCAGCCGCCTCCCGCACACCCCCCACCGGGGATGTGCCCACAATCCAGGCACATGCCCCTGACTGGAATCGAACCCGGGACCCTTCAGTCCGCAGACGGATACTCTATCCACTAAGCCAAACCGGTTTCGGCTATGGAGGTTGTTTTTTTTTCATTTATTATGTTTTAAAATATATTTTTTTATTGATTTCAGAGAAGGGAGAGGGCACGAGAGATAGAAACATCAACAATGAGAGAATCCTTGATCAGTTGCTTCCTGCACGCCCCACACTGAGGATGGAGCCAGCAACCCGGGCCTGTGCCCTGACCAGGAATGGAAGTGTGACCTTCTGGAAGGTTCATAGGTTGACACCCAACCACTGAGCCACACCGGCCAGGCTGTTATGGCTTTCAGACCTTGCAGGTTCTGGCAGCAGTAGCAGCAGCTGCCTCTTACTTCCCCGTGTCCTACGCAGCTGTCATACGCCTGCTGTTCCGGAGCCTCCAGCCTGTAAAACCCCATACGCCCAACAAGCACTTTATGACTCGGTGCCTCTGGTTCTCCCTGAGCCTGCCAGCGCCAACGTTCTGTGAGTTTATTGCTTCCGCATTTTTTTATTGGCCCCTAACGTGTGCCACCTCCAACCCCTGGGCACTCAGAATGTGTAAGACGAAGGCTCGGTTTTCAAGTTCAAGGTCACGGTGCTCAGCTGCGTGGACTTTGGTGGACCTAGTACTGGGTGCGCAGTCAACAGAGCCCCGCCTGGGGGTTGGTCAAGGTTTCCTACCGGTAGGGACTGACCTGAGCCTTAAAGAAACAGTAAGCAGAAACCGGTTTGGCTCAGTGGATAGAGCGTTGGTCTGCAGACTGAAAGGTCCCAGGTTCAATTCCGGTCAAGGGCATGTACATAGGTTGCGGACACCCTCAATAGGGGGTGTGCAAGAGGCAGCTGGTCGATGTTTCTCATCAATGTTTCTAACTCTCTATCCCTCTGCCTCCCTCTCTGTAAAATTAATAAAATATATTTTTTAAAAAAAAATAATAAAAGAAACAGCTGAGATCGGTTTGGCTCAGTGGATAGAGCGTCGGCTTGGGGTCTGAAGGGTCCCGGGTTCGATTCCAGTCAGGGGCATGTGCCTTGGTTGCGGGCATATCTCCGGTAGGGGGTGTGCAAGAGGCAGCTGATCGATGACTCTCTCTCATCGATGTTTCTAACTATCTCTCTTCCTTCCTCTCTGTACAAAATCAATAAAATATATTTTAAAAAATAATAATAATAAATAAAAAAATAAAAGGAACAGTAAATTGCACAGGTAAATAGGCCAGACGGGGAAAGCAGAAGCAAGATTTAAAGAAAACCAGCATGGGCAGATTTCGTGTATTTAGTATGAACTTGATCCTGGATTAGTCACGATTGCTGGCTTTCGAGTGAGAGGATCCTAGGCTCCCGTCTCCCAGTTCCTAGCTCTGTGACCTTGGGCGAGTAATACGACTCAGCTCAGCTTCAGCTTTCTCACGTGTGGAACGGACATGAGGACAGCCACCTGGCAGGCGTGTAGGGAGCATTCGTTATGTAAAAGCTGGACACAGACAGTGTCTTGTCCAGAACACACACACACACACACACACACACACACACACAGCCAACAAACGGGAGCTGATATTAGGCGATGGGGAACCACGGGAGGGAGCAGAGGAGGGGTGAGACTGGATCAGCTCCAGGAGAAGCTAAGACCCCTCTGGGGCCACGTGGGACCCGGACTGGAGGGGAGAGGCGGGGAGTAAAGTTCGCCAGAACGAATGCCAGACGGGGGCGGCTTACACTGCAGAGATATATCCTCTCACACATCTGGAGGCTGGAAGTTTGAGATAAAGGTGTCAGCAGGGCTGGTTTCTCCTGAGGCCTCTCTCCTCTGCTTGGAGATGGCCATCTTCTCCCTTTGTCTTCACACGGTCTTGCCTCTGTGCATGTGTGTGTCCTCATCTCTCTTTTTTTAAATATATTTTTATTGATTTCAGAGAGGGAGAGAGAGAGAGAGAGAGAGCGAGCGCGAGAGGGAGAGAGAGAGAAACATCAATGATGAGAGACAATCATTGATCAGCTGCCTTCTGCATGCCCCCTGTTGGGGATCGAGTCCACAAGGGCATGTGCCCTTGACTGGAATCGAACCTGGGACCCTTCAGTCCCCAGACCCAAGCTCCATCCACTGAGCCAAACCGGCGAGGGCCTCATCTCTTCTTAATAAGGACACAAGTCCTACTGGATTTGGGCCAACCCTAAAGAACTCATTGTAGCTTAATTGATGCTTTATAATTACCTCTTTAAAAACCCTGTCACCGAATACACTCATATTGGGAGGTACTGGATTTGGTGGGGACAGAATTCAGCCCATAACATTGGGAGACTGGGGTAATGATACGGAAAAGAAAGGACAAGGCTGGCGTTGGGGACATGGGTGTCAAGAGCAGGGGAGAAGGTAGAGTCGGGCAGGACACACTTGGGGACTGATGGGCTGTGGAGGGAAGGGGGAGTGTATAGTTTAGAGACTGAACCCCATGGGGGGGGGAAAGGAGGTATATGTGATACTTTAAACAATAAAGAATCTACACTAATAAAAGATTAATATGCAAATTGACCATACCTTCCCAATCCCCACCTGCCAATGAGGAGTGAGTATGCAAATTAACCAAGAAAGATGGTGGGTTGATTTACATATGCAGGCCCTGACACATATGTGGTGACGACGCAGGCCTTCCACACTGCTCCAGCTGCTGGGGGCCTCTGGGCAGCATGGGAAGGCGGAAAGGCAGCTCCAGGGGAAGGAAGGCCCATTCTTGCACAAATCTTCGTGCATTGGGCCTTTAGTTTAAATAATAATAATAATAATAAAAATAATAAAGATTGAACCGCAGAAGGGAGAACTGCTTGGTTAACTTCTGACCCCTTTCCTTCCCTTTCCCATCCTGCTTTCTTCCCTCTGTGGGCTTCAGGCCATCTGGACCCGCTTCTTTCCTGCCGTCGAGGCTCTGAGGGCTACTCTGGCCCAGGGAACCCTGGGGGACCTTCGCGTGGCTCGGGCAGAATTTGGGATAAACCTCACTCATGTACCACGGGCCGTAGACTGGGCCCAGGCTGGCGGTGGCCTGCTGGACATCGGTATCTACTGCATCCAGTTCATCTCCATGGTCTTCGGGGGGCAGAAGCCGGAGAAGATTTCCGCCATGGGAAGGCACTATGAAACAGGTACGGTCTATTCTGAACTGTATGATGGTGATAAGAGTGATCCTCTCTTACTGGGTGCACTGACCTGGGAATAAGTCTCCTAGCCCATGAGAATCAGGCGAGCCTGCTGAAGAAATTTCCTGTAAGGAGTTAAAGAGGATCAAGTATGGTCAGGCTCTGTGTTAGTATTTTGCTGTGTGATCTTAGTCAAGGCACTCAGTCTCTCTGAGTCTTAATAGTTATTGAACCACATCCAGCACATCCAGTGATGAACCTGAGGGGGCCAGTGAAGGATTAAAGAAAACAGACAAGAGAATATATTATAGCTGGGGTCACGTGGATCACTGCGCCTGGATGAGGAAACAGTGACACAGCCTGTAAGCGGAGTCTTTATTTCATAGTCAGAGCAAAACAAGGGAGTGGTCAGGATGTTTTTGATGTTCTTGAGTTTCAGTCTCCTTAGTTATAAGCACCTGAGAACTCTATCAAGCTTTGTTTTGACGGCACTTGCTGCACCTCCCACAACCCACATCCCTCAGCAACCTAGGATCACAGAGTCGGACCGTAAGGTCAAGCTTACAACCTTAGCCTTTGGCTATATTTGTGCTGGGAGGTTTTGCCCTCCAAGCTGGGACTTGTATGTGGCTTTACCACCAGAGGACCGTGCCCTCTCATCAGTCCAAGACTTGAACCTATCCAAAGGCTGTAGCCACTCTCCACAACTTACTGGTAAAATGTCAATAATAGGGTTGTTATGAAAAGTTAATAAAGTCACTGTTGAGGCAAATTAAGCAGTTAATGAATATAAAGGATTATTACTTTTTTAAAAATAAAATATATTTTATTGATTTTTTTTACAGAGAGGAAGGGAGAGAGATAGAGAACTAGAAACATCAATGAGAGAGAAACATCGATCAGCTGCCTCCTGCACACCCTCTACAGGGGATGTGCCCCCAAGCAAGGTACATGCCCTTGACTGGAATCGAACCTGGGACCTTCCAGTCCGCAGACCGACGCTCTACCACTGAGCCAAACCGGTTTCGGCAAGGATTATTACTTTTAAAGTTGTCTCAGTTAGCCTTTGCTGCAAAACAAACTACCCCAAAATGTGGTGCCTCAGATAACAATCACTTATTCACTTGTGATTTGTGGGTTGGCCGTTTGGGCTGGGCTCAGCTGGAGCAGTTCTTCTGCTGGCCTTACGCAGTGCCCATCAGCCAGCTGTGCCACTGGAGCTGGAGGGTCTAGGTGGCCTCTTCAGCTGGCCAGCTCGGGTGCATTCACATCTCAGAGTTCTGGCTGCAGCAAAAGGAGGGCAGGCCCCAATGTGTTTGCTAACTGTTCCCTGGCCCAAAGCCAGCTCAGATGTCAGAGGTGGCCAAATAGTCTCCAACTCTGGATGGCAGGAGCTACAAAGCCATATCCCAAAGGGGCCCCGCATTGGGGAATAAGAGGTTTACTGAGGCCGTCTTTGCAAATAGTACCACAGAAGGCAACAAATAACCAGGAAAAGAATACCTGGAGTGGAGACCACATTTTTGTTGTGGTTGTTGTTAATCCTCACCCGAGGATATTTTCCCATTGATTTTTAGAGAGAGTGGAAGGAAGGAGGAGAGACAGAGAGAAAGAGAGAGAGAGAGAGAGAAAGAGAGAGAGAGAGAGAAAGAGAGAGAGAGAGAGAGAGAAGCATCAATGTGAGAGCGACACATTGATTAGTTGCCTTCCAGGGCCAGAGATCAAGCCTGCAACCAAGATTGACTGGAATCAAGCCTTCTGTGTGCGGGCCAACTCTCTATCCATTGAGCCAAACCAGCTAGGACTGAAGGCCACATTTTAGAAAGCCGTCTCAGTCTACCATCTGACCAATTTCTAGGCTAAATATAGATCTAACAACAGATCCCACTTATTTTTTTTAAATATATATTTTATTGATTTTTTACAGAGATGAAGGGAGAGGGATAGAGAGTCAGAAACATCGATCAGCTGCCTCCTGCACACCCCCTACTGGGGACGTGCCCACAACCAAGGTACATGCCCTTGACCAGAATCGAACCTGGGACCCCTCAATCCACAGGCCGATGCTCTATCCACTGAGCCACACCGGTTTAGGCAGATCACACTTATTAAGTGCTTCCTCTACAACAGGGTTTTATTATAGGTACTAGGGGCCTGGTGCTTAAAATTCGTGCACCAGTAGGGTCTGTAGGCTTGGCCGGTGATCAGGGCCAATCGGGGCCTTCCAGCTGCTGGCCCTGGCCTTCCTTCCTTCCACACCATCCCGATGGTCAGCACACGTCATAGCGAGTGGTCCAACTCCCAGTGGGTTGAACACCCAAGGGGAAAATTTTCATATTAGTCTTTTATTATATAGGATGGTCTCCCTGAGGTAACTATATTACTGTTGTCCCCATTTTACAGATGAGCAAACTGAGGTTCAGAGACAGGAAGTGATTTGTCTAGGCTCACACAGCAGATCCAGGATTAGAACGTGGGCTTGTCTGGGACCAGAGAGAACTGGTTCAGTAGGTTCTTCCAGCCACTGCATGTCCAGTGTGTCCCAGAACCAGGCTGGTACTTGACTGCACTTAATTTTTTTTTTTGACGCATTTAAAAAAGCGTTTTTATTTATTTTAGAGAGAGAGAGGAAGGGAGAGGGAGAGAAACACTGATCCGCTGCCTCTCCCATGCCCCCTGCTGGGGGAGAGCCCACAACCCATGCATGTGCCCTGACTGGGAATGGAACCTGCAACCTCTCGGTGAATGGGACAACACTCCACCAACTGAGCCAAGCTGGCTAGGGCTATTTAATTTTTAAAAAATATATTTTATTGATTTTTTACAGAGAGGAAGGGAGAGAGATAGAGAGCTAGAAACGTCGATGAGAGAGAAACATCGACCAGCTGCCTCCTGCACACCCCCCACCAGGGATGTGCCCGCAACCAAGGTACATGCCCTTGATCAGAATCGAACCTGGGACCTTTCAGTCCACAGACCGACACTCTATCCACTGAGCCAAACCGGTTTCGGTGGGCTATTTAATTTTTAACTAACGCTCACCTCTCTCTCATTCTGATCTAAATAGACGAAGTGCTTTATGCATTTTAATCCTTTAATGTAATGCTTATAGCAACTCTGTGAGGCAGGTTCTATTCTCATTTTAGAGATGAGGAAATGGATTCTCACACGCCCATACTGCAAGTATTTATGAGGAAGAAACTGAAGTTCACAGAGGCAAAGTCTCTTTTCTTTCTTTTTCTTTTTTTTTCTTTTTTTTTTTTTTTGCATTTATTTGTTTATGTCTTTTGGTAACAGCCTACTGAAATCATTCACATACCATACAGTTTATTCATTAAAAGTGTATCATTCCAGCCGAGCTGGTGTGGCTCAGTGGATGAGCATCAACCTAAAAACGTGGTCGGCAAACTGCGGCTCACGAGCCACAGGCGGCTCTTTGGCCCCTTGAGCGTGGCTCTTCCACAAAATACCACGGCCTGGGCCAGTCTATTTTGAAGAAGTGGCGTTAGAAGAAGTTTAAGTTTAAAAAATGCGGCTCTCAAAAGAAATTTCAATTGTTGTTCTGTGGATATTTGGCTCTGTGGACTGATGAGTTTGCCGACCACTGGTCTAGAAGCTCACGGTTCCATTCCTGGCCAAGGAACATGCCAAGATTGCATTCTATCTCTTTCCCCCTCTCCCTTCCTCTTTGAAATCGTGTGTGTGTGTGTGTGTGTGTGTGTGTGTGTGTGTAATTCCATGGCTTTAGTGTATTCACCAAGTTATATACTTACCATTATAACCAATTTTAGAATATTTTTATTACTAAAATAAAAAAAAATAAAAACACACACACACAAATTACCCAATTCTCCCAAACCGCTGAGCCCTAAGCGACCATGAATCTACTTTCTGGCTCTGTGGGGTTTGCCAAATGTTGGACATTTCACACCAATGGAGTCCTACCACATGTGGGCTTGCGGGTGTGGCCTCATTCCCCCACCAGGACTGTTTCCAGGGCTCCTCCCTGGGTCACACATGCCCGCGCTCCATCCTCTTTCGGCTGCTGCGTGAGAGACGGGGCCTCCCGCCCGAGCTGCACGGGCAGGGTTGCGCCAGGCTCGCCCCTGTGCTGTGCCTCTCCCCAGGTGTGGACGACACGGTGTCCGTGCTGCTGCAGTACCCAGGCGGGGTCCACGGCAGCTTCACCTGCAGCATCACGGCCCAGCTCCCCAACGCGGCCTACGTGAGCGGCACCGGGGGCTCGGCCCAGGTGAGGCGGGGCGGCCCTTCGCCCAGGACTGGCCACCCGTGGCTGCTGGGGCCGGCAGTGGGCTGGACCAGCCTATCCCCACCCTGGCTAAGAAATCCACCCTGCACCCCCAGCCCAGGCGATGGGACTGGACCTCGGGCTCCTTCCGGGGGTGGACCTGTGGGCCTGTTAGGAACCCTCAGTCCTGAGAAGGAACCAGCTCTTACCCTCAGCCCCGCTCAGAGGCCAGCGGTGACCTTTGGAACTGATCCAGGGCAGGATCCAGGGGTCGCCACAGAGCAGCTTCGTGGGCTGCCTCGGCCAAGTTGCTGGAAAGAAACCCCGTTCTTAGCAGAAGAGTTTGACCTGGTCCCAGCTGCATCTCTGCGGGTCCATGCTGGCCTAGAGCTGCGTATGGCCATGAGCGAGGCCCCCACGGCTCTGGGGTTATAAACCGTGTCCTGGGGGGTGAGAAGGTGCTGGATGGGGTCAAAGTGGAGATGGGACATAAGCATCTCCCGAGGCGCCAGCACCCCTTCAGAGCGGGAACTGGCCCTGGGCACAGGGACCTACTGGCTTCTAGGAGATGAGAAACAGACTCCCAGCAACCGGGTTTGGGGGCTCCAGCCTCCCTGAGGGTGGATCAGGGGCCGCCAGCCCTTCCCCACCAGGTGAGGGAGGGAGGCCCTGAGCACCACCAGGCGGGAGCCCCAGCAGCCAGGTTGGTGAGGGCAGAGGCCACCTGTCTTCTCCCCCCAGATCTCCGCCCCCTGCTGGTGTCCCACAGAACTGGTGGTGAAGGGGGAGCGTATGGAGTTCCCGCTGCCTCCCTCCCCCGACCAGGAGTTCAATTTTACCAACGGAGCGGGCATGATCTACGAGGCCAGGCACGTCCGGGAGTGCCTGCGCCAGGGTAAGGCTGTGGAGGGCATTGGGGTGGAGGGGTACAGGGTGGGAGGGCAAGCCTGGTGCGGGAGGAGGGACCCTCCCCACACCTAGGGACTCAGGCAGATGTTTAGAACTACGTCTCCCAGGTTCCCATGGGACATCATTTGCCTGAACCATGCATTAAGGTGGTGCCTCGTGGGATTCTGGGAATTGTAGTTCTTTCGGGTCTTTGGAGCGTGGGAAGGGGTTTTCTAACTGCACTCTCCCCCAGGCCTGAAGGAAAGTCCTGTGATGCCTCTGGCGGAAAGCGAGCTCCTGGCGGACATCCTGGAGGAGGTGAGGAAGGCTATTGGAGTCACCTTCCCCCAGGACAAGCGCTGATGTCAGCCCTCAGTAAATAAAGACATGGTTTCCACAGAGACACTGGTGGTGATGGTTTGGTGGGCCCAGGGAGAGCATTATGTTAAGCAAAATAAGTCAGGCAATGAAAGAAAAATACCACAGGAGCCGAAACAGGTTTGGCTCAGTGGATAGAGCGGGGGCCTGCGGACTGAAGGGTCCCAGGTTCAATTCCTGTGGGGGGGGTGCAGGAGGCAGCTGATCAATGTTTCTCTCATTGATGTTTCCAAACTCTATCCCTCTCCCTTCCTCTCTGTAAAAAAAAAAAAAAAAAAAAAATCAATAAAATATATTTTAATAAAATAAAATGTTTTTATTGATTTTGGAGACAGAGGAAGGGATAGAGGGAGAGATAGAGTGAGAGAGAATCATGGATGTGAGAAGAAAACATCAATCCATTGCCTCCGAAATGCGTCCGGACCAGGAATTAAGCCTGCAACCTGAGCATGTACCTTGACCGGGAATCGAACATGCTACCCTTTGGTGCTTAGGATGGTGCTCCAACCACCAGAGCCACAGTGGCCAGGGCTTAGTTTCCATCTTGTAATTGTGGCAGAGACGCTGGGTGCCCCTGAGTAGCCAATGACCTCTGACAGGAAAGCTACAGCGGAGACGTGGCCGCACAGCTCACGCCTGCATCTCCCTGGCTCCCTGGTCATGTGACACCAGCTTCTGGCCTTAAAAGCAAGGAGCGTGGCCTCCCTCTTAACCTCTCCCTGCCTCCGGCTGCAGTGGGGTGGGGAGTTGGCATTGGCTTGAGCCTCTTACCCTGTGCGATGGAAGCCCTGTGTTGTGGTTGGTGGAGCCAAAAGCTCGAAGGACATAAGAAAGCCATCCCTGTGGAGGTGGCCCTGCCCCAGGAGCTGCTGTTAAATTGGCAACTGGAGACCCAGGAGAGCTGTTTAGTTCAAGTCCAAGTCCGAAGGCCTGAATACCAAATCAGGAGAGCTGGTAGTATAGGTCTTTATCTTTCTTTCTTTCTTTCTTGCTGGTAGTATAGTTCTTTATCTTTCCTTCCTTCCTTCCTTCCTTCCTTCCTTCCTTCCTTCCTTCCTTCCTTCCTTCCTTCCTTCCTTCCTTCCTTCCTTCCTTCCTTCTTTCCTTCCTCTCTCTCTCTCTCTCTCTCTCTCTCTTTCTCTCTTCTTTTTAATTGATGTCAGAGAGGAAAGGAGAGAGAGATAGAAACATCAACGATGAGCCCTAACCAGTTTAGCTCAGTAGATAGAGCATCGGCGTGCGGACTGAAAGGTCCCAGGTTCAGTTCCAATCCAGGGCATGTGCCTTGGTTGCAGGCACATCCCCGGGGGGGGGGGGGGGGGGGCCGGGCGGGTTGGAGGCAGCTAATTGATGTTTCTCTCTCATCGATGTTTCTAACTCTCTGTTCCTCTCCCTTCCTCTCTGTAAAAATTAATAAAAATTTAAAAAAGAAACATCAACGATGAGAGAGAATCACTGATGGGCTGCCTCGTGCATACCACACATTGGAGATCGAACCCACAGCCCAGGCATATATGTCCTGACCGTGACCTCTTGGTTCCTGGGCCGATGTTCAACCACTGAGCTAGGTCGGCTGGGCAAGGTGGCGTAGTTCTCGTCTGAAGGCTGGCGGCTGAAGCCCCGGGAACATGCCCTATGTTCCCGCTGGAATCCGAAGGGAGAAAGCGGACGTCCGGGTGCTGAGGCGGCCGGGAGGAATGCTCTCTCAGAGTACGGTCAGCTTTTCTGCTCCATTCCAGCCTTCAACGGACGGGAACCTCAGGGAGTGCCCTCTGCTTCACTCAGTCTACCCACTTACATGTTCTCCGGCCCAGAAACACACAGAGCGAGGCCCCGCCAGTGGGCACGCACAATCAAATGAACCATCGTAATTCCTGACACTGGGGCGTTAGTCACTGTTAACATCACTTGGGATTGCACATTCATGAGCTGTTACACGAGAGGGAAATAAACTGTTGTTCATGCCAGTTCTATTAGCCTTTGCTAAAGCAGTTGAATTGGCATGCCACCTTATATCTTTCAAAGATGTCTGCTGTCTCCACTCACTTCCACCATTAAGAGGTGGAGTCTCACCCTAGCCAGTGTGGCTCGGTGGATAGAGCGTCGGCCTGTGGACTGAAGGGTCCCAGGTTCAATTCTGATCAAGGGCAAGTACCTTGGTTGCGGGCACATCCCCAGTGGGGAGCGTGCAGGAGGCAGCTGATCTATGATTCTCATCATTGATGTTTCTAACTCTCTATCCTTCTCCTTTCCTCTCTGTAAAAAAAATCAATAAAGTATATATATATATATTTTAAAGTAGAACTGTTTTTTTGTACCCGGCACCCAGCTTCCCCCAAGTGACATCTGTGGTAACTGTGGTACTTCCTGGAGGCTGGGGATGGATATTCCTGCTATGTAACCAGTTTCACTTTTTTCTTTTTTTAACAGTTTATTTATTTATTTATTTATTTATTTATTTATTTATTTATTTTAAAATATATTTTATTGATTTTTGTACAGAGAGGAAGGGAGGGGGATAGAGAGTTAGAAACATCGATGAGAGAGAGTCATCAATCAGCTGCCTCTTGCACACCCCTACCAGGGATATGCCCACAACCAAGGTACATGCCCTTGACTGGAATCGAACCCAGGACCCTTCAGTCCCCAAGCCGACGCTCTATCCATTGTGCCAAACCTGTCCCGGCATATGTTACCAGTTTCAGACCTGAGTCAGAGTCTTCAGCACCCAGAGCTCTAAGAAATGTTATTGAATGTGAGGATTTGAGTATCCACCATCACAATCTGTACATAGGCTAGTTTATCCTGGGTGTATTAGTTCTCTATTGCTGTGTAACAAATTGCCCCCAAACTTAGTAGCTTAAAACAGTAAGTCCTTATTATCTCACACCATCTCTGAGAGTCAGAAATCCATGAGTGGCTTAGCTGGGTGGTTCTGGTTTAAGATCTCATGAGGTTGGAGTCAGGGCGTTGGTGCGGGCAGGTGTCATCTGAAGGCTGGACTGGGGCCGTAGCATGTGCTTCCAAAGTGGCTCACTCACACGGCTGGGGACTTGGTTCTGAAACACGTGCTTCTCCAGAGGATGACGGCTAACGTGTCTTCACAACATGGAGCCGTCTCCTCTGATGCTAATGATTTAAGAGAGCAAGGCCGAGCTGCAGTGACTTTTATCATCTAATCTTGGAAGTTATCCTCTGTCATTTTCTTTTTTCTTTTTTTAAATATATTTTATTGATTTTTTTTACAGAGAGGAAGAGAGAGAGATAGAGAGCTAGAAAAATCGATGAGAGAGAAACATCGACCAGTTGCCTCTTACACACCCCCTACCGGGGATGTGCCCGCAACCAAGGTACATGCCCTTGACCGGAATCGAACCCGGGACCTTTCAGTCCGCAGACCGACACTCTACCACTGAGCCACCGGTTTCGGCTCCTCTGTCATTTTCACAGCGCCCTGCCAGTCACAATGGTCAGTCTTATGGGTGTGGAAGGGGTATGAAACTCTGGAAGTGAGACTCCCTGTGTTGGAGATGGACTAAACAGTTTCAATATAGCATCTTAGCTGTTATACACCATTTTGACTTCAGAATTATCTAAAAAGTCTTCTCCCCTCCACTCACCAGCTGCACTGTTTAGAGGTTCGTGGCTGTAACGGAACCCTGTCTTCCCTTTCTATAACCGAAGTAGAGGGAGAACTGAGTTCAAATAACAATCCCAGAAAAACCCAGCTTCAAAGTTAATAGGAAACATCATTTATCCCAAGGACATATTTTCTAAACTCACAGAGAAACTTTCTCTAAAATCATCAAGGGTCCGGCCAGTGTGGGTCGGTGATTGAACATCAACCCAGGAACCAAGAGGTCAGGGTTCAATTCCTGGGCTCGATCCCCAGTACGGGCGTGCAGGAGGCAGCCGATCAATGACGTTGCTCTCTCATTGATGTTTCCATCTCTTTATCCCTCTCCCTTCCTCTCTCTCTAAAAATCAATGAAAACATAAAAACAAAATAAAATCATGAAGTGTTGGAAATTCCATCAGTAAACATGAAACATCCCATTCTCGCCTGTTGGATCTAAGCCATTTGACACAGCATAGCAGCCTTGATTTTTCAACCCAGGTGCAGAGCTGCCAAGGGATTCTGGACCCAGCCATCCTGTCGTTTCCAAGGATACTGGACCCTGGAGGGACGCAGGACCCTGGTCCTTCACAGTCCACACCTGATGTTGCCCCTACTTTGCTTGGAGCCCATCGCGGAGTTGTCACCTAAATCCCACCATTCCTGCAAACTCTGTAACTCTGCCTTCTGCTTGTTCGTCAGCACGCTCCATGGCCTCTGCTGCACGGGCTCCATTGCTGCAATGGCTCCAATAACCTTGACTTTATCCAGCGATGTTCCTGGTGATGTTAGGCTGATGGACTGGAACACCTATTGCCGTGGCTCCCAGCCCCATTCTGGACATAGATTCCTTCTCTTTTTTGCCCAAACCCTTCATCATCTGACCCCGGCCAATTTTTCAAATCTCAGTTCTTTCTTCTTCTTCTTATTTCCTTGTAAAGAAGATGTAATAACTTCCATATGGTAAAGTACATGTTTTATGTGTACGGTTCAGTGAATGTTTATTTTACCCTGTTTCCCTGAAAATAAGACAGTGTCTTATATTAATTTTTGTTCCCAAAGATGCGCTAGGTCTTATTTTCAGGTGATGTCTTATTTTTTTCCATGAAGAAGAATACGGTACACATTTATTGTTAAATAAAAATAAAGGAAATTTATTACCTGTATACGGTACGGTAGTACGGTTGTTGTCAACACAAACCAGACAAACTGAATCCTACAGGATCAAGAATTTACTCATTTATTCAATGACAATCATGTCATTATCTTCTGGAACATCATCATAACAATCCAGTTCCTGAATTTCCTGGTGAATTTCTTGTGACTCCATTTCTTTCAGAATCAATGGACCAAATTTCTCATATTTAGC